AGAATGATGGCTGTGGGAAACTGAAGTGTGGTGGTGGGGTTTGAAGATCCATTTCCTGCAACAGTCCTCGCATTTGGTTGTCCTTGTGAGAAGAGTTGAATGCGGTGATTGTTGGAATCTGCCACATAGAGATCAAAGTTGGTATTGACAAAGATTCCTGTAGGACCGTTCAACATGTTTGAAGTATTTCCCGCGGTTCCAGTACCAGCAACAGGAGTTGATGTATTAGAATTCTCATTTAACCAAATGGAAACGACTTGGTGATTATATTTCATGGAACAGTAAAGACTATCACTTGTATCCACAAAAAGACCGTAACAAGATTTGTTTACATACGTGACAGGAATGCGAACGTTCGATTTTAATGTCCATCTAGTAACTTCATTCTGTGTCAGTCCATTATCGATGTAAATGTCACCATTATTTGATGCAAAAATCGAACTTGATGATGAAGAGTTTCCAAAAACTTTCGTTGAGAGAGTTCTGTCGTTGACAAGCCATAGTTGAGTTTCATTATTTGTTCGATATAGAACATAAACCGTGTTATTCGTATTGATATGAATGTTGTAAGGATACAGACTGCTAGAATTACTAGCCACCAAAGTAGTTGCATTTTCATCCCATGTTGCATTAGAGCAAAGTTTCGGTTGATTATAAGATGGAACTAGAATGCAAGAAAATAATAAATTTCTTCGTAGTGACTAGCTTCACTTACTATTAGTATTATTCAAGAGAAGATATTTCTGAATTCGAACATTGGCCTTGTCTACAACAAACAAATTTCCGTCATTATCAAATCTAAGATCGTATGGATAGTTTAATTGATTTGATGTAGGTCCTGGCCCACCGAAACATCCAATTAAACATCGAAAACCATACGGTCCTTGACCTACAACACGATTACCGTAACTATCCGCAATAAACATGTAATCATCAAGATCAAGAATAACATTCCGTGGACAATTTAGTGAGATCGTTCGGTTGTGAGAAAAGCTTCCTGCAGCCGTAATTCCAAGTAATTCTCTTGGTCTGAAAAGTTGAATCCTATTATTGCCACAATCTGCAATATATAAATCGTAATTCGTATTAACAAAGATTCCATGTGGACCAGCAAGCATCGATGGTGAAGATCCTGAACATCCTGTTCCTGCCACAATTGCTGTTGTACTCGAATTACTATTCAAAGATTTTTTCACAACTTTGTTCGTATCATACATCGAGCAATAAACAGTACTACTAATGTCAATAAAAATATACAGACATTGACCGTCTGTGAACATAATAGAATCGGTGACATTTGTACCTAATATGTGTCTATCGATTCGACCATTTGAACCAACGTAGATCTCATTGTTATTCATTACAAATACACTTAATGGTGATGAAAAACTGCCAGAAAGTGTTTTACTTGGATTAAAAGTATTATTAATCCATACTTGAATTTGATTATTTGATAGATCAGGAATAAAGAAAACGTTGTTGGTATCAATAAACATACCGTAGGTATTCCATGACAGTTGTGTATAATTAGCCAGAGTAATTCCATTATGATTCCACGCTGCATAAGCATTGAGTTTTGGTCGATTGTGAGAAATATCTATATAATATTCACAATCATTTCCAACGAGCAGTTTGTGACGAAACTTTACTTTTCATTGTTGAGGATGCTGCCACAGTACTCATAGTTATTGTTGATGCTGTTACTAAAACTGTATCGTTCTTCTATATAATTTAAGAATATACTGCTTACCTGTACTAGCGGTTGATGTGCTAGTTCCATCTGAAAGAATTTCATAGAAGGAAGCATTATCGTTTAACATTTTTAGTATATCACTTACTGCACAAATTCATTATTAAGTTAAATTTTTGAATGCGACTATTGTTAGTATCTACGATATACATGTTTCCGTAACTATCGAAACTCATGCCTTGTGGACTAGATAGTTGATTCGATGCCGAGCCTGATGAACCAGAACACCCTATCAAACAGTGAAAGCCATCTGCTCTTTCACCAACAATACGATGATTGTTGGTATCTGCGATATACATGTAACTATCAGAATCAAGAATGATGGCTGTGGGAAACTGAAGTGTGGTGGTGGGGTTTGAAGATCCATTTCCTGCAACAGTCCTCGCATTTGGTTGTCCTTGTGAGAAGAGTTGAATGCGGTGATTGTTGGAATCTGCCACATAGAGATCAAAGTTGGTATTGACAAAGATTCCTGTAGGACCGTTCAACATGTTTGAAGTATTTCCCGCCGTGCGAGTACCAGCAACAATTATCAATACATTTGAAAGAGCATCTAATGATTTGCTGACAACCTGTTGGTCGGTAAACATTGAACAGTAGAGATTATTGTTACTATCAATAAAAAGTCCGGTACATTTCGCACAGGTGTACATTACTGGTGTACCATTTGTTGAACTGGATGTCCACTGATCGATTCGGCCGACTGAGCTGTCGCTATCAACATAAATGTTGCCTGCTGTTGTAACAAATAAACTGTACGGATTCACTATATTCCCGGATATTGTTCTGGCTGGAGTGGAGCTTCCGTTAGACCAAATCAGTATGCGATTAAATGAATAACTCGGGACGTAAACTTCGTTATGTGTGTTGATAAAAATAACATATGGATATGTTCCAACTGTGTTATTATCGGCAAAGGTCGTAGCATTTGGATTCCATGTTGTATTGGAACAAACTTTCGGTCGATTAAGGTAATAGCCTTAATACAAATCATGATAGTTATGATTTGAAAGGTGCTCCTGATTCGTCCCGCAAGCAACTATTTACCTGATATCTGACCAATGAACAACGTTATAGTCATCCAAGAACGAAGACAAATCAGAGTGTACATTTTCCTTTTCATACTCATTTGTACACTGCGAAGCGATTCTAGAAGATGAGAACGAATGCGTGCACAATAGTTTTTCTACTGAGGACGTGTTCGACTACTCTTTGACACCGCATGAAATATAAATGCTGTTAGTTTTTCTCTCCGATCGGCTATTAAGTAAATTTTCGCAAAGACGACATACAAGAGTTGCTGAACGATCGAAGATAAACATCAGCCTGCGGATCGTTTCAAACTTAACTGTACTTTTTCAGAACGTTTTTTCAACAGGAGTGTTATATTTCAAATTGCTTTCACTACTTCCGAGATCTTCCATAAGCAATGAAAGTAAACATATCATACTTGTTTGCTTTTTTCCGAAGAACTTAGCAAACTAACGGAAAGACAATACTGTGATTGAAAAGGTAGATTCACCAATCGATCTACAGCGAGGATGGCCGAGAGAGGTAGAGAGAGAATTTGAGCGATTAGGCACACCTTGAGATTCCTCACTCTTTTTATGTGCATCATAACCAATATCTACGTTGTGGATGAAGGTACTTCTGTATCTTTATCGTCAGATTCACTTAAACACCATTCCACTGATGATAATAAACAAAGTATTGACGTTGTCAATTAAAATATTAACAAATTTGGAATATTCGAGTCATTCTCGATAGCTGCTGTTGATTTTAGTTGTGTTACTTTAACTGAGAATATTGACAGCTTTAAATTATAAGTTCTTTTCTCTAACAGCGCATTGAGATGTATGATTAGTCTTCTTTCTTTTCTTCCCCTTCAAATATGTATACGTTCTCCTCGGAAGATAACAAGCTAGTCGAATGAATATTTTAAATAAATGAAATACGCTATAGTTTTCTTCTACAATAGCTCACAACTAATCCATCTCTTTCAGAAATGGAATTCAAATGCAAGTAGAGACTAATATTCTCACCTACACTCTATTTCACTCTGTTCTTCGCTCTTTGATCGTGTCCCATAACGTTGTGCTTTGATAGAAGGCAATATCTACTTAGTGTTCAGTGGTAGAATAACGACTTTATCAAGATTTGTTTGTTCACATTCGATCGAACTTTTATTATGAAAAGATCAGGTTTATATATAAGATTCAAAGGGAAAAAGAACATGACACATATATCATGGATAAAACAGATGACATCATGTGATAACATCTGATCTCATGGATGAACGTATGATTTTATGACGTCATATATATGTACGATCGGAACGAAAGAAGATACGTATATGTAGTGACGTCATGTAAGGACGATCACATATGACGTCATTATATAACAGCTTCGAAAACGGAATGGATATGCGACAGCTGCATTTAATGTTTATTTTTCGTATTGTATGTTTCGTCATTCTTTTATCATAATATATCCGGGAGAACGAACAAAAAAAGAACATTCTAAACACGATCCGTAACATCGTATATATAACAGACTGTTACGAGCAGAACAAGCTCGATTCCATTTTTCAGTTTCATCGATCATGCACTATCACATTGTTTGGTTAGATCTAAATAGCAATCATTCTAACGAAGACAATCAAAATACAATTAAGCAACTGCGACAAATCATCGATTCCGTGAATGTATTCACCGAATGGAACGAATGTGACAATTTTATTACAAACCTTGACATCGAAAATAAAGTTTTTATGGTTGTATCAAATGATTTCGACGAGAAACTTGTGGATTATATTCAGAATTCGTCTCAAATAATATCTGTCTATGTGCTCTCCTGTAATCATTCGCACTGGCATAACCGATGCAAAAAAGTCAGAGGTGTTTTTATCCAATTCGAAAAGATCTTTGATTCACTGATCAATGAAATGCGACGATACCAGGATTCTTTACATGGCATTATTAACGTTTCTCTCGTCGATTCTGAAGCTGACAATTTAAATAGACTTGAACCGTCATTTATGTATGCTCAATTATTTAAAGAAATTTTTCTCAAAATTAAAGATATTGACAAAACAAAAGAAATGGAGGGACTGCTGGTATTCTTACGTGAAAAAAAGTTCAACAATAAAAGTCAATTGAAATTAATTAATGATTTTGAAAAGCAATATGATTCCAATAATGCAATTCATTATTATACAAAAGAATATTTTATCTATAGCACTTTAAATGAAGCTTTACGAACTCAAAATATTGATATTATTTTAAAATTTGGATTTTTTATCCGAGACCTTCTTCTGCAAATCACTAAATTACATCTGGAAAATGCAAATATGGTACCATCTACTGTTTATCGAGGCCAAGGCGTATCGACTTCTGATTTTGATAAATTGAAAAACAAGAAAGGTGCTCTTTTATGTTTCAATAACTTTTTATCTGCAAGCACCGATGAAATTGTAGCTCGATCTTTTGCGGAAAGTAATTCCGACGCACCTGATACCATTGGAATTCTATGCAAAATAGAGATCGATCGCTCAATTTCATGCTCGTCGTACGCCTACTTGACAAATGCAAGTCATCATAGCGACGAAGAAGAAGTACTTTTCTCAATGAATACGGTTTTTCGCGTCGGTAATCTGGAAAACATTGGTAATAAATTATGGAAAATTACTCTAGCTTTGTCAAGCGATATTGATAAACAATTGAAACATGTTACTGATTCGTTCCGGCAAGAGATGGGACAAGGGAATGGACAGTATCAGTTAGGACACTTGATGCTTATTTTGGATAGATTTGACATAGCAGAACAGATATATTCGAAATTAGACATTTTTCCTGCAACTGCCGATTGGAAAGATTTGGCGTTATTATTTAATCAGCTTGGATTGGTTTATGATGGAAAGAATGAATACTCAAAAGCGCTTGAATTCTTCAAAAAGACAGCTGAAATTGAGGAACTATTTGTTCCTTCAAATCATCCGGATTTAGCTACTACGTACAGTAATATTGCCGCAACTTATCACTCGTTGGCCGATTACGTTATGGCACGTAGTTTCTATGAAAAAGCACTTCTTATTTTGCCTCCAGATCATCCGAAGGTGCCGCCCGTCTACAACAACATTAGTCTTCTTGACAAATCAATGGGAGAATATCATACAGCACGACTCACGTGCCAGAAAGCATTGGAAATCGCAGAAAGTATCTTTGCACCGAATCATCCCAACTTAGCAACCATCCATGAAAATTTAGCTACAATATATCAAATCTTATGTGAGTATCCGGAAGCATTATCTCATTATCGTGAAGCTTTACGAATCAATAAAAGAACGCTACCTTCGGATCATAGATCCCTGCTTATCACTTACAACAACATGATCTCAGTATACACTGAGATGGGAAGCTATTCGGAGACCATTAAATTGTACGAATCTACACTCAAAATACCATTGAAACGTCTTGTCGACAGATATCCATCGCTGGCTATTGCTTACAGCAACGTTGGTTTTGCATACTTAGAAACAGGGGAGATTTCTAAAGCATTGTCATATTGTTTCAAAGCATTATATCTCCAATGGAAGCACAATCGTGTGAATAACTTAGATATGGCGACGACTTATAGCAATATCGGTCATATTTTTCTAGAACAGGAAAATTTCGCATACGCGCGTTCGTTTCACGAAGAAGTTCGGATAATCCAAGAAGCATGTTTGGACCATGGGCATCCAAAGTTAGCAACAACTTATAATGACCTTGGACTTGTATATCAAGGACTGCAAAATTACAAAAATGCATTATTTTATTTACAAAAGGCACTTGCAATACGACAACAGTATTTTCGTTCAGATCATCCATCTCTAGCGTCAGTTTTCAACAACATCGGAATGTGTTTCGCGAACACTGAGCAGTATGAGGATGCAATGATTTGGTACAAAAAGGCATTAGTTATTCGCGAATTATCTCCAGTTTCAAATTATAGAAATTTAGTAACTAATTACAATAATATAGGATGTGTTTACTATGAACAGAGATATTACTGTAAAGCATTAAAATTCTTTGAAAAAACGCTCAAGATCGAAGAAAAATTTCTCGGAGCGGAACATCCAGATTTGGCTAACACTCATTATAACCTGTCGCTTGTATTAAACGCTCTTCAACAACAGGAAAAAGCATTTTATCATTTTATGCAAATTGTTCATATTGCTGGTCATAAGCCCGAAATTGATGAATATTTTGAAAACATCTACCAATCGCAAAATTATAAAAATTAGCTGGTTGCACCAACATCTTCAACAGCGTTCCACTGTCTTTTTATTTTGACTGAGATCAGTATGTACGCACAATTTCTAAAATAAAAACTTTCCTAATACGGAGAACTGCTGTACTAAATCTATCGTATCAGTTGGCTTAAAGAAGAGGATATTGCACAGTGACATTAATTGAATAAATTTAGCTCCTCGATGCAGTTCGCATTGAATGACAAAATCGTCATGGCACATACCAATTTTCGCTGAGTCGAGAATACAGATATTATATGCATATTCATAATGAGATCGAATGAGCTACTGTAGTACAATGGTAGTATAGTGGTTTGTCTAACCGAAGACCAAGGTTGAATTCCCTGCAATGGCGAAGTCTTTTTTCGTATCAAATGTACTACTACAAGAAGAAAAATAAATCGGATGACGTGCGAATGACTCACGTGGTACTTGCATCATGTTGCAACAGAAAAGCAAAAGCACTTTGTTTTTCATGTGATTCAAATGCAAAACACCATCATCGAGAGAAAAATACGATGATAATTGCAGAAAGATTCTCAAACGTTTTAGTTTAATGAGAGGTAGCTGCGCGATTTCGATTGTTATGAACTTGTACATAATAGAGGATAAAAACTGAATAACAACATTGATCCCTAGATGTGTCGAGTAATTCAATCCTGTACTTTTTTTAACTGTCTGTCAAATTATTAACGTAGTAAAAGGAAAAGAAAATTCTCTTTATGCCACAAAATTCAGAAAGAAAAACGAGTTCGTTTATGTAAAATACGACGTGAGTGTCTTGAATAAATAAATGTACGAGTACAAAAGTAACGAAATCATTGTCTGCATCATACATATTCCTCATGGTGTCGACACCACGTGCGACTCTTTTCATCCTCCTCTTGATTCTGATCTTAAACAGTGTAATTTTCTATAAGCTAGGCCAACGACGTGATGTCAAAAATATCTTTCAAAGCAGCTCAACTCCTCCTTACTCTTATTATGTCTGTACACAAGTATTGAATGAATCCGAAAAATATTTAACTGAATGGATCAAATATCAGTTGAATATCATTGGTTTCAAGAACATTTGTTTGATTAATGTTGGAGAAACTTTCAATAAAACATTCCTAGCACAATATTCGATAGGGATCATTCATAAACATGAATTTCATCAAGAATTTAACTATTGTTTATCATGTTTTGATCAACCAATGAAATCAGACGATCTACTTTTCATTCAAGATATTGATGAGTTTTTAAATGTTAAACAAGCTGATGTTATCTTTAAAAACTATCATAAATATGATAAGTTTCATTTTCAAGAAATTCGCTACGGTAAGACAATAGTTGCAAATTTGTGAATGTTCTCACGTGCAAACTTAGGATATATTTATGATATGAATACCGAAATGATTAATAACTCGTTATTAGAAACGAACGTTTATCGAAAGCCACACGAACATCTCGGTGAATACATAAGTAAACATCTTCAAGATTTATTTAATTGTACCACAAATAACGGATGGTATTCATGTGATGAAGGATACGGAAAAGTGAGTATATGGTGTGCGTCAGTTCGTACGTGTTATTTGATTTTGTTTTTGAACTTCAGGAAATGATCAAAGTGGGTAAAATTCGCGAATTAGGTGTACATTTTCATAAATTAACTGGGAGGAACAGTTCAGCAAAAGATACACTCTATGTCGATATGAAACAAGTGCGCCTCAATCACTACATCATGCCGACGCGTGAGGAAGGAATTAAAAGAGCAGTGAAGTGGAATAAGCAATTGTCCAGAATGAATGTGATCAATTCCAATAAATATTTCAACATGATTTTCGATGATACAATCAGAGATTCGAAAAAATTGATTTGATTATGATCGCCAAAATGTCCTTGGCAACGACAGCAATTATAAGAGTATAACACGATGTCGTCATTGCACAACGTCGTCAGAGAAAACAGTGGCATACTTTTTTTTGTTTTTATTCAGTCGATTGTTTGAAAAAATTAAGTTTATAATCTGTCAAAAGTAGAACTGCGTTAGTTCTCGTATAATTAAACTCTAGTAAAATACAATCCAATGAGAATTGCGATGATAAGAATAAGAAGGTTCTTCATGCTAAACAACATCCCTTCTTTCTTCTTGTTCTTCTTTTCGGGAGAAGTCGCCGGAAGATCCTCAGCTGCATGAGTTTGTACATGCAATCCAGGAATCACATCCGATAAAAACTCAGCGGTCTTTACCAAATGCTCCCGATTCGGTTTGTAAGTGCCCGAATTGTTCGTGATATGAAAGATCACTCCGTCCGCTTGATGCTCCATCCAGGCTTCGCCAGCAAAACGGACGTCATCATCGTAACCGGAAATGAGAACATGTTTCGACAAAATCCAGTTGACTAATTTCGAACTCAGAAACGGATTACTATGCATTCCTATCAAATGATGTCCCGTAATCACAATATTGTAGACATGTGCGTCGGCTTTTGTATTGATACTCATCATTGATGCTATGGACGAGGAAGAAAATTCTCCATGATCATCCCAAAGTGATGCCATTTGCTTTCGAATGGTTAACACGACTGGTCGAGAAAAGAGTAAATACTTTTTCAAGCGTGTGAATAAATCGGGATTTTTCGAAGGAAACGCGCGAAGACTTTCCGGGAGATATATATTGATATCAATCTTTTCCTGATTAGGAATGACTTTGAATAATGTGTGTGAGCCCCAAATTTTTCTTATGATCGCACCCAATCGTGCCGGACGTGAAATTTCTAATCGAGTCAAGTAATCTTTGTTCGATTCAATGATTGGATTCGTAGGATTATCGTGAACTTCGATCAATGGTGCACGATTTTTATCATCTGAGTGCACACATTCATTGTAAATCTTCTTGAAAGTTCGGCCGATACTTGTGAATTCCTTCTTGCGAACTTCGTGAAAATGCTCTTCTAACGTTAATGGAGTTGTTCGAATGATATCGAATTTGATCGGTTCGCCATTCAGTTCCAATCCGTTTTCATAGATTTGTTGAAACAAAGAACGTGCACCGATATTACTGCGAAGATCAGAGCCGCCGCTCGTCATTCCAGATGCAGTTAATACAGACGCATTGGCATATGCACATGAAATATGTCGTTGATTCGAGTGTTGTTGCATCGATTGGCGAATGGCCGTGAGCATATCTTCTGGTGTGTTCCGAAATCGAATCAGAAAACCGGATTGAACGCGACCTTTCGTGTTGACAACAGCACTTAATTGACGCCAAAACATGAATGCAGCGAATTTAATATAACCATCGAATTGTTCATTCGGAATTGTTAAATACACATTTGGTAAGCCAAAGCCAAGGAAAATTTCGCGTTTATTGTCAAAGAGTTTGTCTAACGAAATTAAATTGATATGATCGAATTCCGTTTGTTCTAAACCATTGCGTAATAGATTATGTTCATTATTATAATGTGTATCAATTATTAGTCGTGTTCGGCGATGAAATAACGGTTCTGGTCGAATAACAGCACCACAATGGATTCCTTTCAATGGAGAATCTGTTTCTTCTGTAACCTTAGCTTTATCATCGACTATTGTGACACTAGAATTCATTTGATTCAAATGGAAAATGATAAGAACGAAGTGTTGATAACAAAGCTTGAAAAAAAATATTAATGTTGCATTTATTACTTGTCAAGGAGCCGCGAAGCAGTATTGACTCAAGAATCAGAAAAATATTCTGATCTACTTCTGCGCGATGCCATGGAACAAATATATTCGACGATAGCGACATTTATTTTTCGATCGTAATGAATAACAAAATATGATGACTCATGTAGACAAAACGCTATTGGTTATGCAAAAACATGATTGTCGATCTTTTCTGTATGAGAACAGGTGGAGCAGAAAACAAGTATGGAAGAAATGACAAAATAAATATCTAGAAGTAATTGCGTATTTTCATATCTCATCAAAAAGTTATTGCCAATAAAGAACGAGGTTTTTCTCACAAATGGAATATCAGTCAATTTGACTGCTCCCAGAATTTGGTTTCAACTTATACACTGAACGAAACAATGCATAAATCTAGCGCCGTTATTGCGTTCAACAGGACAGTTCTAGTCTGCTAGATACGCTAATGAGAATAAGAATTGTATTCCTATTAGCGATGGCGTTTATTTGACACACGAATACAAAGCACAAGGTCAATCATAATGAATACTGAGAGTAGATAGCAATACCATGTGTAATAACAGCAGTCTCTTCACCAAATGGCATTGGTTGCAACCGAAGATAGTTTCGATAGATCAGGATGAACACTGATGGAGATAAATGAATTCAAAAGATAGATGTAGTTTTATATATTAATAGATCAATGTTGAAATGCGATTTCATTTGGTCATCTCATACAGTTCGTTCTCATAGCAGAGAAACCTTCACAGATGGTGTGTCAATAATGAACTTTACGTTCTTTTCTTCGCACACGTGAGAGAATGTTCCACATTCATTTCTCTTTCCCTCACTCGCTCGCTCGCCTGTTGCACTGATCGACCTTTCTCTACTCCTTGAGTTTCATCCCTGCTGTTATTTATTGAAAAATCATGATCGAAGATACTGTTCAACGAACTAAACATAGAACGAAACCAATTCGTCAACTATTAAAGAAATTCCTCCATGATTGGTCATTAGATTTAGCTTCGATGCTCGCTTATAACTTGTTAGTGGCAATTTTACCGATTGCTATAATAGTCTTCGGACTTCTTGGTTTGATTCTACGAAACTCTCCAGAACATCAAGATGATTTGAAAAACAAAATCATCCAATCATTTCCTACTGATAACACAACACAAGGTGGCATAAAACAAGTACAAGCATATACATATATTTCTTTGAAAATCTAATAAGTATAAAACTTGATTTAGATCGTCGATCTTGCTTTCAATCAATTATCAAATGATGCTGGACTTATTTTTGTTATTGGCATCCTTTTAGCAATGTTCGGTTCCTCTCGATTGTTCATTGCAATCGATCAATCGATGACAATTATTTATCGTTTACCCGAACGTTCATTTTTTCGACAAAATTTAATGGCACTCGGTACTCTATTTCTTTTGATTATTGTCATTGTTTTAATGCTTACTGCGAGCTCAGTTCCAACAGCAGTGATGAACAGTGTGTCTAGTGGTGGCGCTCGATTTGGAGTTTTTCTGGCGGGGATTGCTCTATCATCCAGTATTGCCTTTGCTCTTTTCGAAATCATTTACTGGCTGGTGCCGAATAAAAAGATGAGTTTTAAAACAACATGGCGTGGTGCGTTGACAGCTGCTGTTACCATAGAAATATTCATCATTTTGTTTCCTCTCTACGTACGGCAGTTTATGAGTAATTATGCTGGTAAGATGAAGAAAGAATTGTTGTTTGTGTTTAGATTGGTTTTGATTTCTATTAGGCCAAATCGGTTTCGCTGTGATTCTTATTCTTTTCTTTTATTACTTTGCAATTATTCTCATCATTGGTGCACAAATCAATGCATATTATGTTGAACACTACAAACCACTACCTGATCCACTTGGAACATATTTGAGTAAATTATATGGCGAACATACTTCGACAACAGTTGATGATCATACGGAACAGAATAGACATGGATGTTTTTGTCGTAAACGACAAGAGGTTGAACCGCGAGTTTAATTCTGCTCTATTGTATGTAGAAGAAATTTCTCAGATTTCATTGTCTTTTTCTCATTATTAAATACATTCTACACAAAAGAATATCTTTCTGATCGCTTTGAGAGATACAGAACTAGTAATCGTGCATTTATTCCTTTTGACATCAACAGTGTTACAATTAAGTGTCGTGCGATCTAATTTAGAAATATTCAATTGTCTATCAACGAAGTAGAAAGTTGTTTTTCAACTGTATATTGGTTCAATGTTCCTGAATTGCAGAAATTAATTACTTATTAAACAAATTATTTCTTCTGTGATGCTGCTCATAGTAGCTGTCGGAAGAATTGGACAAGAAAGGTACATTGTAATACGCTATGATTAGTATCGGCAGCGTACTTTTAGTTTCCTTTAGAGAAAATATCATTTCCCGTATCGATAAATATTTTCTTTTTTACATTTGTTCATTTCATCAAATTGTATTTGATATGGAACAATCTCTCTTGTATTTCTTATCTGCCCATTTACTTTACAAGTCAATAGACAAGACAAAGGCTAACAGTCGCCCATGTCAAATAGCTTGTTTGAATTAAATGGTTTGCACAGCACTTACATTTTAGCAGTCGACATCAAACTGTCAGTTATTTAATAATACGATTGTAGATGTACATAGAAATAGGACTTATGGAACGACCATAGGTGTGATATATCTTGAACATGATATCCATCGGGCAAAAGCTGAAAATAAAATGAGCCGTTGAAATGATCTAACCTGAAATAATGAGAGAGTGAAAAGTAATTGTTTTTCTCGTTTTTCTTTCAGATTTTCTGCAGTGCCGTTGGTCAATTCTTGTATATGTAGAAATGTATTCGAGATTTCTTATCTTTTCGAGTTTCGATTGTTTGTATCAACTACTAGTGGTATTTTTTCGAATACGATTGGTATTACATATGCGGGCAATGCATCGATTCAATTAAAACATTCAACTGGTCTATTCGTAGATTCTAACGATGATCTTTATATTAGTGATAATTTGAATTGACGTGTCATGAAATATGCACGAGATGCTACTGTATAGGTATTCTTGTAACTGGTTCTAGGTACGGATGGTAGTGCATTGAATCAGTTTATTACAACCGGTTGCCATTTTCTATCGATTGATTCTCATCATAATATCTATTTTGCGCATTACTTCGATAATCGTGTGATAGATTTCAGCCTCAATGTGTATGTCGTAGAAAATACCATTATTCAAGTAACGAAATGGGCTCCAAATACAGCAATGAGCACTCTTCTTGCTGGAAGCACAACTTTGCTAGATACGTTATTGATCCGATCATTTACTACCACAGTACACTTTCGAATACTTTTCTTTTCAATTTAAGTAATTGAGCTTTCAAACAGGTTGATTCCTCCAATGGCACAATTGTAGCTGGCAATTTTGGTTCTCCAAGATTGTCACCAACACAATTTAGTTCCACAACTGATATAACACACGATCAGTGGTCGAATATCTACGTAGCCGATTTTGAAAATTCTCGAGTTGAATTATTCTGCAGTAGACGTACGACTGGTATAACTATTGTTAGAATTAGCACAGGTGGCAGCTCTCTCTCTATGGGATATCATGTAAGAAAAATTCTTCAAACTCTGAAATCATGAATTCGCAGTAATCCTTACCCACAAACAAAATATCTCATTGAGTCTACTTTTTCGTTCTATCTCTTCAAATAAATTACCTTAAACATGCGATTATTAAAAAGAAAAATATAAACATAAACTAAAAACATCATTGATGGATTTTTGATAAATCTGTTTTTTTTTTACACGGTATTATGGGCATGTTTTGAGTCTCTTCATTCGAACATCAATGAAATCACTTATCGATCTGAATAAATATCCTTGATGTTTACATAGAAACTATGCGATGTATGAAAATATCGAAAGTAAGCGTAAATGAAAAACATTCACGCATCAATCAATGTCTCTTACAAGGAACGTTCTCTTTCCATGTGAAAACATTATTACCTTGAGGATCATAAGCACGTAAACTATACCTTTTTCTTATTTTGAGCGACAAAAACTAGTATAAACAAACATCAGTACACGATGAATTCCAATGGTACATCTGGGCCGATTCCAATTCTTCATCAAGATGCCAACCCACTGTTGTATACTCTTCCACAAGAACATATGAATATCCAACCATATTGGATTATGATCGTCGAAATTGTCATATTACAAATAATTCAACGTCTCTGGAATCTTGCTCGGTATCATGTGCTCAATTCGACTTTAGAAATCGCACTGCTTAGGTGGGTATTGTACTACCAAATACGTCTCTACGAATATTTAATCACTCATCGGTCGGAAATTGTCAATCTAGTTCCAATAACTTTACAATCAACAACGTACGCTTGGATTAGTTCTCCTAACAATTACGAACATTATATCATCGCCTTTTTCGCACATGATTATTTGATTGATAAATTATCATTTGATATATTCGACTTTATCTTTTATTTTCTTCCAATTTGCGGACATTGTGTTTGGTACAGCTACATCCAATCTTTTTGCATGTCAGCTGATCGTGCAACTCATTGGAATTGTTACAATGCATTCGGCTATCGAATATTTAACTACATATTTGTCTCTTACGTGAATTTTGTGTGCGTTTTTGTGATGAAAACGATCGCCTTACGAGACGAGAGGATATATGAACAAAAAATTACATGTCTCGATAGAATAAACTTTCATTTAGGGTTTTGGTCAGCCTTGATTACATTTCTTTTTGCCGGTGCGCTGATAGTACCATATCTAATCACTCACATCATACCAATGTTCTTCGCATATCTTTTCATGACGATAGTTTACATGGCTATTTGGTTTGCTGTTCTGTTCTTTATTGTCTTTGTATTAATGCACATACCGGTAGTCAAAAAGATCTTTCATGTACCGATGATCCATTCGGAGAAGTTACAAAAAGTTGCCGTTGCTGTAATCATATTCGCATGGAGTACTTACACATATCCAATATTACTTTCAACATTGTATAATTACTCACAGTACTTATACTATGGAGAAAACTTTATCTATACCATGTCGAATGAATTCAATGCGAGAGACACGGACACGTATATCAGCATCTTCTGGAATTCCGTTAATCTGAAATTGCATAGTATTTTAGATGCGATTTAAAATATATGTACAGATTATCTTCGACTTATTCAAGCATTCATGGCTTCTATCTCGAATCGTTTGTTATTGACCAAATATAAATATTGATTCATTCGATTGTATTTGAAAGAATTGTAAAATCTTCAACATCAGTAGAAGTGAAGGTTAAAATAAGATAATTTTCACTACTAAATATAAAATTCTATGACCCCCGGAGAGAAGAAATGGATTTGTCATAAACGCAACGATGATCATAGAGATGAATTCTCAATAGAAACAACATATGCATATCCATTGATTTATTACACGATTGTTTTATAACATTTTTATTTTCAAGGTAAAAACTCGCACTTCACTTCATCTAAGTCAACGGAGATAGAATTGTTTTGAATCACCATAAGAGTAGAGATCGAGATAAGATGTAAGTCGTTTATCTTTTGTATATTTTCATCCAACGAAACGAAGGCTTCATTTCGAAACTTGTCAATAAACGTTGTGAAGTATGTCCGACGAACCGATCGTATATCCTGATTCGTATGCAGATGACTCGCCTCAGGAGCCTGAGCCACAGATCAAAAGAATGTCGATAGCAACGAATGGCGAATCCAACGTTCACCATCGTCATGAAAACATTCAGTACAAAAAGCCGTATTTCGCAGTTCTCTTAGCAGCTTTCTCCTCATTGGGTGGATGGTTTTTCGGGTACGATCAGGGTGTAACTGGTGGAATTGTCGTTATGCCTTCGTTCAAAGAGGATTTTTGTATTGATGTATATGCAAATAAAACTGTTTGTGATCTCCCTGTTGCCGCTCTACCATCAGAATATCGACGATTTCTAGTGCTTTTCACATTGTTATACAATGTGGGGTGTTTTCTCGGTGCTGTCTTTATTTCATCGTTTGTCGCCGAAAGATTCGGACGGCGAGCGATTATTTTCACGGCGGCGATTTTATTTCTTTCTGGAACGTCGATGGTTATCTTTCCACCGGGTAAATCCAAATCAATTATGATCTTAATTCTTATTGGTCGCGTCGTCGAAGGGACAGGTGTAGGTTGTTCGTCGTTTTCTTGTCCGTTGTACGCTTCGGAAATCGCTCCGACGAACATTCGTGGCATGCTTTCCGGTTTTATGCAAATGACCGTCGTTCTTGGTTTGTTCATTGCGAATGTTGTCAATCTTTTCTTAAAGGATCATCCATTGGGCTGGCGATTATCCAATGGGATTATTTTAATCGCACCGATTGCAATTATGATCGGAATATTCTTCTGTCCGGAAACACCTCGATGGTTATTCAAGAGAAAAGGTCGCGATGCAGCAGAAAAAAGCTTGAAACGTATTCGACGAACTGACAATGTTAGCGCAGAATTAGAGGCAATCGATGATGCAATTAAAGAAGAAGGCGTTCAGGTATCGGTGAAGGAATTATTCACTACGAAGAAAATGCTGGAAAGACTTGGAATTGGGGTTGGAATTCATATCCTTCAACAAGCAACGGGAATTAATCCGATATTTACGTTCGGTGGGATCATTTACGAAAGTATTCTTGGTCAAGGTATTATTTCTTTATTAGTTTTATCCGGAGTGAATTTACTAAGTACAATACCTGCTCTATTTCTATTCGATCGACTTGGCCGACGCAAACTTTTAATCTTTTGCGGTTTAGCGATGGTTATCGGCCATCTTATCGCAGCAACTATATTTGTTACAGGTTGTAAAGTAACGAAGAATATTGTTGATGGAACAACAGCAACTGAAGAGGTCGTGGAGTGCGGTAAAAGTTCAGGTATTATTATGTTAGTAGCCACGGCGATCTTCGTTTCATTCTTTGCACTCTCTTGGGGTCCAATTGCTTGGATTTATGCCGCCGAAATTTTCCCACTCAATGTTCGTGCTCGTGCTGTTTCGATTACAACAGGGAGCAACTGGTTTATGGGTACAATTATGTCATATATCTTAGAATTGATTACACCGTTGGGAATTCACGGTGTGTTTTATCTCTTCAGTAGCTTGACATTATTAGCGGTGATATTTGTTTATTTCTTCTGTCCCGAAACTCGCGGTGTTATTTTAGAAGATATCGATGAACAATTTGAGAATTTTCAATTGAAAAATCGAACGATAGTAAAGTTGTGTCGACGGCCGTGCCAAGGAACTCGACCAAGGTCGGCTAGAGTAGATGTTATCACTGTGACCGACGATGATAATCGATATTAAATCAACTCTATAAAGAAATATTTTCGCGAATGGTTTTTTATTTAATAAAATTTTATGTCATTTCTTTGAACAGAGTTTTGTCGTCAGTGTTCTTTTTTATTATGCTGCGGGAATAATTCGGGCACTAGTTTTAGGTTTTGTCCATTGATTGAGACTTCGAAAGATTTCCTCTTTCAGTTCCGGTATTGCCAAAATAGTCGTCAGTGGTGAAAAGAGGGTGGCAACATAAATGAAGCAAATCAATGTCCAATTAAAAGTCAATTCCATGGAAATCGAAGTTGGATAATAATTATTGATGATTGATGTGATGCCTGAAGGCATCCAAGAAATGTATAACATTCCAACTAGAGACAGAAGCTGCAAGAGCATTTTACGATTCTTATACCAGATCCGTCGTTGCATCATTCGCTTTTTGAAATAAAGTACACGTGCAATGAGAAATGTGTTCGAGATGATCATCACAATCAGAGGCGCGATGATAGCAAACACCCAGGAAAATGTTCCTGTCACTGGATGAGTAAGATAACAAGCAGTACCACATGCCCATGAATGGTAATCAAAATGATTTACACATGGCATAAAGTTGACCACATAGACGACGTACACGAACGGCATAACAATGAATGTAACCATCGGAATATAGTGTACGATGATCTTGTGTCTATTTGTAGTAACGTTCATTATAGGTTTGCATGAATGTCAGTGTAGTACTTACTTGATGAGAAATGGATTGTGAAAGATGAGAAAATAACGTTCAATGGATAGATATGCATTCAGTTGTACAGAACTCATATTTAGAAAGGAGGTCAACACGTACCAATAAGCGCAGAATCGATCAGAGGAGAAAGCAACTTTCCCTTGATAGAATAAGATAATTGCTAAAGGCAGATCGCATGTGCCCTAGAAGATCAGTGAGCTTTTTACATGAGATCATCAGCTAACGTTTTTACCTGAACGAAATAAAGCAGGAAAATGCAGATGAAGATATGGTTGTTCAAGCGGGTCCATATTTGTTTTTTACGTAGAATAAAAGACAAAATAAATAAAGAGCAAACAATTGACGGCAAAATCAATATCAACAAGCAGACAGATGTAAGTCTTCGACTCAGTTCAACATTTATAATGGAACTGTTATTTGCCATTTTACCAAATGCCTCTTGAACGTATTGTTGAATCCTCTATTTCTACTATCAATATAAGTCTGCGTGATACTTAATATCCTCTTATAGTCATTTATATCAACACACATTCTACTCCGGATTAATAGATTTAGATCTATCAGGCACATCATTAGCATCGATTTCCAACTAGAAAAGTTGACATGTCAAATAGTCTAATTGGGTATTTCAAGTTTTCTTTCACTATCGTATAATGTATTCCGTCAATGCAAACGATAGCTGATGATTGCATTAGTCCGCCAATCGCCGTAGTATCATCATCCTCTTACGTAACATGATAACAGATCGTGATTCTCATTCCGCGTGTGAATGAGTAAAAAAGTAACATTTACTCGGTGCATAGACACGATATTATGAAACAATTCTTATTCTTACTTGTATACGCTTGATCATATTTCATCGGCGAATGCATTTTGATGAAGAACATAGAACAAGAAAAATACCCCCTTGTACACAGGCTTATTTGAATATTTTTTTTCCTATCGTATGACGATTTATGTCGTCTTAATAGCGTATTTGTTTTTGTTTGAAAAGGAAAAGTAATACGAATGTATTTTTTCACTTTCAGTATCTCATACAACATGTTTTTAGCATCAAAACCATTGATTATCTTTGTTGCCGCAAGCGTTGATCAATTTAACTCGTATGAAACACTTAAAAATGCTGTTTCTAAGACATTGCATCCAGAGTGGAATTCTCTAGTGGATGTAAGTCGAACGAATCTTCAGGCCGTAATTCAATTCCCTTCTGGTAGCCAATGGTTTTCATACAAAGGCGATGCTAATGAAGTTTGCGTGTGCAGTGATAAAAATTATTGTGCATATTATTTAGAAGAAACCAAAGGCAGACGAACATTCATAGTTTTGTTAAGTCATTTATTTAATGATTTCGTTTCAGAGATTATTGAGAAGCATGCTGATGTTTTTTGTAAACCTTACGAAGACCAAAGCATCTCGATTTATATACTCGACATGGATGGTGCAAACTCAGACATAAACCTAGGTGATATTCAGCGCCATGTACACTTTTTCGATCATGAAAAATCTTTGCTGTCTGAAATATCACTCAAAATCGCAGACTATTTCGTTAAACTTGGGAAAAACATATCGACTCATGAAAATCTATCCCAGCAACTCATGTACTTCGTTTGGGCCAAGACACTCACGTCACGCGCTACTCATATAGTGCCAGGTATCACAGCAAAGGATCGTGTCACGGACATTAATAAGCTCATTGCTGCTACAAAAGAACTACTCCGTGAAACAATGTCTGACAATGATCGAACTAGTTGTGGGTCGGGCGTTTATAGTAAGAAAGACGACCTATCGGAATATCTTCAATTAAAAGAGGCAAGGGACGTAGCCATGTCTGTGAAACATGATCGACACGAAGATACAGTATTAGAGAACGCAATGCAACAAGAAAATACTTCTGTTACGCAAGTCTACCTTCTTGAAACGTCATTTTCAAAGAAAACTTTCGAGAATATATCGAAATTATCCAAGCAGCTCTTCGGTCAAAACTTGACAATTGTTTCCAAAGAAGAAAGCTACGATCGATTACAAAAATTTCATCAGCCGTCATCAATAATTTGTTCGTTTTCGACCGATGATGATAAAATATTATTGAACAGTTTATCTTCCATGAATCCGCCTCCATCGATCTACCTTTTTGGAGCACTGCCTGTGGACAAAGAAAGTTTTTTCAAAGAATATTTTCGCATTAGTTACATTTCAGAGAATCTCCAGGAGCTAGTTGTACAGGCGGCAATTGACATGGCAATGAATAATCGAATTGTGGGTGGCAGACATGCGAAGAAACAAGATACAATTAATGCAGGAAGGTGCTTTGATCAATGTATTGAGATTTTAAAACAACTGGACCATCTTGCTGCAATCAGTGCCAACGAGAGAGACTAATGCAAAAATAAAAGGTTTTGAGATGTGAGCAATGAACGTGAGAGACTTTCATATTCTTTACCAATAATTGTACTATCATTATTGATTTTTAAAGCTGTGTTTTTATTTCAGATTTGTTTATATTGCCGAGTATGGTCAACCAGTGCATCATCCATATATTCAAATTTATTTCGCTGCCCGTATTCGATATTTTATTGATACAAGCTCAGATACCACATTTTAAACGAATCGATCTATCCTTCTGTAAGGGATATTCCAAATGGTAATAATGGTCCACGTATGTGGATCGACACTTTCGAAGAAGGTGAGCTGCGGGTAAAAATTGGTTTTACGATACTTCGGCAAGACTGCCTGCTTGTTTTACAAACTGATTCTTCTCGAGCACAACTTACTCAGTTGCGCAGTACACTTGAAGTTCTATTAAGTGAGGTGCGTGATGCAAAGCTCGGTGTAGAAGCAAGCGATCAAAATGAATAGTCAGTAGACTCAGGTGTATGATCACAAGTGTCAAGCAAAAATTCTGTATTTTATATATCACAACAAGATCTCAATTATTACACTGTTCTCTTCTGGCGACTGTCTCTGAATATTTTAAATGTGCTTTCGTATGATTTTTATACAAACGATTTTTTAAATAAAATGCAACATCGCATAACGTTATATTTGCTCATGTACATTTTCCTGGTGTACGGGGAAAATACGATTGCGACACCGATTTATTTCACAACCATTTAAATATGGTTGTGAGTCTAATGTTTTTTTTTTGTCTCGAATAGATATACAATCATCTCACCCTCTCTTTCAAACTGTAGAGAAATCGAATTACAACAACTTTCTGACTATTTTATATTTTCTTACCTAGCTCCATGTCGCCTGGAAGCTACTTTTATTTTCAATATTGCTTGCTAAAAACAACTTCTCATCGTTTTGCGGAAGTTTTTGAGGATTGTTATTATTTTGATTACAACTAACACAGATGGGACACTCCGCAAGAATCACATTGTTTACATCTTTGTATACATTAGCATAAGTTTTGTTGTCATGTTAACTTCATTTTCTGTGAATATGTGATCTTAAGCGCTTCCTATATCTTCAACTCTTCGGAAAACTATTTCCTTTCGATAATTAAAAAAAAGTTATCGAGTGTACCACCATATATTCTCATCGCAAAACTCAGTTTATTTCTTATTCTATTCCAGTAATTGTCATACAGTAGAATAGGGAAGAAAACTTCTTCTTGCAATTATATTATTTAAATGTAGACTCGTGTTATTGATTCTTATTTATTTAGGTCATAGTCAGTGAAGAAATTCTACAGAATACTTTTTACCATTACAATGGGACGTACGATTAAAATTGCTTTGATATTAGGATCGATCGGTATCGTAGTCGCAGCAGCGGTCGCTACTGCACTAACTCTTTATTTCAAACGAAAAACTGACCCAACAACTATTTCAAGTAAGTCTTGTTTTTCTATTCTTTCTTTTGTCTGTGACAACGCACGTTAGACAATACAACAGTACAACAAAGTACAACAACGAGTGGATTCATGGGCGTTAGTAAGTCGAAATTTAACAGAGAACACTCAGATAGTATGTGCTACTTTCAATTGCTATTGCAGACGTTTCTACAAATAGAGTGAACACGACGATTTATGATGCAAGCCGTACTACTGGTATCACCAACCCAACAACAACGTTGATCAGTACAATAAGCAGTACGCGAATGAGCGTAAGCACGACTCAAGCGGCATTCGTTAATAATACAGGTTTGTTATTCAACACGTTCTTCAATTTATCATATATCTTACGAAGAATTGTTTATTGGTATACATGACGTAAATATGATGCTATAAACGGTGTTGTACTGAGAGAAAATTTTGAAATTAACTCACTTTATCAGGCGTAAATGCTTCTATATAAAAAGCAAATATTATACTTTCAAGAATCTTCTCATATAAAGTACTTCATGATAACTGAATAATGTATTTCTCACTTCATAATTAGTTTCTCAATATTCATCGGCGTTGACCATTTCCAGTCAAACATTCTGCCGAAGTGGTAGTTGTTCGGACGCAAAACAATATTTTGAAGCTTTTCGATTGACTGTACTTGCCACTGGTCCGTATTCTATGAAATCGAGTGGCAATTTAGATACATATGGGTATCTATACAGTGGTACCTTTGATCCGTTCAATCCAACTACCAATTTAGTCACTTCCAATGATGATGATGGTGGCAATCGGCAATTTATGATGAATGCTACTCTCCAAACATCAGTACAATATATCATCGTGGTGACATCGTATTATACATTTAATTTAGGACCTTATACAGTAACTGTTACTGGTCCTGGGTCAGTGGCGCTATCGTTAATGAATATAACAGGTGAGAAAATCGAAAACTGGTACAGCATGTCATTTGAGTTTTCTTATTTTGACTAATTAAAGGTCTAACAACTCAACGATCATTGTATTTATCAACATTGAACAATAGCAGTGCAACATTCTGCCGGGTTGGAAATTGCTCCAATGGTCTATATTATTACTACACAGCACTTCGTCTCAATGTAAGTACGAATGGGACGTATTACATTGTATCATATAACAACTTTTATGCCTATGGATACATTTACAATAGTAGCTTTATGGCTTCTGCTCCGGATACAAATTTTCTTATAAGCAATGAGGATGGCGCTGGCTATGGTGCATTTCTCTTATCCACAAATATCAGTCCGATATCATCTTATGTACTAGTTGTCACCACATATTCGACTAATGTAACTGGTCCATATGCAGTGATTGTCTATGGGAAAGGAACTGTTAGTTTCTCCGTTGGATAGCAAGACTGGAACGATGATATCGTTTGAACACTTTCAAATATTTCTAAACGCTTTTTCCACATGCTTTGCTTAACTATCTTTATTCTCTCTTGGTTTTCTATTGTCTCTATGCACTGATCAAATTACGCAAACCTCTTGATTCGATTTATATTTTATTTATCCTGGAGTTTCAATAAAAAATGATTATACTCGTTATGTGAATGTTTGAGAGAGTCAACGACTATGAGTCATGTATAACGTTATCTTTCGTTTTTCTTTCTCACATTTGTTTATGAGGGTGAAAGAACAGAACAACAGAATTTAGCTAGCGATTAGACGCACTATGAATAATCAAAGAGCTGAAGCACCGGATTTTATCGTATGGTGTGCCGATGATTTAGGTACGTTTATAATACAGTTTTTCTCTTAATCAATAAAAGTATGTATGAGACGAGAGAAAGAGTTCATCTATGAAATCATAGTCTGATCTTTCGTTGAAATGTATATCGAGTTATTTTCAAAGGGAATGACATTGAACTTGGAAGATACCATACGCGCAAAGATGCAGAGAAGGCTATGCAACAACATATTCAACAGCACAATCAACAAAATCAGTTTCAAAGCTATCGCATAGTCGATACAAATCCTGGATACAAACTTGTGAAAAGATAAACATTATTAATAATAGACGCATTGTCTATATTCTTGATGATTATTTATTTTAAACACAAATAAATACATCTGTGTATAAAAATACGCGGCACCGACAGTGACACATATGAAGCAACCTTTTTATCACGTTGAGCTATAAATTTAGGATGTAAGATACTTTCGTAGAGTCGACGAATTGCTGCTATAAACAATTTCACACCATTGACTCTTGGAAAACCCTGGTAGTGTTACACATTTAGAGTTCTAGAGAACTCTAAATATCCCAGGTCGACAAAGCCCATACTTGGATCCCATATCGGAATCCGACAATCCGACAGGATTCTTGGTGGCGGACTTGCATCGGATTCTGACGATGACGGATCCCATGTCGGATCCGAAACACGGTTTTTCTAAGGATCATCATAGCACCTAGTTAAAAATGACACTCATAAAATTTGCAACAAATGACCGGATTTTTCCAGTCAGAATCCGATGCAATTCCGTCACCAGGAATTCTATTGAATTTCGTCGGATTTGTTGGCCTGGAATGTGACACTATTCATTATTTGAATCGTTGCTTGCTTTCGCCGGGTTAGCTTTGATGCAACACACGTCGCTGCGTTATTTACCAGTGGCCAGAAACGGTTGCATCTGAATGTGTGCAGCCGACAGCAAGAATTTCTTAAATCATCACATTGCAATTGTTTGCTACATGTTGAATAAATATGTTATCGTTCGCATCTCTCCATACCTCAATTTATACTCAAAAAAAAAACTGCGCAAAAAACAACATGTGAGTGACGAATTGTTATCGTAAACAAAAAAAAATTCGCCACGTCGGCAAACAGCAGAGCAGTATGATTAATCGAAAAAAAGTGCGTTTCTTTTTCTCTAAAGTAGGCGTCTGTTTTGATAAGTAAAAAAACATTTTCTCGCTTTCTTTATCATAATCTTTCGACAGCTAAATCGAGGACGCAGTACTTCGGTACCATAATAACAAGATTCTTCGGATTTTGTTGAAAATTAAATAGTTCTTCATGCAAATGACATCTTCTCTAATTAAATGTGAAGGTAATTAAGCGTATCAAATATAAACTTAACTGACTTGAACGTTTTATCATGTTCATTCTTTCGCGTTTCCACCGATGGCTTCAACATCGTTGATTTTCATTGGTAGCCAATTTTGTATTTATTCTGGTTTCATTATATTAAAGCTTGGTCTAATCGGAAACCTAATCAATCTTTTCGTCTTATTCTCGACTCGAACAAATCCTTGTTCGTTTTTATTATGGCTTGCCTCGATTTTCAATATCATCACACTACTGGCAGGACTTTTACCGAGAATTTTAAGCATAGGCTTTTCCGTTGATGCATCATCAACTAGTCTAATGTGGTGTAAAAGTCGCTGGTTTCTTTCGTACACAAGTGCCTTCACTAGTTTAACATGCATCTGTTTTGCCTCAATTGATCGATATTTGGTTTCAAGTCAATATATCCAATGGCATCATCGAAGCAAATTGAAAACGGCAAAACTAGCTATTGTGATCGCTACTTCAGTTATCATGTTGATTCATATACCATTTATAGCATTTTATCATATTATTCAAGTGAACAATTCCAATGGCAATGTAATCTATCAGCAATGTTTCGGAACTAATACAGCATGGAATTCGTATGTGAATTATTTTACTCGACCAATGTTGGGTTCGATTATGCCTGGAACTGTATTGGCTGTTACAGGTTGGCGAACATATTTGAATATCAAATTGCGAATGCTTGTTCACCCAGGAGGAACATTTCAACGAGGTTTAACTACAATGATCCTTTTACAAAGTATCCTAATCATCATTCCCGTAGTACCTTTCTCAATCATTATTATCTATCAAATTGCAACAACATCAACAAGCAAAACAGCATATCGTTTAGCTCAAGAAACAGTGGTTTTTAATATAGCGAATATCTTTCTATACATTAGTTATGCGTCGAATTTCTATGTATACTTTTTTTCAGCTAAGTCCTACCGAAAAGAACTCTTTAGGTTAGTTTCGTATTTTGTTTGCTATCGAAGTCATCGTGTTGAAATACGTCGTATGTAAAATGTTTCCGGGAGGCATGAATAACGAATATAGAATCTGAATCTTGAGGATGATTGTGTTCTGAAGCGTGTTCATATTAAAAAAAGTATTCAGGTACTGACTACTAAAATAAATCTCATATTCTAACAGCTGACCAATTTTGTGCCTTTGGTACTTTCGCATAGTCAATAGCTCGAAAATAACTGAAAATATTTTATTAGTGATATGATCAAAATGAAGAGAGAATTTCTACGAATGTAGCATTATCAGTATCTTCACGCGTATTAGCAATCGCTTGTTGACAAATGATACATTTTGGTTGATTTCTCGTCGTTGCGCGCTGTTGTAAGATTACAAAACATTTTCCACACACTGTCTTATGACCACATGGTAAACATCGACTAAAAATCGGATATTCAAAACACATCAAGCATTCCTTTCCTTTGGCAACTTGTTCAGCAATCATCGTTAATTGGTCAACAGCTTGAGCTGCGGTTGGTCGTGTATTGGCATTCGGATGAAGGCAGGCAACTATCAGACTTCTGTAACGCTCAGGCACATGAGTGAGCTCACGAATGTTAGCTTCTGTGATGATATCATGTGAACTCTGATAAACCGCTTTCGGTGCAAGAGCATACATCAATACTCCAAGTGAAAACACATCGACAGCGGTGCCTGTATATGAAAAATCTATTGATCTACGGTCACGATGAAATTCGGGGGGTAAAGGTTGCGAGCCAATGATCGTATAATTTTCTGTACCATGTTGACACGTACCAAAGTCAGCTAGAAAGACGTTTCTGTGATCATCGAGCAAAATGTTTTGAGTTTTAATATCGCGATGAATAAGATTTTGCGCATGTAGATGTGCTATAGCACGGCTTATATGAAGTAGAATACGCATAGCATCGCTCATGGTTAAATCCGCCATGTGATTTGTCAGATAAGTATGTAAACTCATAGGGTAGCGCCGAAGAAGAATATACAATCGATCGTTTTGATTGTCATAATGCAGCGAATGTAATGGAACTATATGTTCAATATTCAATCGAGTTATCGTCCGATGAAAGTGGGCCTCCATGTAAGCAAAATCGGGTGATTTGCTTGAATTCAGTAGAACTTTAGCTACAAGATCTCGTTCTGTATCCCACGAGGCCGGGTGTACAGAAAAGAAGCCACCGCGACCCAACGTGTCGCCCAAATCGATCCTTGGTGCCCTCCCATAATGTTTAGCTAAATCTAAGTTAGCGAGCAGAAGACATTCGAGGCGAGCAAATTGCGGTGCAAAAAATCGAGCTAATCGATATGCTTGTTGTCGGACATTTGCAGTGGCTAAAGCAGCTTGATGGTAAGCATGAATTTTCTGCTTAACAAATCTTTCATTCGATTCAACTTCATCTCGAATATTCCGTTTAATGCTTTCACCAATGTCGACAAAACTTCGTTCGACGTCTTCCTCAATAATGTGTTCACCCAAAGAATCAATATCTAATTCTTTAATCGAGAACAGTGTTCCAAGCGTATTCATTAGTCCACTGATTCCGACGAGAATTTCTTTGAACGATTGCTTTTTGAAATAGTCTCGACGTTTTGTCGTATCGATAATTTTGATGCGATCAAGAAATGCACGGTAAGCTGCAAGAATTAATTCGTTGTGCTTAATGGGTCGTTTCTCGACTAAGTTCTGGTCGATGTGCGTACTGACTCGATCATTGATTTGATTGAAAATTTTACTTAAAACCGGTCGAACAATTTCTTCCTGAACAATTGAATGCGAAAAATTTTTGTCATCGGATATTCGAATTGGTTGGATAGCATTTATCAAACTAATGCTTGAAACTTGCAAATCCAAATGTTCACTTCGTTCTCGTCTATACGCAACTATTTTCTTCGCTAGTTGTATGCGTTGCTGGCGTAATCGAACAGAAAACTGTTTTTGTGCTTCGTCACCGATGGCATCGGCTTGTAAGCGATATTGTTGGAAGAATTCCGTCGCCCAATGTAATGCTTCTTCTCGTAGACGATCCCATTTTCTGGCCGAACGTTGATTGGTCATTAGAACGAAATCGAAAAATGTATCAATGGTATCCAACATAATCTTGCTGACTTCTTGAGTGTTCCGTAAAGCGCTATCGAAAATAAAACGAAGGATACGATCGATAACGTTCTGTTGTGGATGTTCACTACTAAAAACATCAAAGCAATTGCATTCATCACATGTGCGAGGCAATCGGTTATTCATGGTCAAAACATCTCTTAAATTTTCATATCGACGATTCCGTTCTCGATCATCGTCGAGGTCGATTTCAGTGTTGAGAAAGAATATATTATCATGAACGGTATTACCAAGAGTTCGTCGCAGCTGTTCGTAATATGTTTTTGTCTCATCGGAGATGGTAGCACCTTCGTACACGAATAGAAAATATGGATTTGTTAGATGAATATTCTTTATTGCGGTAATCGTTGATATTTCGTATACATCAATATTTGATTGTAGGAAATTTGATGGCAAACAAAGTTCAACGAGAGATGCTTTCCAGTCGTCTGATTCAATGGTATGTTCTCCTTGGAGTAAATAAGGTGCAAGCGTTGCCTTTAATTCTTCTGAAGCAATGCGCGTTTTGAAAAATGATGATAGATCAATACGATTCGTAGATGAGACTGTTTGTCCATTCGTTTCGTGTAAGATTAAACAAGCTTTATTAGAAGCAGCATAGGAAAATTTGACATTCCGTTGTGAAATACTATTGATGTCAGCCGGTAAAAATTGACCACATCGGAGAAGTTCATGGATAACAGATGCCTTTCCCGATGATTTCGCTCCACAAACAATCACTTCTATTCTATTCTCTATTTTGTATTGCTTGAGCGTTGTTACTTTGTTTGTGTTTAGAAGTACGTCAATGAGATCTTTAAGAGTCTGTAGTTGATCACAAACTGATTTGATATCATTTAAAAATCGTTGTTGAAGGTCACAAAATTGTGAGATTATCGAACAAGTCGACTGTTGAATTGTTGTATTCGAACGGAACATACGTGCAATCGAGTTATCACCGTGTGTCATCGCTAATCACCGATTCAAAACTGAATTGTGAGAAAGACGTAGTAGTAGAAAGTATGTCGTCATCTCTTCGTCATATGCGCAAAGATTTATCTAATAACGCAGTTGATAAAAACACTTGTTTTGCAACAAGAAAAGAAAATGAATACGTGCTATCCTTCTTCGATTCATAATACAAAAATAAAGACAAATTTGAAAGCTTGTTAATCAGTGCCGATATTAAGTTGAATTTCAAATACCATACTAGTGAAAATTCTTCTAAAGATATGAGAACTTTGCAACATTCGGTTGATAGCATACACAAGGCGAATATTATTATCATCATCTTATGATAAGAAGCTTCTACTTGTATCCATTTGCGCGTGTGTCTAGCATACACAGTAATGGCAAGTGTTACTTCTCTCTGTCGCTGGCTGTTTCAAGAACCACCGGGATCTCATCGAGAATCGGAAGGTCAATATGCTTATGCACTTGAAGAAATGAATGGTCCAATTGCACGTGTTGAAGACGGAATTATTGGTCCGTATTCAGCTGAATTAAAAGAGGAACAATGGTTTAAAATTCCACGTACATCTTGTCCTGCTCTTAATCTTCATGGTCTTGGTACACAGTTATCTATCGTTGCTTGGATAAAACGCAAGCAAAAGAGTAACAAAGAATGCGAAACGATTGCTGGAATGTGGAATGAAACAAATAGTGCAAGACAATATTGTCTCTTTCTCAATCTTGGTATTTGGAGTAGTGCCAATCAAGTGTGTGGCCACCTGTCTTCGACGGGCGCTCCTAGTCCTGATTATAGATATTGTATGGAAGCTACGATAGGACAAACGGCTGTACCATGGAACGAATGGCAACAAGTTGCAGTCACATTCGATGGCATTTGGGCTAAAGCTTATTTAAATGGAAAGCTCGATCAACGACCAGGTCTCAGTCCGTATTTTTGGCCGTGTGCCATTCACGATGGTGGAGATCAAGGTGCTGATTTTACCGTTGGTTCAGTATTTCGTAGCGGCACCATGGGCAACTGGTTCGTTGGACAACTTGGAGGATTGGCTGTTTATGATCATGCTCTCACTCCTGCAGAACTTCATGAACTTTATGTTTCTCGTTCTGTTTGAGTCAATATACTGTCTGTTTGCTTTTTCTCTCTCGCTTGATAAGAACGCAGAGATTAAACTCATCTTGACTGTAAAAACAACTTATTGTTCATTATGTTTGTAATCGAAATGGATTGATTGAATTGTTTCGTGCTAAAGATTAAACAAATCTGAATTTTCGTCATTCTCCACATTTTTATCGTATAAAACAGTATAGCTTATCATTGATTCATCTCTCATGAATCACTCTCTTGTAACTACGTGTCAACAAAAGAAACAACAGAAGTACACTGCACCATTCATTCCTTTTCGTTTATGTTGAAATGTGTAACAAACCAATAGATCTTTGCGAAAAGATGACGTGAAGTCCAATAGGACATAACTTTTATTGAGATCTACCCAAATAGCCCAAAGTAAACACAGTATACATCAATGCATTTAGCGTCAAATCTAAACTTATAAGATACTGTTCATTCAAGAATGCGATGTATGAAAATACAAGAATATACAAAGTCATAGCTAAGTATCCTCTATGAATTTGCAAGCCGTTGATTTGGTGTTGAATTGCGAAACAAATTGACTGCAAACTATCAGAAGCCACATGCAAACTTGGACAATACTGATTACACCGATTGAGATATGGACACATGGTGTCGGTAGTTGGACAAGCCGCAATTTTCCGTTCTTGATCATTCATACGCGTCGGATTACCAAACTTTGGAGTAACAATCCATTTTCTAGCAGAACTGAAATTGAAAAAACCTGCTATCGCTGAACTTGCATGATGGAATAGCATAGCATTACAAAAGAGGGAATAGACTTTGACCAAATGGATTTGTTCAAATGTGTAGAATAAAATATTGGAGGCTAAAATTAATGGAAAAAATGTGATAAAAATGTTCACATTGACTGTTTTCCGTAAACAAGCATTGATAGCTATATTCAGAAGAAATATAGCGAAACGAACAATGTAAAGACATGGCCGACAAATCATCCACAGACAATGCAGCTTTCGATAAACGTTCATGTGAGACGTTCGACGAACAGCTGTGAATAACTTTCGAAAAACCTGTGCAGGTCCACTGAACCATCGGTATTGTTGAGAGAGGTATGCCGTGAAAGTAGGTGGCAACTCGTTCAAACATTTAACATCAAGTGTATAAGCAGCATACCAGCCATTCATATAAGCTCGAACAGAAATATCTAAATCTTCGACCAGAGTGTCTGTATGCCAACCTCCACATTGGTGAATGGCTTTCGTTCGCCAAACACAAGCAGATCCATTGAATTGAAAAAAAGAATGCATGCGATATTTGACTTCTTGTTCGCATTTATGATGATGATTGAGAGAAATCTCTTGCATTTGTGTTAATAGTGACTCTTTTCCATTGGTGNCAACCTCCACATTGGTGAATGGCTTTCGTTCGCCAAACACAAGCAGATCCATTGAATTGAAAAAAAGAATGCATGCGATATTTGACTTCTTGTTCGCATTTATGATGATGATTGAGAGAAATCTCTTGCATTTGTGTTAATAGTGACTCTTTTCCATTGGTGAATATCCATCGTGCTTGGGCATAGGCCACTTTCGGATCTTGCAAAAGAAGAGGCACTGTTTTTACTAGGAAGTTCTTTTCGGGTAGAAAATCAACATCGAATAATGCAATGTATTCACATTGTTGAATCTTCTCGAGGCCATTTTTCAAGTTTCCTGCTTTGAAACCGTATCGATCGTCACGTCGAACAACATCGATTTGAAACCCTCGACTTGACCATTCTTCTACACACATATCAATCATTTTCATAACTGTCTCATCCGTCGAATCGTCCAGTACCTGAATAATCAAACGATCTTTTGGCCACTCTAAATTACAAGCACACGTTATCATTGAAATACAAAACTCCTTTTCGTTCATCATTGGTAATTGTACAGCAACCATGGGATATTCATCATCCGTTGACGACGGTGGCATCACACGACTTAACGTAGGATGTGACTTCGAAGGTAGACCAACTCGCAAGATAGTGTATATGATTTGTTCTATATCATCCGAAGTTTGAATGATAATCAACAATATGGATAACGTTTGAAGAAAATCGACAATTGTTATTGATCTTTGAACATGGTAGATATTATCAGCAAGAGTTGGGTTAATTTCTTGGGAAGTAATGTTCACGTAACAATTAGATATTCGTGTCGCTTCTAACGAATGTTGCAACAATATGAAAATAAACACGATTCTGACGAGTGTCCTGCAACTCATGATTGACTTCTCCAAATGATCTTCAATTATTAAAAGTTCTGTTTCGTATATTCTTCAGTCATGAATCTTGCCCTCAAGATGGTTGTCGGGAAGTATCTCTGAGATGCCTAGTATGTTATAATCTAAAATGGCACATAAAGATTAGTAATGAAAAGCGCACGCATATATATTAAATCAGAAAAAAAGCAAAAAGAACAAAGTGAATAGATAATAGCAGATAAAAAATACTGAACATGTTAAGATAATTGTAATGCATTTCAAGTGTACCTATTTCAGTACAAAACTGATGAATAGACCTGTCAACGACTTAGAAATAATTGTTCGAACAGGACTAAGTATTCATTCGAGTATGTCGAACACTATAGTGCTGGTCTAGTGATATTTTGGAAGTGAATGCATTACAATCAACTTGACATATTCGCTGTCTAGTTCTAATGAAAAGCAATATGGAGCATCAAAGATTCGACTAATGTCGAAACTACTTATAAATGAATATTGGTAAAAGTTACATATGTCTGTAAATAATGATTTTTGAACTATCTTCATGGCCATGCCAATATTTGACCACCATTGCTCGTCTGTGTATGATTCAGTGGCCCTTGATAATATAATGTCGCACCATTCGAAACAAGTGCGTTGATGGCCGTCGTTGCACAAACATACACTACCGACGAAATATCAGCTACAACATTGGCAACTGTTGGACATGTTGATTTCACCGTAGTCACCGTAGAATTTACAACATTGATTTCTATTTGACCGGTCGAGCAAAGATTGTTGACTGTCAATGCACTAGTACTCGTGATAGTGACAGATGCTGCACATTGAGCTGTACTAGCATTAACAATCGAGTCAGAACCACTAATGATCAGTGAGGTATTTGCGCAAATGCCTGTCATTGTACCGTTTAGTGTAATGCTAAGAAAAGCTGATGTTGGACATGGCCAAGACGTATTCATAGAATGCAACCTAGTTCCCTGTGATGTCATATTGATGCTTTGACTCGCACAAAGATTGGTAAATCCACCTGCATATTGAGCATTGATCACAACCTGTTGTGGGCATACATTTGCTGAATTAATAGAAATTTCATCTGTATAGCTGGCTGTAACAGTCATTTGTTGACTTGCACAGAGATTCGTAATACCCTGCATAGAGTTGACATTGACAGTAGCCTGTTGTGGACATACATTTGCTGAATTAATAGATATTGGGTTCGTGTAATTTGCATTAATACTCATTTGTTGACTTGCACAGATATTCGTGATTCCAGACATACTTTGGACGTTGACAACAGCCTGTTGTGGGCATACAGTTGATGAATCGATAGAAATTGGATTCATGGAACTTGCTGTTATAGTCATTTGTTGACTTGCACAGAGATTCGTAATACCTTGCATATTGTGGACAGTAACAACAGCTAGTTGTGGACATGCAGTCACTGAATTGATAGAAATTGAGCCCATGCTACTTGCTGTAATATTGATTTGTTGACTTGCACAGAGATTCGTGATTCCAGCCATATTTTGGGCATTTACAACAGCCTGCACTGGACATTCATTCACGGAATTAACAGAAATTGAGCCCATGTTCTTTGGTGTTATAGTCATTTGTTGACTTGCACAGAGATTCGTGATTCCAGCCATATTTTGGGCATTTACAACAGCCTGCGCTGGACATTCATTCACGGAATTAACAGAAATTGAGCCCATGTTCTTTGCTGTTATAGTCATTTGTTGACTTGCACAGAGATTCGTAATTCCAGCCATATTTTGGGTAGTAACAGCAGCTAGTTGTGGACACGCAGTCACCGAATTAATAGCAATTGGGTCCGTGTTACTTGCTGTTATATTCATTTGTTGACTAGCGCAGAGATCCTTAATACCCTGCATATTTTGGACACTAACAATAGCCTGTTCGGGACATACATTTGATGAATTGAGAGAAATGGGTCCCATATTTTTTGATGTAATACTCAATTGTTGGCTTGAACAAAGATTTGTAACCCTCGTCGTTCTTTCTGACGAAAGAGTAACCTGTTTCGGACATGCAGTTGCTGAATCAATGGAAATACTATCAGTGTCAATCGATTTAATAGTCATTTGTTCACTTGCGCAAAGATTAGAGACGGGACCGATGAATGCCATGTCAAAACTACTGTTTTTCGCACAGGACGATGCTGAGTTAAATGTGATATCATCCGCTTGATGTACTACTACATTCATTTGGTTAATAGCACAAATGTTATCAATTTCAGACGCGTTATTCGCTGTGACAGTAATCACCTGAGGACATGTTGCTGTTTTACTAATAGATACGACCGATCCATCGTTTGCGTTTATATCCATAGAATTTATTGCGCATACATTATTAACATTTGCTGTTCCTGCGGCGTGGATATCGGTTACTTTTGGGCAGGACGATGATGTCGAAGTGACGCTTGCATTCGAATTGGCTTCGATATTCAACTGATTAAGTGCGCACACATTATTAACCGTGGAATTATCCGTAGCTGTTAAATTGAATATTGTCACCAGACAGGTATAATTACTTTGTACATCCACTATATCAGTATGTGCCACTAAGAGAGTAACTGGCGGGATCGGCGCTAAAACGAAATCAGAAGAGATGAAAAAGAATTTCCGAAGCACTATTTAAACTCATGCGAGGATCATTAACACTTATCTACGAATGATGTCCGCTTCCGGATCGTTCATATGTTTAAGCAAGTATTCCAACAATAATGTCACTTTTCTATTTTACATGTTTCGGCATTTTCTATCGCTCGAGGTTCTCATATGACGATGAATGCATTACAAACTATCTTAAGATATGGGCAAAACTCAAGCCGAGTATTAAGTGTAATGTAACGTGGATTTGAGAATCTTGAAAGAGTTTTGAATAGCAATGAAAAATAAAGCACATATGCATCGCGCTGAAAATGGTGACGCTCACAGTATACAGCTATGGGACACGCTACTAGACAATTTTTCGACAAATTACATTTTTAACTCAACACTTTCATCTTTTCTCTCCGTGCCGACTAGAATCTTTCTCTTTACCTGGACATGATTGATTGGACGCTGTCGTCCCATCACTACAATTCATACATTTGAAATCTGCCGCTCCGCCACCAACCGCAACGCAAGAGCCTTCACCTCCGGTCGAATTACAATTGACAGATGCGCACGGTGTGCCTAGAGAGAGGAGAGACGTGAATCCACTGTTTTATGGAGTGGCGCGTATCACCTACCTGGGCAAAATCCGTTCGTTACATCTCCACCATAGCTACAGCCTGTGCATTTGTAGTTTGCACTTCCACCGCCAACTGCCTGGCAAACGCCGCCGCCAGAAGCTGAGTTACAGTTGACAGATGCACATGGTGTACCTAGAGAGGAGACACGAGAATCCACTGTTTTTTGGAGTGGTGCGTATCACTTACCTGGACAAGGCCCGTTCGTCACATCTGCACCATAGCTACAACCTGTGCATTTGTAGTTTGCACTTCCACCGCCAACTGCCTGGCAAGCACCACCACCAGCAGCTGAATTACAATGGACAGATGCACATGGTGTACCTAGAGAGGAGGAATGTGAATCCACTGTTTTATGGAGTGGTGCGTATCACCTACCTGGGCAAAATCCGTTCGTTACATCTCCACCATAGCTACAACCTGTGCAATTGTAGTTTGCACTTCCACCGCCAACTGCCTGGCAAGCACCGCCACCAGCAGCTGAATTACAATGGACAGATGCACATGGCGTACCTAGAGAGGAGAGATGTGAATCCACTGTTTTATGGAGTGGTGCGTATCACCTACCTGGGCAAAATCCGTTCGTTACATCTGCACCATAGCTACAGCCTGTGCATTTGTAGTTTGCACTTCCACCACCAACCGCCTGACAAGCACCGCCACCAGCAGCTGAATTACAATTGACAGATGCGCAAGGTGTGCCTAGAGAAGAGACACGAGAATCCACTGTTTTTTGGAGTGATGCGTATCACTTACTTGGGCAAGGCCCGTTCATTACATTACCACCATAATTACAGCCTGTACATTTGTAATTTGTGACATCGCCACCATTCGCTTCACAGACGCCTCCGCCGCCAGTCGAGTTGCAAACTGTCAGGATGGAGCAGAAGGAAACTAAAGAACGAGACATTTTTCTTAAACAGAAAGAAAAGTAATTGGGGAAAGAACTGCGTGCGTTTAAGTAATCCGAATAGTGTACTATATTTGCACTAAGTAGGTCTTTCATCCGGTCGGGATGCGTTTTGAATTTCCTGTAATCGGCAGATAGTTTGTGAATATTAATATGGTGAAAATAGTTCTTTGTGTGCCCTTAAACAATCTGACCTCGTTAGAAGGCATCTACGCTGCTTAGTTGTGAGGCAGTATTATAGATGTTATGTAGCTGCCAATCTGAGGTGTCGACAGGTCAGTGCTCTCTCCTACTATGCGCTGGCCTCTTTTGGAAAAAAGGCAGGACTAAATTTCACAACACGCTCTACTTATTTGGACGCCTGTGCTGTGTATATACAGACCTTGAGAAGTGATTTGCGTTAATGAACAAAAACGTAGCGATGCATTGATGGTAGTGCCGTTCGCCAATGTCATTGGAATAGTAATCGCTGCAGAGTTTCGGATTTGCAACTGAACTTTACTGATAAGGTTTTGACGGCATTTTGATGTCTTGCATGTTTTCGAAAAGTCCAGCGAAAACTGAATCATGACAAAATCTCCAATTACGTTCGTACTTTGTTCGCATTGTTGAGCTCTAGAATGCAATAGTTCGAAATAGAGTTGCCCACATGACAGGGCAGGGTGGTCGTGCTAGTTATTCATGCCTATCATAAACTCCTAAAAATCGCTGTTTTGCCTAAAAAGTATGCAAAACTACTCAAAAAACGTGATTGTATTTGTGAATAACGTCGAACACTATTTTATATGATTAGCAAACGTTTTCCTAGCTTTATCAAATGATAGTTGATCTAAGTAATATTTTATAACCAGGAACATTTCAGATGAAATAACAGAAATTTTTAGAAAAAGAAATTAATAAAATTCTGCTGAGATCAAAGAGTAAACAAAACTACAAAATAAGAACTCGTTGTGATAGGAACATGCTGACTGGTTCATACGTCTTATTAATTCAACTTTGTGCTTTTTCAGTACTTTAAAAATAGATCGCCGCTCAAAGAAGAAGCTTATTCCTCATTTCACTCGAAACTATTTAGTGAGAAAATCAGAACGTTGATATTCATCTGCAAACAACCGTCTTTCTCATCAAATCTTGATCCCATGGATAGTTGGATGAACAACTCTGCTACATAAAATTGATTATTGCATAATTGAACTGAAAGTATTACACTGACTTTAATTCTAATCCTAGATAATCTATTTTGGTACATAAAGTATGGGTGTCAACGTTCTCCGTTCCTAGAACGAGGAACGTATGATACTTTGGTTTAAAATTGTTAATGAAGGTATAACCGTGGTTGAGTTATGCAGGGAATACTGTCAGAAAACGTCAATCAAACCGTAATATAAAGGAGAATCAACCGAAAAATAAATAATACTACTAAATTTAATTAGGCCTTTTGTGAGGAAAATTTAATAAATCCCGTAATATTCTTCCGCTAAATGTATTTCTACGTATATTCATTGAATGTTATTCTGTTTGTGGGCTGTACATGCATTGAATTGTACCGGTTATGTTACACAAAACGTTAACTATGTAAACATAGTTATATAATGCATTTGTCCTGCTCTGCCCTGCCCTGCCCTGCCCTGCCCTGCGAAGCATAGGAAAAAAAGTGTCCTGTCGACGCTTTTGATTCGAAAGGAGTGAGAGTTGATCTGTTAAACTTACTGTCGTTTTTTCTTTTTTCCATTTGATGAAGAGTCATACTTCGCAACCACTACTTGAACCTCGTTGGTACCAAACGCTTTATTCAACTGAAAAGAAAGGTTTACACAGCAATGATCTTGGAGTCATTAGAGGGTATTTACCTCTGTACTTAGTGCATTTAAGTCACGCACTTCGAAAGATGAAATGCCCATCGTTGATGTGCCATAAGTTAATGCGAATGCTGACGAGCCTAGCGAAAGAGGGTTGCTAGTTTGATATGAGCAAGATAAGTATCATAAATACTTGTATCAGTTACAATGTCGTTTCCTTTTTGTGATAGATAGATCGGAATAAGAGCCAAAACAACTACTGCTGCTACAGTCCCCAAACAGCACAAGCCACAGAATATGGTGAAGAACACTGACCAAATTGTCCATAGCCGGTGATGTCTACTACTATGATCAATAGTATTGTTCATAGTGTAATCTAAAGCCAGTAGAATAATCACGACGAATAAGCAACATCCTTAGTGAACTGCTAGTTTTTGCGACATTTTATCTTACGCACGCTCAGGTTTTACTCAAAATAATGAAAACTCATTTATACATCTGATTGCGGATGTACCAATTCCTACTTCGATTTTGGAATTCGAATCGAACGGAATCAAAATTGATACATCCCTACACTGAAACATCGCATTCAGAGGATGTAAAACGACAAGTAACAAGAGAAGTACAAACAGCTAATCTCAACGAGTGAAAAATTTCTTATATATTAGTGCAATAACAAAATAAAGTACGCATATTTATTTATCATAAATCAGTAAGACATAAAAGTGCTGTAATCGTCCGACGACGGATAATTACAGCGTGAGGAATAATAAGTTTGCTTTTTGTTCTCCCTTATTACGTTATCTTTCGCGAAGCATCTATATTTTTCTGATTTGGCGTGTAAAAACAGAGCAAAAGCAATCACAATAATACAGTTAGTCAATCAATATCCTTTTTCTTCATAATGAAACGAAGAGCGTACATTGGCCTGAAAACATAATATTTACAATGAGTGTGCTTATCATCCTACGAAGGTTCGCTTCGCATGAGTGTATTTTTGTATATTTCACCTTGACTAACTGCGTAGCTTCATTCATTAAACTGAATACAACATTAAATGAAAAAAAAAGAAAACCGAATAAACGTAATAAGAAGATCTTGTTCGTTTCACTTTCAGTAGAATATTCGTTGAAAAAAGTAATGCGTCATTCGTTTCAGATATTCGTCAATTCTTTCTGTCTAACGATGGAAAATAAATCAAATAAAGAATGCACAGTTTGAAAACAGCAATCAAGGCACTATCCAATTATATAAAGTCAAAAACTGTCGGCGCTATATCGGAATCTACGCAAAGTCGCTGCAAATGATAAACAGTATTTGTAGATTTCTAGTCGAAAATCGACATTTTGTACTTTAGAATTTAACACTTATGCTCATGTAAGTCTCAATCGGTGAAGAAAACCTGAATTATTTCTTTATTTTTTCCAATAACAAAACAACATACGGGTATTTATTTATTTACTATAGATCAGTATGACATAAAAGTATTATAATCGTTCGACGATAGGTAATTGCAGCGTAACGAGTAAAAAATTTGCTTTTCATTCTCCGTATTATTTTACCTTTTGAAATTTGCTTTTCATAATTAACAGTATAAAACCAGAGCAAAAACAATCTATGTATATTAATAGAACGAACTAATCAGCGTTCTTTTTCTTACGTATGCTGAAGAGCAAAGCATGATACCTAGGATGGATACGCACCGGAGGCGATTACGCTGGTCGGATTTTTCTGTCCTGTCTTATCCTGCAGAATAGCAAATTAGCATAGCGTACAGGAGGGACAGGACAGGAGTTAAGTTTTCGCCCTGCAAGTATATGTATCACCTACACGTAGACAAATGACGCCTTCTCTCGATGTTTTATGAAAACTGATATACTATGTGATAGAAAATAAGCCAGTTGCACAAGCACTTTTTTAAATAAAATATGACGAGATATAATAAGGCAAAAAGAAGAGAAGTGATAGAATGCTAGTTTTGTTCATCTGTCGATATTGTTTCGATAAAAGAGTAAATTCTGCATCAAGATTCAATATTTCGAAAGTAGAAGCGTGAGTCTCGTTATTGAATTTCCTTCAGGTGTGAAATGAACGACAAATCAAATTCTTATTCAGTTCGTTAGAGCTACGTATATCTTGAATGATCAAGCAAAGCATAGGTACAAACTTTTATTTTAAGAAATCATTAGTTTCAGTGCAAGATTTCAGAAGAAAATCAAGAAATTAATCAAATCTAAACTTCATCATATGTGATATGTAGGAATATTGATTTAGTTTCTGATAAATGAAATGTTTTACTAATGCATGAAATGCTGTGAATTTTACTTGTACGGTTAGATTAAATCATTTAAATGTTGCTTCAGCACTTGTACCGATTGATTAAGACTTTTTCTATCGAAGAGTCGACACAGACTTTACTAAAAATAAACTGGAAAATTTGGGTATTTTATTAAATTTCTTGGATATCCTGCCACACCTTTCTCGAGTTTCCTTGTCAAGACAAAATAAGGAAAAGCGCGTTCATATTCCCTACTTTACCATTTCTGCTACGTATATCATCCGACGAGGATTCGCTCGTGCGAATGAATTTCGCATGTGCTTCATCTTAGCCATTCTCCTGACTTAAGTGACTATATTAAATATAAAAACAAACGATAAGAGATTCTTGCCGATTGTGTTTACTTTTACGGTACATCTTCGCTGGAAATAAGATAAGTGGAGTACAGAGAGTGGAAACTGAGCAAGATCTTTAATTAAAACATTCAGATGGACCTAAAAGAAAAGGATAGCGGGAATGCACGTTTTTCTTTTCTCATGAACAAATAATATGTTTAAAATTCAGAAGAACAGTTTCTGTAGGAAAAGACCAATGAATTCTTCGAGAAGCATCATTGATCTCTATAAAATGGTTTGATGTTTTAATTTATAAGAGAACCAAGCCGCCAAACACTCAACAGTGTGAGTATCTTGAAGGCGATATCTGAATGATTACTTTTGTATTTTAGATAACAGTGAAGCTAATAGTAAGAAAAATGTTAACTCCTAATCGATTCCTGTTTTCCTTTGAAACAATATCTAAATAAAAAATTTGATCAACGGTCATCAGGTCTCAGTCTATGTTTTCGACTGTTTATGATCATGCTCTCACTCCTAAACAAATTCATGAACATCATGTTTGTCGTTCTGTTTGAGTCAATAAACTATGTCACTTTTTTCCTTGCCACAATATACCGTCTGTTGACTTTTTCTCTTTCTTTTGATAGGACGCGAAGATAAAACTCACTGTTCGTTGTGTTTGTAATCGAAATGGACCGATCGAATTACTTTGGTTATGCTAGCAATTTGAAAGAAAGTTTATTGAAAGAAAGAATAGGTGGTGATCATCCATTGAGCGTTGATGTTGGTCGACTGCTTGATTATGAATTACGATTCAATCATCAACAACCAAACGGTGAAGGAAGAGCAAATATTATACCAAAGAAAGGCTCTTATATCTATGGTTTAGTGTATGGTATCAATAATGAACACCGAGATCTCCTTTTAAAAACAGAGCCTGGATATCGAATGATTGAAGTCGATATTGAATTGCAATCAGATCATTCAACGATTCGAGCTATCACATTTATTGATGAAACATCTCCGTTCGAAAACTACCGTCCGTCGGATGAATATCTTCGAACGATTATTGATGGCGCATGTGAACATGACTTTCCTCAAGATTATATTGATTCAATTGTTTCAACAATAAAATCGACCAACTAAATGCGTTTTGTATAACCATCTGCAATATAAATGTTCATTGGCTTAGGTTCACCCTCAAGCATCGTATTGTTGAGAGATTTGAGGTGTTTCCTTAAAAGATAATATGATGAAGATGCAAGAAATTCAGTTAGCCACGCTAGATATTTGCAAACGAGCAAAAACTTTTTTTGTATTTATTTTCTGTATCGGTGAAGATAAGAAGCTCTTCTTTGGTTATCTCTGATGATGAAACATATCAGTTAAATCTATAAAAGTTTGAATAGATGATGGAGATTCTTTTTGGTCACATACATCTACAATTTTTGATTTGACGAAGAAAAGTTTTTATTATTGAAAAAAACTGTTTATGGATCGTTGATTAGCATAGATATTTAACTACCAAGTATAGTTTCCATAAGTTTGATGATTTATAATTTGAATTGATAATTTTGCATTGTTAATGTATGTGGTAGCATCCGTGGGCAGTAGCAAGCGTTGATTGACAAGAGTAGTGGTAGCTACAGTTACAGCTGCTACATATGCATCATGATCTTCATAACGTTCTACTAATGATAAGCGAGTGTCGCCTTTCGCCATTCGCGTAGCTAAATCAGGAGCAAAAGGAATGACTGCACCAATCGCTTCACAGCCATCATCACCTCCATAGTCGTTTCGACGGTGATTCCATCCCGTATAAGTAGCAACGGGCACGGAGATAGGCGGAAGCCGTATGCCGGCAATTTCATTGCCATCTTCATTAACTTTCGATACGAAAGACGAATAGTATTTGCCTGTCGACTGAACTGGATTAATACTAAGAAAACCTTGGCTATAATTTGATCCGAAATTGAACAAATTTCGGATGGTGATCAAGCCAGTGTAAAGAACATTAGGGATCGTTGGCCACCGCAATGATCGTTGTGAGACACGACCAATACCAAGAGACGAATGATGGGTAATATCAGAGAACGTTGCAGTTCCATTCGAACGACTTGGAGTTAAGCTTGGGGGTGGTCTTATACCATCCAGCCATTGATCTAATGTAACAAAGAGAGCACGTAGAATAGGAGTAGCATCTAGAGTGTTGCCAAACTGCTGACAGATTCCTTGTGAGCCAGGCGGCGATGGATCAGCATGCTGAGTGCCAGATATCAAATAGAAACGTACATTCGGTGGGTCGGGTAGGTCATTACCTCCAAGGTCAGAATGCAGCAATGAAGCCGCCTTCACCCAGTAATCGTTAGCAGAATTCACGTTCATAACCTTGGGACACGTACGGGTTCGCATACATCGAGCGTTACGACCATCAATTTTTCCAGTAAGTGGATCACGAAGAATAGTATAAGTAAATGGGAACACTGCTTCGGGATATAAATGATCCTGTCGATTGCGTTCCGTGCGCTGCGGTTGTGCGAAACGATAATTAAGACCAACGCCATTTCCAGCTCCCATCCAGTTGAACGTACCATCAAAGATTTGTTTTCCCTGGCAATCTTGGTTGAAACCCAACGAAAGAAAATCGTTCATGTAACGTGCTGCTTGAGAAGCACCCCAAGATATGACTCGGTTGATGCCACCAGCTAATGGATTGTCGGGTCTTTTACTGCGTAGAAACGAAACAAAATCTCGAGTAGCAGCGAATCCAATGCCAGCAACGTATGGATCTTTGGCTGTATAGGTCAATTCATAAATTGCACTTTGTTGAAATGGTGTGTTCAAAGGCAAGAGAGCTATCGTATTACTACTCGTCCATGTCCAATTCATCGACGGAATTGCTATCGGAGTGTCCGTTAAATGATATTTAACTGTTAATGTTGCAGTGCTTGTGTCTGTACTACTCGTATGATACGACGTCATGTATGACGTACTTATCGGATTATCGAACACAATATATTCATAAACAGGACCTGTTACTGATGTGCCATCTGAATTTCTTGCGATTGGTACATATATACGCAGCAAGTTCGAATCACCAGTCGATGGAACACTTGGATCCCAACCACTCCATACAATCGTATATCCTTGTTTCAGAAGGAAGCTTCGCTCAACATCACCGACCATCGAAGGACTGTTCCCACCTGATATCTGAGCAAATTTACCGAACAATTTCCGGCCACGATTGTTAACTTCAAAGAATATTTTACGATTACCACCGGATAACTTGACTGGTTTAAGGATATAGAAATCCATGGAATAGTTGACCAAACCGGCTTTATTACGCGGGGCAAGCTGCACATCGGTAATGATACTGTTGCACGCACTCGTTGGATCTAATTGACCATATGCTACACCTCGAAGTCTTTCATAAGCGCCCATACTGTCTAGTGAATTGACAACTATCTTTGTAATGCCCGTTTTGTGTTCACCTAAATGGCAACGCAAAAAGTTTTGCGAATGTACGATAGAAAAATATCTATCAACCTGTGGAATTGATGTAAAACGAACAGAAGTTCAACAGAATATTTCGCATGTTACCGTTGGTGACTTTTTCCGATAAAACCATCGTATGATACTGATTAGCGATTTCATATTGAAGTTTCGTGATCAATCCATCTTTACAGCTGAATGTCTGACATTCGAATGGATATTCCAGAGAAAATATTATTTGAAAATAATCTCCAATTATCGCGACGCCATTATCACATCGAAATTTGTCATCTTCTTTAGATAAATATCGAAATTCAGCAGAATGAATACGAATTCCGTGCAAATGGAAAGCTTTCGTAAACTGTAAGAAAGAAAAGCAAACCAATGAGTGCGTAAAATAACTACATAAACGTACGTCAGTCGCCAATGAATCTGTAACCGCAATTTTTGCTGATTTCGAGTTTGTTCGATTACTTCGGTACGTGACAATTACAAGCGATGCTATCGCTAGAAGTACAATATATTCTTCCAGCAAGAAAACAATTATCAACTCACATGGATCGGCGTCACGGTAGTTCTTTGGCTTTTCTATATACATTACAGCTATAATCAAACCGAGGATTACTAATCCTATTAACATCAAACCGACGGGGAACCGATATTTTCTTCTTCAAAAGAAACAACTCGTCCATCATATTCAAATTATTCATAAAAATGAATTTACCTCGATGCTTTCGATTCAAACGATGTCTTCATATTAAAAGTTTACTCTCTATGATTCAATACACAGCTGCTCAAAGCAACAAAAAATCACTATCTAATGAGTGAGTGAATAAAGTATGAAATATAAATAGATATGCTCGATTATTCATTCACGTGGATAGAGATATCAATCAATAGAAAGATGTGAAAGCGAGCAGACACATGCAAAGCAAAGAAATAACGACAAGCTTGATGAAAGTAATTATAACAACATATGTTATATATGAATAGAAGCTTACCTATTCGTAAGTATAATACTTTGAAAGAATAGGATCATATGTAATTTTTCAACAAAGAAAAACAAGTATGAATAGAAGAAGAATAAATAATCATGTGTTTGTCTTTTATTGAAAGCGTTTAATTCATACAGGTTGAAAAAGCATTTTTGTTTATTTTTATTCTGATATTGTCTTCGCTTGACTTGCATGGAGTAGCGACGGTTGGCCTTGTGGATGATGATGAGCATTATTCGATCCTCCCATGTTGACATTCGCTGCAAGTTGTAAAGTTGGCTCATCGAAGACTTGACCAAATGTTCGTATGTGTGATTGATCAAGGATTTCAGCTAGCTCTTGTTCCGATGGATATTTACCTTTCAATGCTTTCAAGTGTAGAACTGTTCGGCAAAGTGTTTCGGCTTGTTGTTTCTTAGTCTCGAAATTCTTCGAATCGAATTCAGTGTTGTTAATCAGATTAAACTCTAATTTTGTCTCTGGCTGGAATCTTTCTTTGTAAAAGTCTACCTGATGCTGATTTGCGAGCAGACGTACATTCGTTGGTGTATCGAGATTGCTGTATCTACTGTATTCGATGGTCATTGTAACAACACGCCGTGCTTGCCGTTCAGCTTCCGTAAAGGTTTTTTTCGTGAGCCTGACTAAAATTTGTTTGCGACAACACCAGCAACGAAAACGGTCTTTGAATCTAGTGCAACAGCTTCTATTCTCTTTGGGAAGAGGTAGATCTTCTTCTTCGTAGTTTGAGCCTCGTTCTTGACCTAGGTTCATTGTAACTGTCATTTTTGACGCATCAGGAGCAACCTGAGTACTTGATTTACATAAAAAACAGCAGCATTTCATTATTGAGTCGCAGCAACGGTCACAACAATTTTCACTTAGCTCATGTGTTGGTTCAATCGTTGTTTGAATATCAGCGTTAACATTTTTTGTGTAATCCGATTTGAAACTTATATCAATAATGTCTTCTAATGGAATCATAACAACTTCTTCTTCACCTTTACTTTCCTCTGATTGCTTGGCTCGTTTTTCATTTTTTGTGATTTGTAGACCATTTTGACCACCCATAGCAACTTTCCTCTCAGCTTGAGCCATCTTAGCATGAAATAGTTCGTGCCGATAAAGATGGACAGAAAGCATCGGCGTAGTATATGTATTGTCGGACTTGCGAACGCCTATATGGAAAAGAGCAGGTGAGATCAGCTAAATATCATTCAAGGTGCAGTAGTATTGTTACCTGGAAAAAAATTGATATAACCGTACGGTGCAACTGTTTTAATGATAGCTCTTTCTACATGAACTGCGGTTTCACTTTGCTTGTGTTCTTGAACGGGAGGCTTACAAAATCCGCAACAACCACCAGGAAAACAGTTTCGACATGTGCGTCGTGGGCAAGATTTCTTCTTGGTATTGGCTACCATTGGAGTACTTTTTGAAATGAATGACGAAAATAACTCAACATTGCATATATATATATACAGTTGCAAAGTGCACTACTATTTTTGTTTTGATTAATCCTCTTTCTGTGAAAAAAAAGCGAAACATTGTTGTTGGAATTTTACAAGAGAACGTAAAAAGTAATAGTGGTCTCTCGCTGTTTGGCTGTGCTCTTGGCGACTATTGTTGTTTTTAAACAACATTCGAACTATGAATTGGAATACTCCATTAGTAAGGTTTTTTTTTCATGATTTTTCGTTTGTCAGGGATGGTGTAATAACTTTGTTTTGTAGTTTCTTCTGAGAGTTTACATATTGATTCAATGACAACTTAGATCCAGCAGAGTTCGTCGCGAGTGTTGTTGGTAAAAATTTCTTTCCTTTTCCTTTCAAGAATGTTTACGAAGCGTGTTTGATCTCTGTTAAGTTGGAAATTTTTTATTATATCAAAGAAAAGTATGTGATGACTATATGAATCAAACAAAATAAATGCGTAATTGCATCGTGTGTTGCACTGGATCTTCGTCTATACTGTAATTTAAATTTACTGGAATTCAGAGCGTTCTTTGTTATGCTATGAAAGTTATAGAACTGGTTCAGCAAAGACTTGACCAAATGTTCTCAGGTGTGATTGATTGAGAATTTCGGATAGATCTGTCTCCGATGGATACTTACTTCTCATTCCTTTCAGCTGCTTTATCATTCGACACAGAGCTTCTGCTTGTTCTTTCTTCATATCAAAGTTCGTCGGATCGAATTCGTTGTTGTTAACTAAATAGAATTTCAGTTCCTTCTCGACGTGAAACTTATCTTTGTAAAAGTTTGCTTGTTCTTGTCCAGTGAGTAGACGCACATGAGAAGGTGTATCAATATTGCTGTATTTGACATACTCGACAGTCATTGTGATGACTCGTTCAGCTTTTCGTTCCGCTTTGCTGTGTATTTTCTTTGTGAGTTTGACCAAGATATTTCTTCGACAGCACCAACACCGACATTTGTTCGTACAATGAGTACAACAACCTTCTCTAACTTCAGGTAAGGGCAAATCTTCTTCTCGATAAGTTGTATTGGGCTGTCCGTTGATGACAAATATCGTAGTTTCAACTCGAGGAGCAATCTTCGTTTGTCCGTGAGATATACAACAGCAAATATCTCGAGTCTTACGACAGCAACTGATGATTGGAGCTGCACAACGGTCACAGCAGTTCTCACTTCGTTCATATGTTGGTTCAATGGTTGTTTTGACATCGGCATCTATATTTTTTGTAAATTCAGCTTTGAAACTAACGTTGATAATGTCCTCTAATGGTACCATCATAACGTCTTCTTCACCTTGATTTTGCTCGGACTGGCTTGCTTGCTGTTCATCCTGACGGATGGATACTCGATTATTATTGTCCAAAAACATCGTGCGGTTGTCTTGTGCTCGTCGGGCACGATGTTGCGCATGACGATAAAGATGGAACGACAATATTGGGCACGTATAAGTGTTTTCCACCGTGCGAACACCTAGTGACGATTAGAGTGATATAGAAAACATCTAAACATTAAAATTCCTACCAGAATAAAATTTAATGAAGCCGTAAGGTATATCAGTAGGCACCACGGCTTTGTCCACATGGAAAATGTCATCAACTTGTTTCTGTTCTTGACTAGGCGGTTTGCAGTATCCGCAACAACCATTTGGACAACAGTATCTAAAGCACGATCTTTTTTGTACTTCGTTCTCCATGAAGATACGAACTGGCAATAAAATCTAAAACGTAGACGCAATTACATTACATCTTTTCTTTCTTACATAGTTTGTGAAACTGGAAATGAAGTAACACGCTCTCATGAAGACAACAGCGCAATTTATTAAGTATTTGGTTGGAAATATCCTTTTCCACTCTGATAATGAATTTTCAATTACTAGAAAGTATACATTTAGGAGTTCTATTTTTGTTTGCTATTAATTTAGCGACGAAGAAAAGTGTATCGGCGAAGGTTGTAATCAACGTTACCATAGGATCGCTACGTCTAGAATTGAAAACGCAAATGTTCTTGAAACAACTGAGTGAAAGAAGTAACTGCCATGAAAAGAAAGAGATATGACCGTAATAGAAATCTGTGAAACGATTGCTTTGTGAACAAGAAAGGCAAATTGAAATGAATAGATTTTATTTTGAAAACTCGATACAAAAAAAATTAAATTTGCGCTGTACCTCCATCGACAAAAAGTTCGATGCCTGTGACGTAACTACTATCATCTGAAGCGAGAAAAACTACTACTTTCGCGATCTCATCAGGCGTGCCAAGACGGTTCAAAACTGCTTGCGATGCGAATGTATCAGCCATTGCTTTGGTTTCCTCTTCACTTTTTGCCAAACCGGCTAATCCAGGTGTATCGATTGGCCCTGGACTTACTACATTCACTCGAATCTTACGTTCTTTCAAATCAACACTCCAGCACCGTGCAAAAGATCGAAGAGCTGCCTTTGTAGCGCAGTAAACACTGAACGCCGGTATTGCTTTCATGGAAGCAATAGAACCATTCAATATAATCGATGCTCCATCCTTCAGAATTGGCAACGCCTTTTGAACAGTAAACAATACTCCTTTGACGTTGCTGTTAAATGTGTCATCAAAATACTTCTCAGTAATTGAACCAAGTGCCACAAATGCACCTCCCCCTGCATTGGCGAAGATGATATCTAAATGGCCTTTTTCCTTCTTGATGATGCTATACAATCGATCAAGGTCATCGAAATTGGAGGTATCACCTTGTACTGCTGTAACGTGTTTACTACTCAGTTTTTTTACGGCTTCATCCAGAGCTTGTTGACGTCGTCCTGTAATGAAGACATGTTCCACACCTTCAGCAAGAAATCGCTCTGCAGTGGAAAAGCCAATACCAGTAGAACCACCGGTAATAAGTGCAATCTTTCCGTCGAGTTTACCCATGCCGTTTTATTGTAAGAATAGCTTGTTCGAAATCGTACACAAGTTTCATAAAGGTAATGCGCTGAAAAAACACCCTTGTATAAATACGTCGAAGAAATATTTGCTTCATCATCGTTACTCCACGATTGTTTAATCGTTTGTCATAATGCTTCAGTGCATCACGCTGGGCCCTGTCGTTTTTTTCCTCTATGCTTCTTTTTTTCTCGACAAAAATTCGTTTATTGAAAAGTAATAAAAGAAAATAGGCATCTCATTGAAAGTCAGCGATTTTCAAAATTAGTTTTCCTTGAGCTTTGCCACTTTTTGATTTTTCATACATTTTGTACAAAGCTTCAACACCCTCCGTTCGCCAATCGAAAACTGTATCGATCAATGATTTGACTTTGCCCGTTTCGATAAATTCACTGCGTATAAGGTCAAGTTCAGAAGAAACTGGGCTAAGCAAATGAAATATATAACCATGATGCGAGGATCCAAAAATAGAACCCAATTTTCTCGATAAAAGACGAGGTCCAATCGTTACTGCAGACTTCACAGACACCGAAGCTTCTGGATCGTCACCAGCTATAGTTACAAACTGACCACCTTGTCTAAGGATCTGTTTTGCCGCTATCCATTGTTGTTCGCCACCAACACAATCGTAGACAAGGTCATAGTTTTGATCTAAATTAAACGAGTTTGTTGTGATGTATTCAATATTTTGATAAAATACCTTTTAATACATCTCCAAAATTTTTACTGTTGTAATCGATAACCAACAATTGTTGTGGATCACCATTAACTTCATTAACGTCTTGTACAATTTTATATCCTATCGATGCACAATGAATTTACTTGTCTGAAAAAAGAATTGACTTACCGACTTTTTCCATCACATTAAAATTCCGTTGTGAACATGTTGTAGCCACATGAGCTCCAACTGCTTTCGCCATCTGTATCGCGTATAATCCTGTAGCTGTAGCGCCACCACATATAAATACTTTAGTTTGTGCTCCGACAGGTGGTGACGTTTTAACGAACAACGCTTGATAGCTCGTTTCGCATGCTAGAGGCACAGCAGCCGCCTCAATCATTGATAAATTCTTTGGTTTCAAAGCAAAATTTCCTTCATTTCCTCGAACATATTCTGCATAGCTACCGTCATCCATATGAAGATTTCCGTAAACTTCATCACCGATTTGAAAACGTTTCACAGATGCACCAATATCCACAACAACTCCCGCAACATCTTTTCCAGGTATATGTGGAAATGAAGGTCGAATAATCAACGACATATTGCCATTGAGTAGTTTCCAATCAACTGGATTGATTGATGCAGCGTAAACTTTAACGAGAATTTGATTTGACGATAATTGTCGAGGAACGGATACTTCATTCCCAAGAGTAATTACATTACGTACTTCACCATAGCCATTCTGCTGTGCAGCGACCATTTTCGTTGGAAACGAGTCGTTAGTTTTGTTCGTGGTTGATTCAGTCATGTTCGTCCTTGAATGCGAGATGAAACTTTGAAAAAAAGAAAGAACGAGTATATTATCGTTTATATATATATATATATTGTCGTCCTTAGCGCACGTTGGTGAAGAACGAGTTAAACACGTGGGTTCGTATACAGATAGAGAATACAAAAACAAAAAAATTCTATAACTCTAGACGTTTATTGTTGACGTAAGAATGGCGAAGTTCCTACAACGCGTGGAGTTAGAACTGGATAGCATATTTGCTGATATGGCATTTTTCGTTGATAGTATTGTCCAGAATTGTGTGGTACGAAATGAAATTGTTGATACTGAGGATCAGTTGTCCCGGGTAATACCAGTCCTGTCGAAACTTGTATAGATGGTTCGTTGTAAACATACCCAAATGTGCCTAAATGATTGAGTGTAAGAAGCGTTTGCAATTCACTATTCGACGGATAATTGTGTTTCATTCCTTTTATCTGCATTACTGTTCGACATAAAGTTTCGGCGTATCTTTTTGTCAAATCGAATTGTTTCGGATCAGTTTTCGTATCTTTCATTAGGTAAAATCTCAGTTCAGCTATGGAGCAGCATCTTCCCCCATTACTAAGATACTGTGTATCCGTAGGTGTGCCAGTATAATTGTGTTTACTATATTCGATGACCATGATGATTGTTCGTTCAATTTGGTGATCGGTAATTTTCGTTTGTTTTCGAAGCCGATTCTGTTTCTTCTTCTTGCGACAAAAAATCCCATCGACTCGATTCTTAGATACAAGGATTTCATCTGGTGAACGAGTTACATTTCGATTTGAAAGCATGGAATCTGTTCCTTCTTTTACGTAAGGCACCACTGCTGTTTTACGAGTTGACTTCCAGCAACTATTACTGGAATCAGGTATTATTTCGATATCCTCCTGGACTTCCGCTTGGATCTTTTTTGAAATATCCGATGCATAAGTGATATTCATCACATCATCAAGTGGAATCATAGTTACTTCCTCTACAGCATGAGCTTCAGCTTCTTCTTTCAGCCGGCGATTACCTATAAATATCGCTTCTTCGTTCTTCTTATCCGTCAAAATTTCCCGATCAATCAACGTGCGACCATTGCTGAACTGTTTCTGGGTGTGGAGATGAATCGCAAGCATTGGACAAGTATAAGAATTATTCGCCATACGAACCCCTACAAAGTCAAATGATGGCTAGCGAGGAAAATATCGTCGAAAAGTTCTTGCCTGGATAGAAATTAATCGAACCAAATGGTATTTCCAAAGCATTGATATTTTCTTTTGTAGTATCGATCGTAGCAGCCTGCTCTTGCTGTCTATCTACTTTAGGGAAAAGTTTCCAGCTGTTCTTCTTCTTCGTCGCCGCGTTGTATGACATTGTGAAAATTCGATTAATGTTTCATGCCATATATTGACATAAATGTGCAAAAGCGTTTTTCTCGGATTTTTCAAAAGAACACTCAATGACATAAGCAATATTTAATTGGCGTACAGGTGAACAAGCTGTTGTGTTTTTCGTCACAATGATAGATTTATTTTTAACTCGATGTTACATCAAAACAGAAACAGGCATCGCGGATATTCTTTTTTTAATGGCAATCTTTTTCGACGAGAAGAATTTCGGTCGCCGTTATGCGCACGAACAAAATTCTTTACACGCGAATGTTTGTCGATTGATGATTGTTGTAGTGATTATAGAGAATATCCCTATCAAGAATCCATGAATACTTTCCTGCCGATGATCGCCTGCTGAATGGATTGATTTCAATGATGATCACCTGATGATTATGCATGTTAACTGCACAATCGATTACCGCATGAGAATATGGAATACATCGCATGATATCATGAAAATACGATGAGTTGAAAAATTCTTGATATTCATGTTCATTATGTTGATGAGATCCTTGCGATGAAACGGCATTCAGTTGTCCGTGACAAACGAAACATCGGAATTCAGGAGGAAGAGCATCGACCCACTTGCGTAAAACAAGTTTTTCATTTAGAGAATCATCGTTGAAATCTTCGCGAAGACGAGAACTGTTCTTGAAAAGCAATTTCAATTGATCACAATTTTGAATTTTCATGAAATGAATTTGAGGATCTTCGTCAGAGCTGAGCTTCCAAATCTGAATCCATTCGTTATTGATTTCTTTGCATAGACCTAACCGTTAACAGGTTCGAAGCAATATCGAGATCAAAGAAAAGTATATATTACTTTGATACGCATCTTTCGGACTTCGATGCATTTTGAAAAACACGAGTCCGCCTAGTTCAGTAATTGCATTAGTGATTCTTTCTTCTAGATCACTTCGAATCACTTTTCCATCGATTAACTGTCGAACATCTTCTTTCGTCAGATCAATTATTCGAGATTCAATTGTGAAACTTTTGATTTGCTCATAATAAACATGAAAATCGTATAAACATTCATAGCACATACGATCCAACTTTCTTATCGTTTCTTTACTTTGCGGATGAGGATCATTAATTAACAAAGCTACGATTTGAAAGCAATTGTATCTTAATTTATCATCGTATGAAACACCCAATGTTAGTAGAAAATCTTCGCAATGGAAAGCTAAATTAGACCAAATAAAATTCTTATCGAAAAGGTGAGGAGTGTGCGTCTTACACAAATGCTGCTTCACTGACAGAAACTTGGACGTTAATTGATAGAATTCCTGGAAAAATATCTCACAATCGTACGATGTTGGATTCAATATTAAGAACATCCAGAGTTCATGTAAATTCCTGATTTTTGAGAACAATCGAAGTTGTTCGGGCTGATTCAAGCCATTAAATTCTTGCAGAAAATGACACGAAATCACACACGATGACTCATCCGATGACACCACCAATGGTTCGTATGTTGATTGAATTATTTGAATTAAAAATTCAAAGTTTGGGTTTACTCGCTTTGGATTGCATTGATGAAAAACAAACTCGGCATTGCATGTTAGAGACATTAGATTGTAAAAGCCGTTGAAAAAGAACAATAGCATGGGCCATGTGCAGAATGGAGAAAAACAAACTTTTGAGGTCTCGCGGCCATATATAAAGAGAGAAAATGTGTTTTTTTCTCAATGGCTTCAAACAACGATCGAACAACTAGCTACTTGGAGAGCGGTTTCAGCGAACGCACTGCTGCTCGTTCTGTTAATCCGCGCTATGCATGTTATTGGCTAGATAGCTGTCAAGGACAGCACGAATTCGATGATTGCTCGCATCGACCCAATGAACTGAACGGTAAATTAGGAATCTATTACAGTCCAAATGCCGAATATCGTTTATTCGATCGCGACGAAATCAATAGGAAAATATTAACGGAAAATCCGACAGGATGTACAATGGTTCAGCTATTGATTTATAAGATCGACGAGGATGCAACATGGCTATTGTTTGTGTCCAAACGTCTCAAAGAAAAAAGATTTCAATCAGAATCGATGCGAGAACAGCTATTAGCGTTTCCATCTGCGAATCCGCGCAGAAAATTCGAAGATCGAGCTGAAGTGGCACTACAAGCATTAAAAACGATTACAGATCAACAGGAAATTCTGCAAGACTATCAATTGCGTCTAAAACGGTTTTTATTCGTTGATGCTATCAGTGCCTACCCATTTCAAGTAACCCCCAGCGAAGCTAAGCTGTTGATGAACAGCTATTCTTCAAATGATGAAGTTCATTCTGTTCATTGGTTTCCTTTAACCGAAATTCTTAACGGGCTACCTGAATGGCCAAATTACTTGGCTAAAGAACAAACTGAACACGGATTAGCACAGATTAAACATGATCGATACCCTACGGTACAATTAAGACGAGATGTGGATGGGAGAGTGTTTACAATATGGTCAGTGACAGTCAGTCTTTTGCTGTGTATTAGAAATCACGTTGGTTTTCAGGAATTTTTTTCATAGTTGTGACCATTGTTTACCAAAGAATTTTATATAAATGCAACAATCATTATCTTCTGAAATAATAAAAACCGAGATTCTTCATTTTCATCTTTTCAATTAGCTAAATAAGCTTATGATAAAATTATCTATAATGGCGAAGTCAATTTTGTAGTAGAACGAGATATTCTCATTTTTCAAACATTTGAGCATGTCGACTATGGTTGCTTGGATTGGCGACATCAAAAGTGAATTCGCCATATCTGTCGGTGTTTCATGTATTATTTTCGGTACAGTAGGTAATGTATTAAATATGATTCTCCTCCGAAAGCATACTCTCTGGACCCTTTCATCTTGTATTCTTTTGTTGTTCGCTGCGTCTGTATGGAACCTTATTCTAATTTATTGCTTTGTTACAATTCGACTGTTGGTTGGGTTTCGAGTTGCACCTACGTTTCATTCAGCAGTTGTCTGTAAACTGCACCTTTATCTATATTATTCGTCATATTACTTGTAGAGTTGGTTTATGGCTGCATCGGTCGATTCTTGTCATCGTCAGGTGACATCCGCATTCCAAAGTATAGCAATAGACAAACGATAACACGCGGTGGCTCTGCCATTGTTGTTGTCATACTACTTGTTTTTTCTCCTATTCTCTATTGTTTCAAAGCTCAGCAGTTTGACAAATCTACACCTTGTTATCCGCGGGATGGTAGATGTGAAATGCTTGAAGTTGTACTGTACTTTATTTTTCAAGGTATTGGGCCGCCTGTGCAAAACACGACGAACATATACAATGGCGGAAAGAAAGAGAAAAATCAGTCTGGAAGTATTGTGTATGATTTCTTGTCAGAAATCCCGTGCGACTTTCTTTCGAAAGTCTAGTTGCCAATATTTGCCTCCTGATTTCATGTGTAGACCAGATCTTTTCATTCTATATCTATAGATTACCAAGTAGATATTGTCGGAAACAGTTGCTCCAATTGATTATTCGATGATGGCATCGACAACGAATAAGACCGTAGAATTAATCTGATTATCTTTTCCGTCGATTGAGTTCTACAGAAAACTCTTCTAGTCAGAATAAAAAAACGTAGATACTGATTTTGTTTGGCAATTAGCAGCAGTAAATCATCGAAAGTATAAGGGTGACACGTGTAAAAGAGCCAGAAATAAATGTCACACAAATGAGACACCTTTTTATTTCTATTTCATTTACACTCAAGCTGACGTACAAATTAAAATAGTCATACCGGTAAAATCGTATAAAGCAAATAGAATAATCAACTTTATTCTGAAATATGGACGAAGGGACTCAAAACTGTTTATGAAATGGTGCAATCCGCTGCTTCAATTGCTCGCATGAGTTGTCGCTGCGGATTGAATCGATCAGCTAATCGACTCATCGGACCGTAATAATTGTTCATCATCCAGTGTTGTTTGTATGTCATGATATTGGTTACTCTTCGTGTTCGTCCAGCGACCATCAGCGATCGAACGACAAAGAGACGATTTTGTACTTGTCCGATTTTGTAAAATTCATTGCCTGAATTTCCACACATGGCGTCATTTTGAAAAAATATTTTATCTTCGAACTCATCCGGACTGAGTGTTATACATAGTCGAAAGACGATTTGATGTTCAGCAGGCGATAGTTTCCAATAGTTTTCATAATCAGTATATCGCTCTATTTGACCTTCGTTGCATTCAACTGTGTTACAGACGCACGATAGATAATACATGCACCTTGCGATGTCATTGTTGGGAACTTGAACAACGCGTCCAGTTTGTTCTATATCAAAGCTATTCATACCAATCATGGCCATCTTTTCGAAGTTTTGGTTAACGATCTAAGTTTGATTGTTGCTGTGTACTGTGATCTCTCCTCTTGCTTTATATAGTATAGTGAATAGCAGCATTTTCTTGCGGCAATATGTTGGAATTCGGAAGTGACCGACATTGTTTGTTCTATTTCCTCCTCGGTAGTTGATCTTTCCAACGTATTTTATCAGAAATACCAGCACTTTTGCAAATAAGCGTCATCAAGCAGTAGCTTGGAAAGAGTTTACTTCCGAACACAAACGGAGTGTTGTTTTAAAATGATTGTTTTCGCTCTGTCAATAACTTGATTCATAGGCACACATACACGTACGCGTATTGTTGTTTTGCAGAACCGAAATAATTCTCTCATACGTTGTGCTTCAATCTCATCGAAAATCCGAAAAATATTGATCCAGTGCGAAATAACATTATTCGTCAAAGGTGGACACAATAGAAAGACATAGTTCTCAATAATAGATCGTGTGAATCAAGCACCGTATGCTTGTAATAGATCATCAAAAGGAGCATTGAGAGCGGAACTCATATTGTAGTACAATGAAGATATTTCAGGTGAACCAAGGCAAGATTCGCTTATATATAGTTGACCATTGTGAATCTTCTTCGACTAATTCCTTTAGAAAGATATCTGCTAACACACTCAAGCGGTTGTTAAGAGTAACTATGATAGTTTGCTGATCGAATAGGGAATTAATAACAGTACGTAGCAGGATGTAGACAACACGGACTAAATGATACTGCATGAAAGGAATCATTTACAAACACATCTGAAGAAAGATCGACTGGCAGTTGCCATCGAATTACTTCTGTATATCGTATGTTAAACAGAGCACAAAGAACGAGTTAATACATAAGATAGATGAATGGATATCCGAGATATTTCCTGCAGTTTGTCGACCATAAATAGTTCCTTGTTGAGTACGAAGTCCAGTATCAGAAGTGACAGCATCGATTGTTATTATAAACAATAACAGAATGTGACTTATCCGTTTCATGTTTTTCCTTCACAGATATGTACCGCTGATCTAAACCATCGTGGGTCGTTTTTCAAAGAGAAGAGTTATATCTTAGTTGTAACTGATGGTGAATTCGCTTCCAAACGACCATGAATAGTCAGAGCTGAAGCTGAATGTAATCGCATCATGATTCATTAAAGGTTTTCACGATCTTTATTTTTCACATCAGCAAGAATTAATCGATGCGTTTTGTTTCACAACTAAAACTGAAACTATTCCATTGGACAATAAAAGAGAGTTGAAGAAATTTATCAATTTCTTTTCAGAAACATATTGAAGATAAGATTTATGCAGAATTCTAATGACTTGTTTACTTTATCGAGTCTCATTTTCTTCTTCATCTTACCTTTTTGCAGAGCGAGAATCGAACTTCATCGATAGACAATTGAAACAATTCTGAGAATCTTCTTGTTGGAATGTTAATCGATTCCACAGACAATATTTCTAAATAGATTCAACCAAAACTTCGCATGATACCAGCGATGTAAGACATTCTTTCTTGAATATGATGGACACTCACATTTATATCACCACTGATAACAGATCATCGAAATCCATGAAACGAAACGCGGCGAATACAGTTCAACAATTCTCTACCGACTTTTGTTCGACAATAAAAAAACGCTGATAAATATAATGTTGTGTCTTCATCAGTATCCCGATGAACAAACATCTGTATCGGATCGTTTTAATATATATTCAATTAATTGTAAATGACTCTGTATTCCTGGAATATGTAATCATATAACATTTTCTTGAGTCTTCTCGGACATCAACCGCATGTTCGATTATAGTTTAAACGTCCAATGCTTACAAGTATCTATAACGAACTTATTGCAAGTTGTAATGAGGATTCATGTTCAGTATAACAATCATTAGTAATGTACATCATTGATTATTTTCATAATCGCACAGGTGCCATCACAACGGGTGATTTTTCCGTAATGTGAGATCTCCTACAGAAGCTTACATCGTACCATTGGCAGAGAAACGGTTTTATCTGTGGAAATGGGATCTTCTGTATACAAGTTGTGAACTATTCACTCGGAAATATGACGAAATTTTTTATTCATATTAAGTATGAAGAGTCTAATATAAAGATAATGAATATGGATTCTTCGAACTAGTGTCGAAAGATCGAAGAAAATAATGAAATATGAAAGTGTAAATCTCCCATACCCAATTTATTATGTGAGTAGATCAGTTTAATAGCTAAAAACTGAGTTTTCAATGATTATTAGGTTCATTTTGTAAATAATTCTGTGTAAATCTAACGTCGACTGATGACGAACAGAAGAGTTATGCCAAGTATTACGAGCAGAATCGCAAAACCAATTTGCCAAAGCATCGTATCTATTTAAGAAATACGATGACAATAACAAATTGTCAAGAGAAGTACTATGAATCAATACTTACTTTCCACGCTTAGTCGAAGCTTCGATTCGAGTTCGCTAATCTGAAACCTTTGACATCTTCTGTCTTGTTCCAGTGTTGAGATAGTTGATTCTTTTGTCGAAAGTTTCGCTGCTTGTTGATTCATTTGGTCTTCGATCTCTTGTATTTTGATTTCCTTTGTGCGATTTTCTTTTCCCTGTTGTTCTAATCTCAATAGTAGACTATTTATTTTATAAGATTTCTCATCCAACTCGCCAGATTGTTTCTCAATGATTACTTCATCTGTTGCGATTTTCGCCTCTCGTTGTTTCAACGAATTTTTCATCAGTCGAATTCCACTTTCATTTTCATCAATCTGATTTTTCTGGTTTTTTGTTCGTTCTCTTAACTGTTGTATATCTCGCTCAGCCGTATGGAGTTTATGCTTTTGAAGTTCCAACTGTTCTTTCAATTGATGTAACTCCATGTCATTGGAAGTTATTCGATTTTCTCGTTGTTTCAACTGCTCTCGAAGCTGTTGCAGTTGAGATTCAGCTACCGCGTTAGCTTTCGTGCTTTGTTTTTGTATTTGCTCTTGTAAACTTTGAATCTTTTTCTCACGAGCTCTTACTTCGTTCTTTTGGTATTCTAGTTGTCCTTTCAGTTTCTGAATTTCACTTTTACACGTACTTATCTCAGCTACATTCGCTTCTAGTTGCTTTCTCATATGTTCGAGATCTTTGTCTTTTGTTTCAACCTGAATCTGTTGCTGTTTTGTTTGTCCTTCCAGTTGATCTACTTTCCTCTCGCCTGCCTTCACTTCACTTTTGCACTGTTCCAAATTTCTTACTAGCTGTTGAATGTCGATGTGATGTGCCGATGCTTGCGCCTTTACTTGTTCCAGTTGATCTTTCAGTTGTCGATTCGTAGCATTGTTTCGTTTGGCTTCAGCTTCTTCCTGTTTTAACCTATCTCTCAATTGTTGAATAACACCTTCGCTAATATTCGCTCGAATTTCTTCTCGTTTCAATTGATCTTTAAGTTGCTGAATTTCTACATTACGAATACTGATTTGGATGACTTGTTGTCTGATTTCATCTTGCAATTGCTCTATGTTCTTCTTGCCTAGATCAACTTCATTTTTTCGCTGCTGTAGATTTTCTTGTAGTTGTTCAATTTGGTACTCGTCTCCATCGATTCTTACTCCTTGCTGTTTGATTCGCTCGCTTAGTTGCTCAATTATAGCATGAAACCTTTCAATCTTCGATCGACGAGGGATGAATGCACACACGACGATATGATTGTTTATCTCATCGAGTGGACCTTTCCATTGACAATTAATATCTTCCGATGGACATGGTACATCAGCCTACAGTATACATATTTTTTGTAGGTATTATCATCTCTCGTTAATTTATTTCATAATTACCTTCTGGTCATGAGTGTTCTTGCTATCGACATAGATGAGTAAGTTCCAATCTAGCTGTTCACTGTTTTCCTTATTGAGCGCGATTCGAGAAGAGTTAGTGAGTTGTTGGAAATTGTTCTCTAATTCACAAATAATAGCACCGAGTTGCGTGAGATCATCTTCAACGAAATTATCCGCCTCATACATTTCGCGAAGTCGTTCAGTTACACTACGTAAACTATCGTCGATATTTTTAATATCGCTGTTCAACATTTTCGAATATTGACAACGGGCTTTCTCAGCTGTGCATCGTACTTTGCTACAAGTACCACTTTCCCATTGGTCAACTTCAGAACGAAGTGCATCTTGAAAATCTTCCAGTTTTCTCTTGTCGTTGAATGTCTCTTGAAAATGATTACGGGACTCAATGAGTTTTTCAAACTCTCCGGAGAGCCATTGGCGATGATTTAAGAAATCTTTTGTACAAAAGNTGGTGCTCATCAAGATACGTGGATCTTTAGTATGTATCGTGCTTGGAATTGTTCCTTTTTTTTGCCACAATATCAGTTGAGAAATCATGTTGGTCTTTCTGTCAAGGCACGTTATGATTATGGTGACGATAGTAAGATTACTTTTTGGGTTCGACGCTCTCGAAAATATTTATACAATCGTCTAATGAATTTTTCAACAATGGATTATAATCAATCTTTATTTAATCTTTCTCATATTAACTCTCATGTTGAATTAAAAGTACCTTGTTCAATTGAAGACAAAGAGAAAATCGATGCTTCTTTATTAGCTGATGCAAACAAAATAAATTAATCCTTCGTGATTGTTGTGGAATCCGCGTAGATCTATTCCAAAGATTCGAATTCAATAGTACATCAAGAGCTGCTGTGTCCGACCAATCCCTTTATCTCATCTCTAGTCTTATGCTGGTCCATATCATCCTTATCTGAAATCACAGATATGTCTAATAGATAAAAATAACGGCGTTAAGGATTCAACCAGATCCAAAGACAGTTTTGCTTATTTACAATTATTTTTTGAAATACGTTCGTTGATCAAGGATTCTTAACATTCCTCAAAAGTAAAGGTTAATGTATGTCTTATTCCTACAATCAAAACTACATTTACTGCTTGTAATCGGTTTAGTGGAAAATCGACAATAGGAATTTGGACAATCTTGCACATTTGAAAAACTGCATAGGCTTTCCTAGGAGTATTTCAGTACAAATTTTCATGTAGTATCCTACTGCCCAGACCTATCCATACCCTCACATCCTCATCTGCATCCTCACCCTATCTCTAGGCAGTTTTTTAAATCCGGCAATATTGCCCAAATTCCGTTGTCCAAATTCCTATTGTCGATTTTCCGTTTTACCGATGTATACAGTCTACAAAGCAAAGATGATACTAAGCTCATGTCACTTTTTCGGATTTCTTCAATTAGAAACATCATTATGTACAATGCATTCGATCTTTTCGTATAAGTTCTTGAGCTACTATCTTTGTATGCATGACGTCCATGAATAGCGTTCAGCTCACCATCTTCTACAAAAGATTTCAGAACAGATAAAGAAAAATATCTCCTTTGTAAAGAGGAAGGAATAAGCTCAGGCTCAGCGAATAAGACGAAATTTACCCTCAATTTCGAATTTCCCGACGTCAGCAACCTTTCGGTCTACTCTGACAATGGATGTTAATGAGTCGTGACTAGTTAATCAAAAATTAATAATTAATAATTAATGAAGCAACACTAACCTCGGATTCGTGCTCCTCGACCTCGATTACCTTTCGGTCAACCCTTACTCGACAACGAAGAAAATTTTCATTGCTGAATTAGCTAATGAGGTCATTAGAATTTCGAAAAGCTAACCTCAGATTCGAGTCCCTCGACTCCGAGAACCTTCCATCAATCGTTTGCTAATGACCATGATTAAGTTTTCATTCGTTGATTGAATGCTGCAATCTGATTGGATTATGCAAACAAACAAGCAAGCAAACTTTTTGCATTTCAACGACCAGATTTATGACGCTATAACCCTTTCTTTCAGAAAAGGAGTAGCTGCCTAATTCGATTTATAATATAAATGACCAATTCATAGCACCCTTATGAATAGAAATAGATTTAGTTTTACTTATACACATATACCCTCACGCGCACCCACACCCACGGCAGCACCCTCAATCGAGATAGATATAAGTGAGGGTGTGGGGTGTGTATGTATAAGTGAAACTAAATCTATTTCTATTCCTATCTAGTCATTTGTTATAAGTGTTATATAGATATATATTTATATTCGAATTGATACTAGCCTGTCGGGGATCGACTTATAATATAAGTCGAATTAGGCATCTCACGGAACCATTATTCTAAATATTCCTATATCTTTTTAAATGGTCGCTACGAGGCCAGGTTTTGCTTTTGTGTTTTAAGTATTTTATGCATCTCGTATGTCTTTCAAACCTGTAGTTTCTCTATGTAACTCAAAACGAATTGTATTAAATATAATGAAAAATAAATACAATGAACATATTGAAATTGTGCGGTTTTATATATTACCTTCACGCAGAATTTTACACTCCCCGCCCCCAAAGTTCAAACACTCACGCCACCACTGCTTTACTCTCATCTATCTACTCACCTATACACATCCACACTCACATATACATGTTCATACAGTGCTCACAAATTACCATCAGATGCAGGAACCTATTCATTACGCATTTAATATCTCAGTAACTTACTCATTATGTGTTTTTCAAAGATACATTTCTATTTCATTAACTCGAAACGCAGAACATCAAAAAAAAAGTTTCTTACATTGAAAATCCCACATCCGACTCATCTGTTCAATTGAAAGATCACTCCCATTCATATTCAGAACCATAACGGTCGTGAGTAAAAACAGCAGCATCATCAAAATAATCAAAAAAATTGCCTTCAAAATCAAGAGAATCGCTGTCACTACTATCACTACTACTATCACGACCAAAATGACGACCCAAACGACGTCCAATACGACTAGCTGTAGAACGAAGACGACCACCAAGAGTGCGACGAGCAGCACGACGAGCATCAGCAGCACGAGCAGTATCAAGAGCAGCATCAGCATCTTCATCAAGATCAGCATCATCATCTGAATCTGGTTGGTTGAAAGTATCGAGATGATGAAGTTCTGACTCTACGAAAGTGTATTAAATAGTAAATAGGTTTTAAATGAGAGTGAGCTTTCGCAGTGCTAAGTATGGAGATTTTCCCTGGGACGATTTGGAGTGATGGCTTTATTGTCGGTGGAGGGAAATCTCAGAAGTTTAGGAGTTCTTGGGCTGTTAAAGCTCTGCGTTCCCTTAGATTATGATCTGATGAATGATTTTTTGTTTCTGAGACTCGTGTGGTTTATCCAACTTTCCTCCCATTCAAAAGAAGAATGTAGTTCGTTTGCTTTCATATAGCATAATATACGTGATTAAGTGAAGTAGACTATGGTGTATGTTTCATCGAAAGTGTTTTTTTCGGTAATATTTTATTTATAATATAGTAAGGTTAGACGTGAACCTGTTTTTATTGAACAGCTGGGGTGCTATAAGATATAAAATGAAGTTAAGGACATCTTTGAATTATTATAGATATAAAGTTGCTTGCCGTCTCTTATGGTTGGTTTCGTTCTTATATGCGGGTATAAGTAGAGTACAGGTTTATTTGAATTCCACTGTTCAGTATGTGTATGAAGATGTGGGTGTGGACAATTTCCTTTGTTCCACGTCCCACCTACATCTGTACCCATATCTACTACACTCATACTTCCAAAGCTTATAGCTTGCAAAGGAAACATACTATCGAGCTAGACTTCGTGTAGCTCGAAAGGGGATCATTTTCATTACCGAATACACTAACTAAAGACTAGAACACGAACGAAAAAGTCTTCAAAAAACTACTTTCAACGTTTCCTACAGATTTTAATCCTATTGGTTAGTTTTTAAACAGAGAAGTTTTCAGAAAACTTGCCTGCTCCGATCTCCTCGTTCCAACGACAAATCCACAGGCCGCTAGCTATTTCCATTCTCGAGCTATTCGCTTTAACGTAATCCGTCTTCTGTTTCGAAATGGGTACTAGTATTTTAAACTCTTTTTCTGTATTTTTTTATAGAGACAAATGGAAATAACTAAAGGCAGTAATCAGGTGTAAAACTTGCAACTATTGGTGAAAAGAAGAGGACTAACCGGAGATATTTTTATTCTAGTTACAATTATCCGTCTCAATTGCACGAAAGATCAAATTTTAAACACCAGTTTAGTAGAATCGAATCTCTTACTGTGTACGGTCTGTCATCTCTCATGGCGATGCAAATTCTGTAGTGTCTTTATTGCTGTCCATCCTTTCGATATATCTTGAAGAAGACTAGTTATAGTGAATCGCAAGGCTCGTTCGCATGAAGAAAGGTTGTAGTAGTATACTTGTCGCTATACCGGACTTTCAGAGTATTTGCACTTCTTGAAATGCCACTGCCAGAAAGATGATAGTTTTAAAAATGTCGAGTTTTTCCTTTTTATCAACAGTGATTTTTCTTGGTGGCTGATTTCAAGAAGTGCAAATACTCTCAAAGTCCGATATAGCGACAAGTATACTACTATACTCGCTCATCTTGCGAAAAGGCCTTGCGACTCATTAACTAGCCTTCTCTAAGAATTATCGAAAGGACGGACAGCAAAAAAGCACTACAGAATTTCCATCATTAGTAGAGATGGCTGGTTGTGCTCTATTGAAACCATTTTGATACTTCTACTCTATGTTGTCAGTTCTGTTTTTATTTATATAACTGTCCTTCTAGAAAAACTCAAATAGGAGGACTGAGAAATGTAGATGAAATATCCATGTACTAATCATGAAAAGATACTAGGAAATCATCTTAACTTACTGTTATGTCGTTGTTGAAGTGTTAGATAGATGACGTGTTTTTTCTTAAACTTTATTCGGTCAATTATAAAAGAAACACCGGGCAGTAATAGCTCTTCTTCTTCATGAGCATATGCCGATAACGAACTAAGATCGACAGTAAAAGCGATACGAGTTTTCATAACAAATAAGACGTTGCCGAAGTTCTTCGCTATGCTCCGATTGCGAGAACATGAAGTAAATGCTTGAAAAGTATGCCATGGCTTGGGATCTTTCGAACACTCCTCGTTGAATGATGTAATCAAATGATCAGGTAGATTCGCTCCACGATACAATATTGTACCCGGTTTGATCATTTTACTGTCGAAGGGATTGTCCCATAGGAGCAGACAGAATGGACCTAATGTGCTGATTTTACTTCGCCATACTTGTTCGTGTTGTTTACTTCCTATTAATCGCATAATTTCATTTATTTTTTTGTATAAAAAGCTTTCTAAAGTATAAAGATGCGCACAACAACTCCAAACTTCTTTCATTGCGAGATTTTTCTTCGCCCGTAATTCCTTTGCCATTTTCTCTGCTTCGCGTTTCTTCCCCAATTTTATACCTTCTTCAACAATGCCTAAAGCGGCTTTTTCTACGATCACTGGAACAACTGACTCATTTTTGGTAGGTAATTCGTCGCTGGTAATGTTTAGATGTTTTGCTGTTTCTTTTATGAAAGGTGAAATAAAACCATAGCTACCACCGAAAGGAATATCGGGAGCAATAGGATTGGGTAAAAACCTATCCTCTCGGAGAATTCTTTCGTCTTTACAGTATACTTTTCGCTTGACTGGTCGTTGTTTGTTTTGGTCATTGTTAGAAATTTGAAGATTGTGCTTAAAATCGACGTGATAATCATCCAACAAAGCATAAGTTTCACCAGCTGCAAATGCTTCTTCAATCATTTCATTTTCGACATCTGAATAGTAACGCCAACTAACTGGCGTTGACTTTGAGGATGGATTTGCGCTGGAATTCCACATCCATTTAACGCGTGTGGAAGACATATAGGAAGCGCTTTTAGAATGAGCTATGTTTCCTTCTTTCTAACTGATCTGATGAACGCACTCTAAATAATAATCTATAACTATTTATGTTTCATATTAATATTATAGCATGAAACTTATGTCTCCACATTACAGTACCCAAGTCAACAAATCCGACGCTGGATCCGATCGGATCCGAGTATGGGACTTGTCTACCTGAGTACTAGTCAAAAGTATCCTCCTATGGATCTTTGTACCAAGATGAGCCAGGAAGCTGAAAACTAGTATGCATGTAGTTCTCAACGAATGTTGATCAGTGGTGCAACCCGTACCTCAATTGCATCAGTTATGAGAAAGTTACAATGCTTGCGGCGTCCTATCACTCTGCGTTCCTTAACTCAGGAACGAAAGTACCTTATGAACTTCCGTTTCTCCCATATTGTAGGCCAATACTCTAGTTATCTCTAGTAAAAGTTTCGTCGAGATTCAATCAGTTGTTCTGAAACTGGAAGCATTTTGGTAGAAGTATCAGTGAGCAAAGCATCTGAGTTGGATCATTGTGTACTTCATAATTCAGATATAGTTCATTCAATAACCGTGAAACGTACATCAAATTTTCTTCCAGTGTCCCTCTTTATCCCATAAAACTTTCAACAACCTATCATGTTCTAGAAAGAAATGGTGCTATAATCAAATATGAATATTGTCTTCGATCCAGATACTCGTATACTGGAAGAAATATGCTCATCTTTTCAGTACATAACTAGCATAAGTAGAGGTGCATATCTATCAAAAAAAAGGTTCGAGAAATTGCAAAATATGATAGAAAAAAGACTATAAACTTTATTCCATAGATATGGAGTCCATAGCAAAAAGACACCTTTAACATTGTAACTTTCTTATAATTCACCCAATCGAGGTGCGAGTTGCATCCCTGATCAGCATTGATTCAGAACTACATGTATACTAGTTTCCAGCTTTCCAGCTCATCTTGGTACTAACGTACAGGGGGAATATTTTTGGCCAGAACTGCACATAACACGAGAAATGCTTCTCCAAGAACAGAAAGAGTTGATAAATGACTCGGCTACGTTTGGATATTAAATAGTTAATGTCTAAGCACAAATGAAGATAAGGAAAGAAAATATTAGTTGGAGAAAGCCGTGAAAAGACATATAAAATACAAGGGCAATGATGAGTATCTAAAGCATCTTGAAAATCGTATAAACATATGGGTGAGAGGTGGTGTCGATATAGTATAGTATTCACATCGACAGTCTTACACGTAGGATATCTTAGAGTCGGATTCGACTTTTTCCAAGGCGGATTCGCCTACAGACATCTTGAGAGTGGGTGTGGGTGTGGGTGAGTTTGAAAATAGGTATAAAAGAATCGATAATTAGAAATCTTTCCACTTGTCCACGATTGTATGGATGTCAAGCTACTCAAGTGAAATCACAGAGATATGTTTTAACAAATACGAACAATTTGTTAAAGTAGATCATTAAATCAAAGTAGGACTCGAACCCACATCTTCCGATAACCGGTCGGCTATTCTATCAATTGAACTATTTGAAATTTTACTTCAGCTAATTAAGGGTGAGGGTGAGGGTGAGGGTGAGGGTGTGGGTGTATATCACCCTGACTGCTGTAACGATAAACTGGTTGAGTAGCTGACCGCTTCTCACGGTATAGATGTTTATTGACTACTCTACGTGACTAGAAGGTATCTCTTTCACAATAAGACGCGCGCTTATATAAAGAAGAGGAAAGAGAGATATGACCCGGAGATAGTATAATGTAGAGGTGATAGAATAAAGAACAGAAAGAGATGAACGATATCATTATCGTTACAATACCTTTTTGGTGTTTATTAAGAAAAAGGGTTGATCAAGAAGTAGATCACGTTGATGAACAAATTTTTCAGTCATAAACCCTTTTTGAGGGTTGATTAAACGCCGGATTTTTTTTGAGTGTTCTACGGATGCATAAAAAATGAAAAGCACAAGAAGCTCAAATTTAGCTGTTCATTTGGATTCGATAGGATGAGGGTTTTTTGTCCAGATTCCGATCCCGCTCCAACCGGACGAGACCCATCCCAATGCCAGTCCCATTTGGATCCGCTCGTTCCCGATGTGTCAGCAATATTACGCTAACACATGTCAAATGGGACTTCAACGTATTGCACTTCATGCTGCTATGGTTTCTTTACTGAAGTATAAGGATGAAATGTACATTTTAAGGTGATTATTCGTCAGATAAGACCTCGCGGGATTGTGCCGAGCTCAATTTTTATGCCGATGGGAGTGGGGCCGGGATCGGAAGAAATAGGGATTGGGACAGTCCCGCCGGACTCTACTGTTCATGATCTTTTCATTTTCATTCGTTCATCTATTTTTAGCCACGAGCGCATGTTTAGACAAGAGGACTAAAATGAACGTGAAGTAAAAAAACGGGAACCAATTAAACGCTTAGCATTTTATGCTTCTTACTCAATAAAATATACTCAGTATTATATTCAAGCTATCGATAGATATACTTGAGTGCTCAGTGTTAAATCAAATCCTTAGTAAAAATTATTCTTGCTCAGTAATTTACTCATTTGCGTAGTATTAAAACTAAAATCGTAGTAGATCATTCCATTTTCTCATTAAAGAGTCTACTTTTCTTGATTAGTTTACTGCGCTGTTGAATTATTTGCAGTGAAAAAGAAAATTTTTTATTGACCAAAACTTCTGAGCGACTAAATACAAGTCTCAAAAATGGTTCTGTAAGGTCTTAATACCATACTTCATAAGTCTCATGTAGTCAAAGAATAAACAAGCGAAAAAAGGATAGAGAAAGTTATGTTTTTTCTTCGTCGTCGCAAAGCAACGTGCAGACAAATAACCAAGCGAAAAAAAGGATAGAGAAAGGTATATTTTTTTCTTCGTCGTCGCAAAGCAATGCGTCAAAGAGTAAGCAAGCGAGAGTGGAAGAGTAAATAGTACAACACGCGTATAATAAACCAGAAGGACAGAAGATTAGCAAGTTCTAGTGAATACAATTTTAAAAGACAGATGACATCATCTACATCACAGACAGGAAATCATACCACTACAAACACGGTAGATGACGAGAAATTTGAAGAAACCCATAGCCCCGACCAGTATGCAATTCAAGTAGTGAATGATGGAAGGGTGTGCGAAAAGCTAAGACATGGTGCTTATGGATGTGCTCTTGGAAACAACTCTTATTCATCTGGTATTCATCAAATTAAAGTGAAAATCCACTTTGGGAATGTGTTTTTGGGCATTCGCTCACGAAATATAGTACCCATACCGCTTCATCCTCAAGTGCCCAAGTATGATGATACTCCATCTACATATGGTTGGTGGATCAAGAGCGGCTTCAGGCGGTGCAATGGAAATTCGGAAGCGTCAAATTTGCCAGGAAATGCAGAAGATAACAGTGTGTTCATACTTACGATCAATTGTGAAGAGTACCGACTAGCTATAGTGAATGAAAAGAGCAAAGTAAAAGATGAAATGGAGGTGGATCGCCTTCACGCGCCTTTCCCTTGGTGCCTCTTTGTTGAACTTCCTCGGACCTTAAGTTGTGTATCATTAGTATAAGTGATTCATTCGACAACTATCAACATATCCATTTTTTTTTATAAATATAAAATAAATTTATCTACCATCTTGAGTTTGAATGAATACAGCACCACGACGCGTGTCAAGCTAATTTCAAAGATATAGATATTTTATTTAATTAGTTAATTTACTTTGTTAGACGCCATTATTTGTTGAGAATTGTGAGATAAGTAGTTTGTGATATTGGAAGAAGTCCTCACCAAGCTTTGTGCACAATAGACTACGTTCATGAAGAGTGAGGAAATGATTGCTTACTGATTATAACGAACGGTATAAGACTGGTAGCAGCCAAAACTCGAGCAAATTTGTTTTGCTGATTTTTTTTCACGTGATTCGATACAGTCAGATGTGCTGAATCCGAATATGTATAATTCATTGATATAAAAAGTCGTCTTCGTAGAGAAACCCTGAAAATGCTGCAGAAAAGGAGGTTTTAAAAATATATATTATAGCTTTGGAAAATCGTTCTCCTGATTTAGCATAAAAAATTGGCCATAGAACACCATTTTTAGCCGCCCACTCCATATCATTGTTATTAAAAAAGGGCGTGGGTGAGGGTAGTGGCTGAATACACCAAATCCACTTGTATTCCTCAGTTTTCCGGGATACACTTCTATGTGGGGTATGGAGTTGGATACATCGAGTCAACTGCATATGGTAACATAGTTAATTGTCTGCTTTCGGATGAATACCGGGTATAACGATATTATGGCATCACGCTCATAATAAGCAACAACAGATGGATTGAACCGAAATTCAAAAGTTATATTACAATCACGTCTTGCGAGCTTAATTTGGCTGCCGTTACAGTTTAAAATTGAAACAGTTATATAGGCAAATAATCTGTCAATATTGTTCATCAGTGTGAAGCTAGCACGAACAAACGATGTGCTAGCTAAAACCTTTTTTACTAAATACGCCCCATCCATGAAAACCACACCATTCGACCCAGAATTTAATTCTGCATCGAATGGTGTAGTTTTCATGGACGGGACATACTTAGTAAAAAAGTTTTAGCTAACACATCGTTTGTTCGTGCTAGCTTCACACCGATGATGAGATGACGTGCGAATGACTCACGTTATACTTGCATCATGTTGCAACAGAAAAGCAAAAGCACCTTGTTTTTCATGTGATTCAAATGCAAAACACCATAATCGAGAGAAAAATACGATGATAATTGCAGAAAGATTCTCAAATGTTTTAGTTTTTTAATGAGAGCGATTGTTATGAACTTGTACACAATAGAGGATAAAAAAATTGATCCCTAGATGTGTCGAGTAACTCAATCCTGTACTCTGTTTAACTGCCTGTCAAATTATTAACGTAGTAAAAAGAAAAAGAAAATTCTCTTTATGCCACACAATTCAGAAAAAAAACGAGTTCGTTTAATGTAAAATACGACGTGCATGTCCTGAATAAATAAATGTACGAGAACAAAAGTAACGAAATCATTGTCTGCATCACACATATTCCTCATGGTGTCGGCACCACGTGCAACTCTTTTCATCCTCCTCTTAATTCTGATCTTGAACAGTGTAATTTTCTATAAGCTAGGCCAACGACGTGATGTCAAAAGCATCTTTCAAAGCAGCACAACTCCTCCTTACTCTTATTATGTCTGTACACAAGTATTAAATGAATCCGAAAAATATTTAACTGAATGGATCAAATATCAGTTGAATATCGTTGGCTTTAAGAACATTTGTTTGATTAATGTTGGAGAAACTTTCAATAAAACATTCCTAGCACAATATTCGATAGGGATCATTCATAAACATGAATTTCATCAAGAATTTAACTATTGTTTATCATGTTTTGATCAACCAATGAAATCAGACGATCTACTTTTCATTCAAGATATTGATGAGTTTTTAAATGTTAAACAAGCTGATGTTATCTTTAAAAACTATCACAAATATGATAAGTTTCATTTTCAAGAAATTCGCTACGGTAAGACAAATAGTTGCAAATTTTTGAATGTTCTCACGTGCAAGCTTAGGATATATTTATGATATGAATACTGAAATGATCAATAACTCGTTATTAGAAACGAACGTTTATCGAAAACCACACAAACATCTCGGTGAATACATAAGTAAACATCTTCAAGATTTATTTAATTGTACCACAAATAACGAATGGTATTCATGTGATGAAGGATTCGGAAAAGTGAGTGTAGTGTGCGTCGGTGCGTACACGTTATTTGATTTTGTTTTTGGATTTCAGGAAATGATCAAAGTGGGTAAAATTCGTGAATTAGGTGTACATTTTCATCAATTAACTGGAAGGAACAGTTCCGCAAAAGATACACTCTATGTCGATATGAAACAAGTTCGCCTCAATCACTACATCATGCCGACGCGTGAGGAAGGGATTAAAAGAGCGGCGAAGTGGAATAAGCGACTGTCCAGAATGAATGTGATCAATTCCAATAAATATTTCAACATGATTTTCGATGATACGATCAGAGACTCGAAAAAATTGATTTGATTATGATCGCCAAAATGTCCTTGTGGCAACGACAGCAATTATAAGAGTATAACACGATGTCGCCATTGCACAACGTCGGCAGAGAAAACAGTGGCATACTTTTTTTTTGTTCTTATTCAGTTGGTTGTTTGAAAAAATGAAGCTTATAATTTGTCAAAAGTAGAACTTCGTTAGTTCTCGCATAATTAAAATCTAGTAAAATACAATCCAATCAGAATTGCGATGATAAGAATAAGAAGATTCTTCATGCTAAACAACGTCCCTTCTTTCTTCTTCTTTTCGGAAGAAGTCGCCGGAAGATCCTCAGCCGCATGAGTTTGTACATGCAATCCAGGAATAACATCCGATAAAAACTGAGCTGTCTTTGCCAAATGCTCCCGATTCGGTTTGTAAGTGCCCGAATTATTCGTGATATGAAAGATCACTCCGTCCGCTTGATGTTCCATCCAGGCTTCACCAGCAAAACGGACATCATCATCATAACCGGAAATGAGAACGTGTTTCGACAAAATCCAGTTGACTACTTTCGAACTCAGAAACGGATTACTATGCATTCCGATCAAATGATGTCCCGTAATCACAATGTTGTAGACATGTGCGTCGGCTTTTGTGTTGATACTCATCATTGATGCTATAGACGAGGAAGAAAATTCTCCATGATCATCCCAAAGCGATGCCATTTGCTTTCGGATGGTTAACACGACTGGTCGAGAAAAGAGTAAATACTTTTTCAAGCGTGTGAATAAATCGGGATTTTTCGAAGGAAACGCGCGAAGACTTTCCGGGAGATATATATTGATGTCAATCTTTTCCTGATTAGGAATGACTTTGAATAATGTGTGTGAGCCCCAAATTTTTCTTATGATCGCTCCCAGTCGTGCCGGACGTGAAATTTCTAACCGAGTCAAGTAATCTTTGTTCGATTCAATGATCGGATTCGTAGGACTATCGTGAACTTCGATTAACGGTGCACGATTTTTATCATCTGAGTGTACACATTCATTGTAAATCTTCTTGAAAGTTCGGCCGATACTTGTGAATTCCTTCTTGCGAACTTCGTGAAAATGTTCTTCTAACGTTAAGGGAGTTGTTCGAATAATATCGAATTTGATCGGTTCGCCATTCAGTTCCAATCCTTTTTCATAGATTTGTTGAAACAAAGAACGCGCGCCGATATTACTGCGAAGATCAGAGCCGCCGCTCGTCATTCCAGATGCAGTTAATACAGATGCATTGGCATATGCACATGAAATATGTCGTTGATTCGAGTGTTGTTGCATCGACTGGCGAATGGCCGTGAGCATATCTTCTGGCGTATCCCGAAACCGAATCAGAAAACCGGATTGAACGCGACCTTTTGTGTTGACAACAGCACTTAATTGACGCCAGAACATAAATGCAGCGAATTTAATATAAGCATCGAATTGTTCATTCGGAATTGTTAAATACACATTTGGTAAGCCAAAGCCCAGGAATATTTCACGTTTATTGTCAAAGAGTTTGTCTAACGAAATTAAGTTGATATGATCGAATTCCGTTTGTTCTAAACCATTGCGTAATAGATTATGTTCATTGTTATAATGTGTATCGATTATTAGTCGTGTTCGACGATGAAATAATGGTTCCGGTCGAACAACAGCACCACAACGGATTCCTTTTAATGGAGAATCCGTTTCTTCTGTAACCTTAGCTTTATCATCGACTATTGTGACACTAGAATTCATTTGATTCAGATGGAAAATGATAAGAACGAAATGTTAATGTTTTTTTGTCGTTCTGTCAACTGTGTGTTGATAACAACGCTTGAAAAAAAATTAATGTTGCATTTACTTGTCAAGGAGCCGGGAAGCAGTATTGACTCAAGAATCAGAAAAATATTCTGATCTACTTCTGCGCGATGTCATGGAACAAATATATTCGACGATAGCGACATTTATTTTTCGATCGTAATGAATAACAAAATATGATGACTCATGTAGACAAAACGCTATTGGTTATGCAGAAAACATGATTGTTGATCGTTTCCGCATGAGAACATGGTAGAGCAGAAAACAAAAGTGAGGAAGAAATGGCAAAATAAATATCTAGAAGTAATTGCGTATTTTCTGTCAATAAAGAACGAAGTTTTTCTCACAGATGGAATATCAGTCAACATGGCTGTGCTCCCAGGATTTGCTTTCAACTTATTGATTGAGTGAAACAATGCACAAATCTAGCTAGATACGCTAATGAGAATAAGAATTGTATTTCTATTAGCGATGGCGTTTATTTGATACACGAATATAAAGCACAAGGTCAATCATGATGAATACTGAGAGTAGATAGTAATTATCATGTGCGATAACAGCAGTCTCTTCACCAAATAGCATTGTTTGCAACCGAAGATAGTTTCGATAGATCGATATGAATGCTATGATGGAGATAAATGGATTCAAAAGATAGATGTAGTTATATATTAATAAATCAATGTTGAAATACGATTTAATTTGGCCATCTCGTACAGTTCGTTCTCATAGCAGTGAAACCTTGACGGATGGTGTGTCAGTAATGAACTCTACGTTCTTTTCTTCGCACACGTGCTAGAATGTTCTGCAACCATTTCTCTTTCTCTCCTTCTCGCTCTCGCTTGTTGCACTGATCGACCTTTCTCTACTCCTTGAGTTTCATACCTGCTGTTATTTATTGTAAAACTATGATCGAAGATGCTGTTCAACGAACTAAAAATAGAACGAAACCAATTCGTCAACTATTAAAGAAATTCCTTCATGATTGGTCATTAGATTTAGCTTCGATGCTCGCTTATAATTTCTTAGTGGCAATTTTACCGATTGCTATAATAGTCTTCGGACTTATTGGTTTGATTCTACGAAACTCTCCAGAACATCAAGATGATTTGAAAAACAAAATCATTCAATCATTTCCTACTGATAATACAACACAAAATGGCATAAAACAAGTAAAAGCATATACCTCTATTTCTTCGAAAATCTAATGAGTATAAAACTTGATTTAGATCGTCGATCTTGCTTTCAATCAATTATCGAATGATGCTGGACTTATATTTGTTATTGGCATCCTTTTAGCAATGTTCGGCTCTTCTCGACTGTTCATTGAAATAGATCAATCGATGACAATTATTTATCGTTTACCCGAACGTTCATTTCTTCGCCAAAATTTAATGGCACTCGGTACTCTATTTCTTTTGATCATCGTCATTGTTTTAATGCTTACTGCGAGCTCAGTTCCAACAGCAGTGATGAATAATGTGTCCAGTGGTGGCGCTCAATTTGGAGTTTTTCTTGCGGGGATCGCTTTATCATCAAGTATTGCCTTTGGTCTTTTCGAAATTATTTACTGGCTGGTGCCGAATAAAAAGATGAGTTTTAAAACAACATGGCGTGGTGCGTTGACAGCTGCTGTGACCATAGAAATATTCATCATCTTATTTCCTCTCTACGTACGGCAGTTTATGAGTAATTATGCTGGTAAGTTGAAAAAAGAATTGCACGTTGTTTCTTTTTAAATTAGTTTTGATTTCTATTAGGCCAAATCGGTTTCGCTGTGATTCTTATTCTTTTCTTTTATTACTTTGCAATTATTCTTATCATTGGTGCGCAAATCAATGCGTACTATGTTGAACACTACAAACCACTACCTGATCCACTTGGAACATATTTAAGTAAATTATACGGCGAGCATACGGAACAGGATAGACATGGATGTTTTTGTCGTAAACGACAAGAGGTTGAACCGCAATCACTAGAAGAACCGCGGGTTTAGTTCTGCTCTATTGTATGAAGAAGAAATTTCTCAGATTTCATTGCCTTTTTTATTATTAAATATAGTCTACGCAAAAGAATATCTTTTTCTGATCGCCGTGAGAGATACAGAACTAGTAATCGTGCATTTATTCCTTTCGACATCAACAGTGTTACAATTAAGTGTCGGAAGAATTGGACAAGAAAGGTACATTGGAATACGCTGATTAGTATGTATGTCTCTTTCCAGAAGAGTTTCTCTTGTATTTCTTTTTACAGCCAATAGACAAGGCAAAGGCGAACAGTCTCCTATATCAACTAGTTTGTTTGAATTAAATATTTTGCACAGCACTTACATTTTTAGCAGTCGACATCAAACTGTCAGCTATTTGATAATACAGTTGTAAATGTACATAGAAATATGACTTATGCAACGACCATAGGTGTGATATATCTTGAACATGGTATCCATCGGGTAAAAACTGAAAATAAAACGAGCCGTTGGTCAATCCTTGTATATGTATAAATGCATTCGAGATTTTTGTTATCTCTTCGAATTTTGGTTGCTTGTATCAGCTACTAGTAGTATTTTTTCGAATACGATTGTTATTACATACGCGGACAATGCATTGATTCGATTAAAACATTCCACTGGTCTATTTGCAGATTCTAACGATGATTTTTATATTAGTGATACTTTGAATTGACGTGCCATGAAATATGCACCAGATGCTACTGTAGATGTTCTTGTAACTGGTTCTGGTACGAATGTGGGTAGTGCATTGAATCAGTTTATTACAACCGGTAGCTATTTTCTATCGACTATGATTCTCATCAAAATATCTATCTTGCGGATTGCTCCAATAATCATGTGGTAGATTTCAGCCTCAATGTGTATGTCGTAGAAAATACTATTACTCAAGTGACGAAATGGACACCAAATACAACAATAAGCACTCTTCTTGGTGGGATCACAAATTTGTAGGATACGTTATTGATCCGAACATTTACTACCACTGTAAACTTTCGAATACTTTTCGTTTCAATTTAAGTAATTGACCACTCAAACAGATCGATTCCTCCAATGGCACAATTGTAGCTGGCAATTTTGGCTCTCCAGGATCGTCAGGGATACAATTGAGTTCCACAATTGGTACAACACGCGATCAGTGGTCGAATATCTACGTAGCCGATTTTGAAAATTCTCGAGTTCAATTATTCTGCAGTATGGACGTATAAATGCTTCAAACTCTGAAACCATGAACTCACGGTAATCCTTACCCACAAACGACATATCTCATTTACTCTACCTTTTCGTTCTATCTCTTCAAATAATTTGCCTTAAACATGCGATTATTAAAAAGAAAAATATAAACATAAACTAAAAACATCATTGGCTGATTTTTTTTATAAATCTGTTTTGTACACGGTATTATGGGCATGTTTTGAGTCTCTTCGACCGAACATCAACGAAATCATTTTTGCCTTCAAATCACCTATAGATTTTGATAAGCATCCTTGATGTATAAAAATATCGAAAGTAAGCATAAATGAAAAACAGTCACGCATCAGTCAACGTCTCTTACAAGGAACGTTCTCTTTCTATGCGAAAATTATTATTACCTTGAGACTCACAAGCACATAAACTACACCTTTTTTATTTTGAGCGACAAAAACTAGTATAAACAAACATCAGCACACGATGAATTCCAATGGTACATCTGGGCCGATTCCGATTCTTCATCAAGATGCCAACCCACTGCTGTATACTCTTCCACAAGAACATATGAATATCCAACCATATTGGATCATGATCGTCGAGATTGTCATATTACAACTAATTCAACGACTGTGGAATCTTGTTCGGTATCATGTGTTCAATTCGACTTTAGAAATCGCACTGCTTAGGTGGGTATTGTACTATCAAATACATCTCTACGAATATTTAATAACTCATCGGTCGGAAATTGTCAATATAGTTCCAAGAACCTTACAACCAACGACGCACGCTTGGATTAGTTCTCCTAACCATTATGAACATTATATCATCGCCTATTACGCACATGATTATTTGGTTGATAAATTATCATTTGATATATTCGACTTCATCTTTTACTTTCTTCCGATTTGCGGACATTGTGTTTGGTACAGCTACATCCAAACCTTCTGCATGTCAGTTGATCGTGCAACTCATTGGAATTGTTACAATGCATTCGGCTATCGAATATTTAACTACGTATTTGTCTCCTACGTGAATTTTGTGTGCGTTTTTGTGATGAAAACGATCGCCTTACGAGACGAGAGGATATATCAACAAAAAATCACGTGTCTCGATCGAATAAACTTCCATTTAGGGTTTTGGTCAGCCTTAATTACATTTCTTTTTGCCGGTGGGCTGATATTACCATATCTGATCACTCACATCATACCAATGTTCTTCGCTTATCTTTTCATGACGATAGTCTATATGACTATTTGGTTTGCTGCTCTGTTCTTTATCGTCTTTGTATTAATGCACATACCAGTCGTCAAAAAGATCTTTTATGTACCGATGATCCGTCCGGAGAAGTTACAGAAAGTTGCCGTTGCTGTAATCATATTCGCATGGAGTACTTACACATATCCAATATTACTTTCAACGTTGTATAATTACACACAGTACCTATACTACGGAGAGAATTTTATCTATACCATGTCGAATGAATTCAATGCGAGAGACACGGACACGTATATCAGTATATTCTGGAATTCAGTTAATCTGAAATTGCATAGTATTTTAGATGCGATTTAAAATATATGTACAGATTGTCTTCGACTTATTCAAGTATTCATTGCTTCTATCTCGAATCGTTTGGTGTTTCATTAAAAAGAAAGAGATTTGTTATTGACTAAATATAAATATTGATTCATTCGATTGTATTCGAAAGAATTGTAAAATCTTCAACATCAGTAGAAGTGAAGGTTAGAATAAGATAATTTTCACTATTAAGTATAAAATTCTATGGCCCCCGGAAAGAAGAAATGGGTTTGTCATAAACACAACGATGATCATCGAGATCAATTCTCAATAGAAACAACATGCGTATACATGTCCATTGATTTATTACACGATTGTTTTATAACATCTTTATTTTCAAGGTAAAAACTCGCACTTCAATTCACCTCAGTCAACGAAGATAAAATTGTTTTGAATCGCCATAAGAGTAGAAATCGAGATAAGATGTAAGTCGTTTATCTTTTGTATACTCTCATCTGACGAAACGAGAGCTTCATTTAGAAACTTGTCAATAAACGTTGTGAAGTATGTCCGACGAATCAATCCTACATCCCGGCTTGTATGCAGATGACTCGGCTCAGGAGCCTGAACCACAGATCAAAAGAATGTCGGTAGCAACGGATGGCGAAACCAACGTTCACCATCGTCATGAAAACATTCAGTACAAAAAGCCGTATTTTGCAGTTCTCTTAGCAGCCTTCTCCTCATTAGGTGGATGGTTTTTCGGGTATGATCAGGGTGTAACTGGTGGCATTGTCGTTATGCCTTCGTTCAAAGAAGATTTTTGTATTGATGTGTATGCAAATAAAACTGTTTGTGATCTCCCTGTTGCTGCTCTACCATCGGAATATCGACGATTTCTAGTGCTTTTCACATTGTTATATAATGTGGGATGTTTTCTTGGTGCTGTCTTTATTTCATCGTTTGTCGCTGAAAGATTCGGGCGGCGAGCGATTATTTTCACGGCGTCGATTCTATTTCTTTCTGGAACGTCGATGGTTATATTTCCACCGGGTAAATCCAAGTCAATTATGATCTTAATTCTTATTGGTCGCGTCGTCGAAGGGACAGGTGTAGGTTGTTCTTCGTTTTCTTGTCCGTTGTACGCTTCGGAAATCGCTCCGACGAACATTCGTGGCATGCTCTCCGGTTTTATGCAAATGACCGTCGTTCTTGGTTTGTTCGTTGCGAACGTTGTCAATCTTTTCTTAAAGGATCATCCATTAGGCTGGCGATTATCCAATGGAATTATTTTAATCGCACCGATTGCAATTATGATCGGAATATTCTTCTGTCCGGAAACGCCTCGGTGGTTATTCAAGAGAAAAGGTCGCGAAGCAGCAGAGAAAAGCTTGAAACGTATCCGAAGAACTGACGACGTCAGCGCAGAATTAGAGGCGATCGATGACGCAATTAAAGACGAAGGCGTTCAGGTATCGATCAAGGAATTATTCACTACGAAGAAAATGCTGGAAAGACTTGGAATCGGAGTTGGAATTCATATCCTCCAACAAGCAACTGGAATTAATCCGATATTTACGTTCGGTGGAATCATTTACGAAAGTATTCTTGGTCAAGGTATTATTTCTTTATTAGTTTTATCCGGGGTGAATTTACTAAGTACAATACCTGCTCTGTTTCTATTCGATCGACTTGGCCGGCGCAAACTTTTAATTTTTTGTGGTTTAGCGATGGTTATCGGCCATCTTATCGCAGCAACTATATTTGTTACAGGTTGTAAAGTGACGAAGAACATTGTTGATGGAACAACAGTGACTGAAGAGGTCGTGGAGTGCGGTCGAAGTTCAGGTATTATTATGTTAGTAGCCACGGCGATCTTTGTTTCATTCTTCGCACTCTCTTGGGGTCCAATTGCTTGGATATATGCCGCAGAAATTTTTCCACTCAATGTTCGTGCTCGTGCAGTTTCGATTACAACAGGGAGCAACTGGTTTATGGGTACAATTATGTCATATATCTTAGAATTGATTACACCGTTGGGAATTCACGGTGTGTTTTATCTCTTCAGTAGCTTGACATTATTAGCGGTGATATTTGTTTATTTCTTCTGTCCTGAGACCCGAGGTGTTATTTTAGAAGATATCGATGATCAATTTGAGAATTTTCAATTGAAAAATCGAACGATAGTAAAGTTGTGTCGACGACCGTGCCAAGGACGTCAACCAAGATCAGTTAAAGTAAATGTTATCACTGTGACCGACGATGATAACCGATATTAAATGAACTCTATGAAGAAATATTTTCGCGAATGGTTTTTTATTTAATAAAATTTTATTTCATTTCTTTGAACAGAATTTTGTCGTCAATGTTCTTTTATTGTGCTGCGGGAATAATTCGGATACTACTTCTAGATTTTGTCCATTGATTGAGACTTCGAAAGATTTCCTCTTTAAGTTCCGGTATTGCCAAAATAGTCGTCAGTGGTGAAAAGAGAGTTGCAACATAAATGAAGCAAATCAATGTCCAATTGACAGTTAATTCCATGGAAATCGAAGTTGGATAATAATTATTGATAACTGACGTGATGCCTGAAGGCATCCAAGAAATGTATAACATTCCAACTAGAGATAGAAGCTGCAAGAGCATTTTACGATTCTTATACCAGATCCGTCGTTGCATCATTCGTTTTTTGAAATAAAGTACACGTGCAATGAGAACCGTGTTCGAGATAATCATCACAATCAGAGGCGCGATGATAGCAAACACCCAGGAAAATGTTCCTGTCACTGGGTGAATAAGATAACATGCAGTACCGCATGCCCATGAATGATAATCAAAATGGTTTACACATGGCATAAAGTTGACCACATAGACGACGTACACGAACGGCATAACAATGAATGTAATCATCGGAATATAGTGTACGATGATCTTGTGTCTATTTGTAAAAACGTTCATTAAAGATTTACATGAATGTCAGTGTAGTACTTACTTGATGAGAAATGGATTGTGAAAGATGAGAAAATAACGTTCAATGGATAGATATGCATTCAGTTGTACAGAACTCATATTTATAAAGGAGGTCAACACGTACCAATAAGCGCAGAATCGATCGGAGGAGAAAGCAACTTTCCCTTGATAGAATAAGATAATTGCTAAAGGCAGATCGCATGTACCCTAGAAGATTAGTGAGTTTTTTATATGAGATCATCAGCTAACGTTTTTACCTGAACGAAATAAAGCAGAAAAATGCAGATGAAGATATGATTGTTCAAGCGGACCCATATTTGTTTTTTACGTAGAATAAAAGACAAAACAAATAAAGAACAAACAATTGACGGCAGAATCAACATCAACAAGCAGATAGATGTAAGTCTTCGACTCAGTTCAACATTTATAATGGAACTATTATTTGCCATTTTACCAAATGCCTCTACAACGTATTGTCGAATCCTCTATTTCTACTATTAGGATAAGTCTGCGTGATAGTTAATATTCTTTTATAGTCAATTATATCAACACATATTCTACTCCGGATTAATAGATTTAGATCTATCAGGCACATCATTAGCCTCGATTTCCAACTGGAAAAGTTGACAAGTCAAATAGTCTAATTGGGTATTTCGAGTTTTCTTTCACTATCGTATCATGTATTCCATCAATGCAGACGATAGCTGATGATTGCATTAGTCCGCCAATCCCCGTAGTATCATCACCATCTTAAGTAACATGATAACAGATCGTGATTCTCACTCCGCATGTGAATGAGTAAAAAAGTAAGATTTACTCGGTGCATAGACACGATATTATGAAACAATTCTTATTCATACTTGTATGCGCTTGATCATATTTCATGGACGAATGCACTTTGATGAAGAACATAGAACAAGAAAAATACCTCCTTGTACACAGCCTTATTTGAATATTTTTTTCCTATCGTATGACGATTTATGTCGTCTTAATAGCGTATTTGTCTTTTTTTTTGAAAAGGAAAAGTAATACGAATGTATTTTTTCACTTTCAGTATCTCATACAACATGTTTTTAGCATCAAAACCATTGATTGTCTTTGTTGCCGCAAGCGTTGATCAATTTAACTCGTATGAAACACTTAAAAATGCTTTTTCTACGACATTACATCCAGAGTGGAATTCTTCAGTGGATATGAGTCGAACGAATATTCATAGTACAACTCAAATCCCTTCTGGTAGCACATGGTTTTCATACCAAGGCGATGCTAATGAAGTCTGCGTGTGCACTGATACAAATGTTTGTGCAGATTATTTAGAAGAAACCAAAGGCAGGCGAACATTCATAGTTTTTTTAAGTCATTTATTTAATGATTTCGTCTCGAAAATTATTGAGAAGTACGATGATGTTTTTTGTAGACCTTATGAAGACCAAAGCATCTCGATTTATATACTCGACATGGATGGTGAAAATTCAGACATAAATCTAGCTGATATTCAGGACCATGTACACTTTTTCGATCATGAAAAATCTTTGCTGTCTAAAATATCACTCGAAATCGCAGACTATTTCGTTAAACTTGGGAAAAACATATCGACTCATGAAAACCTATCACAAAAACTCAAGTACTTCGTTTGGGCCAAGACACTCATGTCACGCGCTACTCATATAGGGCCAGGTATCACAACAAATGATCGTGTCACAGACATCAATAAGCACATTGCTGGTATAAAAGAACTACTCCGTGAAACAATGTCTGACAATACTCGAACTAGTTGCGGCTCTGTCGCTTGTAGTAAGAAAAACGACCTATCGGAATATCTTCAATTAAAAGAGACAAGTGACTTAGCCAAGTCTGTGGAACATGATCGAACAGAAAACAGGCGCGGAGATTATCAACATGGAGATACAGTATTAGAGAACGCAATGCAACAAGAAAATACTTCTGTTATGCAAGTCTACCTTCTTGAAACGTCATTTTCAAAGAAAACTTTCGAGAATATATCGAAATTATCCAAGCAGCTCTTCGGTCAAAACTTGACAATTGTTTCCAAAGAAGAAAGCTACGATCAATTACAAAAATTTCATCAGCCATCATCAATAATTTGTTCGTTTTCGACCGATGATGATAAAAGATTATTGAACAGTTTATCTTCCATGAATGCGCCTCCATCGATCTACCTCTTTGGAGCACAGCCTATGGACAAAGAAAGTTTTTTCAAAGAATATTTCCACATTCAATACATTTCTGAGAACCTTCAGGAACTAGTTGTGCAGGTAGCAATTGACATGGCAATGAATAATCGAATTGTGGGTGACAGACAAGCGAAAAAACACGATATAATCAATGCAGGAAGGTGTTTTGATCAGTGTATTGAGATTTTAAAACAACTGGACCATCTTGCTGCAATCAATGTCAACGAGAGAGACTAATGCAAAAATAAAAGATTTTGAGATGTGAGCGATGAACGTGAGAGACTTTCATATTCTTTACCAATAATTGTACTATCATTATTGATTTTTAAGTTGTATTTTTATTTCAGATTTGTTTATATTGCCGAGTATGGTCAACCAGTGCGTCATCCTTCTTGATTCGGAAAGACAACATGTATTTATTCAAACTTATTTCGAACAGCGTGTTCAATATTTTATTGATAGAAACGCCTGCATTCAACACGTACAAGCCCAGATACCAAATTTTGAACGAATCGATCTTTTTCTTTCTTCTCGGAACAGAAATATTGTAGGAGATCAATTGGTTCTCTTCCAAAATGTTTACTTCCATATTTATTATCCTTCTGATAGCGATTTTTCAGCTGATAATAATCCGTCACATATGTGGATCGACACTTTCCAAGAAGGTAAGCTGTGGATAAAAATCGGTTTTACGATACTTCGGCAAGACTATTTATTGGTTATACAAAGTGATTCTTCTCCAGCAGCATTTACTCGGTTGCGCTCTACACTTCAATTTCTATTAGATGATGTGCATGAAGCAAAGCTCAGTGTAGAAGCAAGTGATCGAAACGAATAGTCAACACACGCCAAGATCAACAGTGCCTATACTGATCCGTAGACTCAGGTGTATGATCACAAGTGTCGAGCAAAACTTTTGTATTTTATATATCACAACAGATCTCAATCATTACACTGTTTTCTTCTGGCAGCTGTCTCTGAATATTTTAGATGTAGTATTATACGTATAGTACACATGTTAAAATCACTGTTTTTTTCCTAGTTATGTATGATTTTTATAAAGAAAATACAACACCTCATAAATGTTACACTTGCTCATGTACATTCTCTTAACGTACGGGGAAAATACGATTGCGAGACCGATAATATGTTTCACAACCATTTAAATATAATTGTGAGTCTAACATTTTTTTTGTTCCGAATAGATATACAATCATCTCACCTTCTCTTTCAAACTATAGAGAAATCGAATTACAACAAGAACTCTCTGACTATTTGATATTTTCTTACCTCGCTCCATGTCGCCTAGAAGCTACTTTTATTTTCAATATTACTTGATAAAAAACAACTTCTCATCGTTTTGCGGAAGTTTTTGAGGATTGTTATTATTTTGATTACAACTAACACAGATGGGACACTTCGCAAGAATCACATTGCTTACATCTTTGTATACATTATCATAAGTTTTGTTGTCATGCTAACTTCATTTTCTGTGAAGAAGCGATCTTAAGCGTTTCCTATATCTTCAACTCTTCGGAAAACTAATTTCTTTCGATAATTACAAAAATATTATCGAGTGTAGCCCCATATATTCTCATCGCAAAACTCAGTTTCATCTCAGTTTATTTCTTATTCTCTATTCGAGTGAGTGTCATATAGTAGAATAGGGAAGAAAACATCTTCTTGAAATTACATTATTTGAATGTAAATTTGTGTTATTTATTCTTATTTATTTAGGTCACAGTCAGTGAAGAAATCCGACGGAATAGTTTTCACCATTACAATGGGACGTACGATTAAAATTGCTTTGATATTAGGATCGATCGGTATCGTGGTCGCAGCAGCGGTCGCTACTGCACTAACTCTTTATTTCAAACGAAAAACTGACCCAATAATTACTTCAAGTGAGTCCTGTTTTCCTATTCTTTCTTTCATCTTTGACGACACACGTTAGACAATACAACAGTACAACAAAGTACAACAATGAGTGTATTCATGGGCGCCAGTAAGTCAAAATTTAACAGGGAACACTCAGATGGTATTTGCTAATTTCCATCGTTATTGCAGACGTTTCAACAAATAGAGTGAACACGACGATGTATGACGCAAGCCGTACTACTGGTATTACCAATCCATCAACAACGTTGTTCAGTACAATAAGCAGTACGCGCGCCAGCACAACCCAAGCGGCAGCCGTTAGTAATACAGGTTTGTTATTCAACACGTTCTTCAATTTATCATATATCTTACGAAGAATTGTTTATTGATATCCATGACATAAATATGACGCTAAACGGCGTTGTATTGAGAGGAAATCTTAAAATCAACTCACTTTACCAGACTTAAATGATTCTATATGAAAAGGAAATTATATTTCAAGAATCTTCTCATATGAAGTAATCCCTGACAACTGAATAATGTATTTCTTTCTTTATAATTAGTTTCTCAATATTCATCGGCGTTGACCATTTCCAGTCAAACATTCTGCCGAGGTGCTAGTTGTTTGGACGCAAGCCAATATTTTGAAGCTTTCCGATTGACTGTACTTGCCACTGGTCTGTATAGTATGAAATCGAGTGGCAGTCTAGATACATATGGGTATCTATATAGTGGTACCTTTGATCCGTTCAATCCAACTGCCAATTTAGTCACTTCCAACGATGATGACGGTGGCAGTCGGCAATTTATGATGAATGCTACTCTCCAAGCATCAGTACAATATATCATCGTAGTGACATCGTATTATACATTTAATTTAGGATCTTATACAGTAACTATTACTGGTCCTGGATCAGTGGCACCATCTTTATTGAATATAACAGGTGAGAAAATGAAAAACTGGGGCGGCATATCATTTAAATTTTCTTATTTTGATTAATTAAAGGTCTAACAACTCAACGATCATTGTATTCATCAACATTGAACAATACCAGTGCAACATTCTGTCGGGTTGGAAATTGTTCCGACGGTCTATACTATTACTACATAGCACTTCGTCTCAATGTAAGTACGAATGGGACGTATTACATTGTATCCTATAGTAACGTTGATACCTATGGATACATTTACAATAGTAGCTTTATAGCTTCTGCTCCGGATACAAATTTTCTTATAAGCAATGATAACAGCGCTGGCTATGGTGCATTTCTCTTATCCACAAATATCAGTCCAATATCAACTTATGTACTAGTCGTCACCACATATTGGACTAATGTAACTGGTCCATATGCAGTGATTGCCTATGGGAAAGGAACTGTTAGTTTCTCTATTGGATAGCAAAACTGAAGCGATGATATCATTTGAACACTTTGAAATATTTCTAAACGCTTTTTCCACATGCTTTGCTTAACTATCTTTATCCTCTCTCGGTTTTCTATTGTCTCTATGCACACTTCAAATTACGCAAACCTCTTGATTCCATTTATATTTTATTTATCCTCGAGTTTCAATAAAAAATGACTATACTCATCATGTGAATCTCTGAGAGAGTCGAAAGCTATGAGTCATATATATAACGTTATAAATCGTATCTTTCGTTTTTCTTTCTTACATTTGTTTATGAGAGTGAAAGAACAGAACAACAGAATTTAGCTAGCGGGTGGACGCACTATGAATGATCAAAGGGCTGAAGCACGGGATTTTATCGTATGGTGTGCCGATGATTTAGGTACGTTTACAATGAAGTTTTTCTCCTAATCAATGAATGTATGTATGAGACGAGAGCAAGAGTTCATCTGTGAAATCGTAGTCTTGTCTATCGTTGAAATGTATTTCGAATTATTTTCAAAGGGAATGACATTGAACTTGGAAGATACCGCACACGCAAAGATGCAGAGAAGGCTATGCAACAACATATTCAACAGCACAATCAACAAAATCAATTTCAAAGCTACCGCATAGTCGATACAAATCTTGGATACAAAGTTGTGAAAAGATAGATATTATTAATAATACAAGCATTGTCTAGATGCTTGACGATTATTATATTCCAAACACAAATAAATGCATATATGTATAAAAATATGCGGCACCGACAGTGACACATATGAAACATAACCTTTTTCTCACGTTGAGCTATAAACTGAGGATATAAGATGTTTTCGTAGAGTCGACGAATTGCTATTATAAACAATTTCACAGCATTGACTCTTGGAAAACCGTGGTAGTGTCGCACATTTAGAGTTCTCTAGAACTCTAACTATGTGACACTATTCATTATTTGAATCGTTGCTTGCTTGCTTTTGCCAGGTTAGCTTTGATGCAACACAAGCCGCTGTGTTGTTTATCAGTGACTAAAAACGGTTGCATCGGAGTGTGTGCAGCTGACAGCAAGAATTTCATAAATCATCACATTGAAATTGTTTGCTACATGTTAAACAAATATGTTATCGTTCACACCTCTCCATACCTCAATTTATACTCAGAAAAAAAAACTGCGCAAAAACAACATGTGAGCGACGAATTCTTATCTTAAGTAAAAGAAAATTTGCCACGACGACAGCAGTGCAGTATGATTAATAGAAAAAAATGCGTTTCTCTTTCTCTAAAGTAGGCGTCTGTTGTCATAAGTAACAAAAAAACCTTTTCGACAGCTGACTCGAGGACGCAGTACTTCGACACTATAATAACAAGATTATCCGGATTTATTGAAAGCCAAATAATTGTTCATGCAAATGACATCTTCTCTAATTGAATGTAAAGGTAATTAAGCGTATCAAATATTAACTAAACTGACTTGAACGTTTTACCATGTTCATTCTTTCGTGTTTCCATCGATGTCTTCAACATCGTTGATTTTCTTCGGCAGCCAATTTTGTATTTATTTCGGTTTCATTATATTAAAGCTTGGTCTAATCGGAAACCTAAGCAATCTTTTCGTCTTATTTTCGACTCGAACAAATCCTTGTTCGTTTTTATTATGGTTTGCCTCGATTTCCAATATCATCACACTACTGACAGGTCTGTTACCAAGAATTTTAAGCATAGGTTTTTCCGTTGATGCATCATCAACTAGTCTAACGTGGTGTAAAAGTCGCTGGTTTCTTTCGTACACAAGTGCCTTCACCAGTTTAACATGCATCTGTTTTGCTTCAATTGATCGATATTTGGTTTCATGTCAATATATGCAATGGCATAATCGAAACAAATTGAAAACAGCAAAACTAGCTATTCTGATCGCTACTTCAGTTATCATGTTGACTCATATACCATTTATAGTGTTTTATCATATTATTCAAGTGAACAACTCTAATGATAATGTAATCTATCAATGTTCCGGAACTAATGCAGCATGGACTTCGTATGTGAATTATTTTACTCGACCAATGTTGGGTTCGATTATGCCCGGAACTGTATTGGCTGTTACAGGTTGGCGAACATATTTGAATATCAAATCGCGGATGCTTGTTCACCTAGGAGGAACATTTCAACGAGGTTTAACATCAATGATCCTTTTACAAAGTATCTTAATCATCATTCCCGTAGTGCCTTTCTCAATCATTGTTATTTATCAAATTGCAACAACATCAACAAACAAAACAGCATATCGTTTAGCTCAAGAAACAATGGTTTTTAATATAGCGAATATTCTTCTATACATTAGTTATGCGTCAAATTTCTATGTATACTTTTTTTCAGCCAAGTCCTACCGAAAAGAACTCCTTAGGTTTGTTTCGCATTTTGTTTGCTGTCGAAGCAATCGTGTTGAAATGCGTCGTATGTAAAATGTTTTCGGGAGGCATGAATAACGAATATAGAATCTGAATCTTGAGGATGATTGTGTTCTGAAGCGTATTCATATTAAAAAAAGTATTCGGTAACTAACAACTAAAATAAATCTCATATTCTAACGGATGACCAATTTTGTGCCTTTTGATACTTATTCATAGTCAACACCTCGAAAATAACTGGAAATATTTTATTATTAATATAATCAAAATGAAGGATGAATTTCTACGAACGTAGCATTATCAGTATCTTCACGCGTATTAGCAATCGCTTGCTGACAAACGATACATTGTGGTTGATTTCTTGTCGTTGCACGCTGTTGCAAGATTACAAAACATTTTCCACACACTGTCTTATGACCACATGGTAAACATCGACTAAAGATTGGATATTCAAAACACATCAAGCATTCCTTTCCTTTGGCAACTTGCTCAGCAATCATCGTTAGTTGTTCAACAGCTTGAGCCGCGGTTGGTCGTGTACTGGCATTCGGATGAATGCAGTCGAGTATCAGAGTTCTGTAACGCTCAGGCATATGAATGAGCTCACGGATATCAGCTTCTGTGATGCTATCACGTGGATTCTGATAAACTGCTTTCGGTGCAAGAGCATACATCAATACTCCAAGTGAAAACACATCGACAGCGGTGCCTGTATATGAAAAAGCTGTTGATCTACGGTTATGATGAAATTCTGGGGGTAAAGGTTGCGAACCAATGATCGTATGATTTTCTGAACCATGTTGACACGTGCCAAAGTCAGCTAGAAAGACGTTTCTGTGATCATCGAGCAAAATATTTTGAGTTTTAATATCGCGATGAATAAGATTTTGCACATGCATATGTGCTATAGCACGACTTATATGAAGTAGAATACGCATAGCATCGCTCATGGTTAAATCCGCCATGTGATTTGTCAGATAAGTATGTAAACTCATAGGGTAGCGCCGAAGAAGAATATACAATCGATCGTTTTGATTGTCATAATGCAGCGAATGTAATGGAACGATATGTTCAATGTTCAATCGAGTTATCGTCCGATGAAAGTGTGCCTCCATATAAGCAAAATCGGACGATTTGCTTGAATCCAGTAGAATTTTAGCTACAAGATCTCGTTCTGTATCCCACGAGGCAGGATGTACAGAAAAGAAGCCACCGTGACCCAAAGTTTCGCCCAAATTGATCGTCGGTGTCCTTCCATAATGTTTAGTTAAATCTAAGTTAGCGAGCAGAAGACATTCGAGGCGAGCAAATTGCGGTGCAAAAGATCGAGCTAATCGATATGCTTGTTGCCGGATATTTGCAGTGGCTAAAGCAGCTTGATGGTAAGCATGAATTTTCTGCTTAACAAATCTTTCATTCGATTCGACTTCATCTCGAATATTCCGTTTAATGCTTTCACCAATGTCGACAAAACTTCGTTCGACGTCTTCCTCAATGATGTGTTCATCGGAAGAGTCAATATCCAATTCTTTAATCGAGAACAGTGTTCCAAGCGTATTCATTAGTCCGCTGATTCCGACGAGAATTTCTTTGAACGATTGCTTTTTGAAATAATCTCGACGTTTTGTCGTATCGATAATCTTGATGCGATCAAGAAATTCACGGTAAGCTGCGAGAATTAATTCGTTGTGTCTAATGGATTGTTTCTCGACTAAGTTCTGGTCGATGTGCGTACTGACTCGATCATTGATTTGATTGAAAATTTTACTTAAAACCGGTCGGACAATTTCTTCCTGAAGAATTGAACGCAAAAAATTTCTATCATCGAATATTTCAATTGGTTGGATAGCATTAATCAAACTAACGCTTGAAACTTGCAAATCCAAATGTTCACTTCGTTCTCTTCTATATGCAACTATTTTCTTCGCTAGTTGTTTGCGTTGCTGACGTAATCGAACAGACAACTGTTTTTGTGCTTCGTCACCGATGGCATCGGCCTGTAAACGATATTGTTGGAAGAATTCCGTCGCCCAATGTAATGCTCCTTCTCGTAGACGGTTCCATTTTCTTGCCGAACGCTGATTTGTCATTAGAACGAAATCGAAAAATGTATCAATGGCATCCAACATAATCGTGCTGACTTCTTGAGTGTTTCGTAAAGCACTATCGAAAACAAAACGAACGATACGATCGATAACGTTCTGTCGTGGATGTTCACTACTAAAAATATCAAAGCAATTGCATTCGTCACATGTGCGAGGCAATCGGTTATTCATGGTCAGAACATCTCTTAAATTTTCATATCGACGATTTCGTTCTCGATCATCGTCGAGATCGATTTCAGTATTGAGAAAGAATATATTATCATGAACGGTATCACCAAGAGTTAGTCGCAGTTGTTCGTAATATGTTTTTGTCTCATCGGAGATGGTAGCACCTTCGTAAACGAATAGAAAATATGGATTTGTTAGATGAATATTCTTTATTGCGGTAATTGTTGATATTTCGTATACATCAATATTTGATTGTAGGAAATTTGATGGAAAACAGAGTTCAACGAGAGATGCTTTCCAGTCGTCTGATTCAATGGTATGTTCTCCTTGAAGTAGATAAGGTGCAAGCGTTGCCTTTAATTCTTCCGAAGCGATGTGCGTTTTGAAAAATGATGATAGATTAATACGATTCGTAGATGAGACTGTTTGCCCATTCGTTTCGTGTAGGATTAAACAAGCTTTATTAGAAGCAGCATAGGAAAATTTGACGTTCCGTTGTGAAATACCATTGATATCGGTGGGTAGAAATTGACCACATCGGAGAAGTTCATGAATAAAAGATGTCTTCCCCGATGATTTTGCTCCACAAACAATCACTTCAATTCTATTCTTTATTTTGTATTGCTTGAGCGTTGCTATTTTGTTCGTGTCTAGAAGTACGTCGATGAGATCTTTAAGAGTCTGTAATTGATCACAAACTGATTCGATATCATTTAAAAATCGTTGTTGAAGGTTACAAAATTGTGAGATTATTGAACAAGTCGACTGTTGAATTGTTGTATTCGAACGGAACATACGGGCAATCGAGTTATCAACGTGTGTCATCGTTAGTCACTGATTCAAAACTGAATTATGAGAAATACGCAGTTGTAGAAAGTGCCGTCATCTCTTCGTCATATGCGCAAAGATTTATCTTATAACGCAGTTGATAAAAACACCTGTTTTGCAACAATAAAAAAAACGAATACGTGTTATCCTTCTTCGATTCATAATACAAAAAATACGACAAATTTGAAAGCTTTTTAATATGTGCTATAGGCAACAGTAACATCCTTGGTGCTAATCAATGTTGATATTAACTTGAATTTCAAATATCATAATCGTGAAAATTCTCTCTTAAGGTGCGAGAAGTTTTCAACAGTCGGTTGATAACATACACAAAACGAATATTATTATCATCATCTTATGATAAGAAGCTTGTACTTGTATTCATTTGCGCGTGTGTCTAGTATACACAATAATGGCAAGTGTTACTTCTCTTTGTCGCTGGTTGTTTCAAGAACCACCAGGATCTCGTCGAGAATCGGAAGGTCAATATGCTTATGCACTTGAAGAAATGAATGGTCCAATTGCACGTGTTGAAGACGGAATTATCGGTCCGTATTCAGCTGAATTAAAAGAGGGACAATGGTTTAAAATTCCACGTACATCTTGTCCTGCTCTTAATCTTCACGGTCTAGGTACACAGTTATCTATTGTTGCTTGGGTAAAACGTAAGCAAAAGAGCAGCAAAGAATGCGAAACGATTGCTGGAATGTGGAATGAAACAAATAGTGCAAGACAATATTGTCTCTTTCTCAATCTTGGTATTTGGAGTAGTGCCAATCAAGTGTGTGGCCACCTGTCCTCGACGGGCGCTCCTAGTCCTGATTATAGCTATTGTATGGAAGCTACGATAGGACAATCTGCTGTACCATGGAACGAATGGCAACAAGTTGCAGTCACATTCGATGGGATTTGGGCTAAAGCTTATTTAAATGGAAAACTCGATCAACGACCAGGTCTCAGTCCGTATTTTTGGCCGTGTGTCATTCACGATGGTGGAGATCAAGGTGCTGATTTTACTGTTGGTTCAGTATTTCGTAGCGGCACCATGGGCAACTGGTTCGTTGGACAACTTGGAGGATTGGCTGTTTATGATCATGCTCTCACTCCTACACAAATTCATGAACTTTATGTTTGTCGTTCTGTTTAAGTCAATAAACTATTTCACTTTCTTTCTTGCCACAACATGCTGTCTGTTTGCTTTTTTCTTTCTCGCTTGATAAGAACGCGGTGATCAAACTCATCTTGACTGTAAAAACAACTCATTGTTCATTATGTTGGTAATCGAAATGGATCGATTGCATTGTTTCTTGCTAAAGATTAAACAAATCTGAATTTTCATCATTCTCCGGAAATGAACGTTGCTTCAACAACAAAAAAACTAGCACTCTGTTATATATATCGTATAAAACAGTATTGCTTATCATCGATTCATCTCTCATGAATCACTCTCTTGCAACTACATGTCAAAAAAAGAAACAACAGAAGTACACTGCACCATTCATTCCTTTTCGTTTATGTTGAAATGTGTAACAAACCAATGGATCTTTGCGAAAAGATGACGTGAAGTCCAATAGGACATAACTTTTATTCAGATCTACCCAAATAGCCCAAAGTAAACACAGTATACATCAATGCATTTAACGTCAAATCTAAACTTATAAGATACTGTTCATTCAAGAATGCGATGTATGAAAATACAAGAATATACAAAGTCATAGCTAAGTATCCTCTATGAATTTGCAGGCCGTTGATTTGGTGTCGAATTGCGTCAAAAATTGACTGCAAACTATCACAAGCCACATGCAAACTTTGATTATACTGATTGAGATATGAACACGTGGTGTCGGTAGTTGGACAAGCCGCAATTTTTCGTTCTTGATCATTCATACGCATCGGATTACCAAACTTTGGAGTAACAATCCATTTTCTAGCAGAACTGAAATTGAAAAAACCTGCTATCGCTGAACTTGCATGATGAAATAGCATAGCATTACAAAAGAGGGAGTAGACTTTGACCAAATGGATTTGTTCAAATGTGTAGAATAAAATATTGGAGGCTAAAATTAATGGAAAAAATGTGATAAAAATGTTCACATTGACTGTTTTTCGTAAACAAGCATTGATAGCTATATTCAGAAGAAATATAACGAAACGAACAATGTAAAGACATGGCCGACAAATCATCCATAGACAATGCAATTTTCGGTAAACATTCATGTGGGACGTTCGACGAACAGCTGTGAATAACTTTCGAAAAACCTGCGCAGGTCCACTGAACCATCGGTATTGTTGAGAGAGGTATGCCGTGAAAGTAGGTGGCAACTCGTTCAAACATTTAACATCAAGTATATAAGCAGCATACCAGCCATTCATATAGGCTCGAACAGAAATATCTAAATCCTCGACCAGAGTGTCTGTATGCCAACCTCCACATTGGTGAATGGCTTTCGTTCGCCAAACACAAGCAGATCCATTGAATTGAAAAAAAGAACGCATGCGATATTTGACTTCTTGTTCGCACTTATGATGATGATTGAGAGAAATCTCTTGCATTTGTGTTAATAGTGACTCTTTTCCATTGGTGAATATCCATCGTGCTTGGGCATAGGCCACTTTCGGATCTTGCAAAAGAAGAGGCACTGTCTTTACTAGGAAGTTCTTTTCGGGTAGAAAATCAACATCGAATAATGCAATGTATTCACATTGTTGAATCTTCTCGAGACCATTTTTTAAGTTTCCTGCTTTGAAACCGTGTCGATCTTCACGTCGAACAACATCGATTCGAAACCCTCGACTTGACCATTCTTCTACACACAGATCAATCATTTTCATGACTGTCTCATCCGTCGAATCGTCCAGTACCTGAATAATCAAACGATCTTTTGGCCACTGTAAATTACAAGCACACGTTATCATTGAAATACAAAACTCCTTTTCGTTCATCATTGGTAATTGTACAGCAACCATGGGATATTCATCATCTTTTGACGACGGTGGTATCACACGACTTAGCGTAGGATGTGACTTCGAAGGTAAACCAACTCGCAAGATAGTGTATATGATTTGTTCTATATCATCCGAAGTTTGAATGATAATCAACAATATGGATAACGTTTCAAGAAAATCGACAATTGTTATTGATCTTTGAACATAGTAGATATTATCAGCAAGAGTTGGGTTAATTTCTTGGGAAGTAATGTTCACGTAACAGTTAGATATTCGTGTCGCTTCTAACGAATGTTGCAACAATATAAAAATAAACACGATTCTGACGAGTGTCATGCAACTCATGATTGATTTCTCCAAATGATCTTCAATTATTAAAAGTTCTGTTTCGTATATTCTTCAGTCATGAATCTTGCCCTCAAGATGGTTGTCTGGAAGTATCTCTGAGATGCCTAGTATGTTATTATCTAAAATGGTACATAAAGATTAGTAATGAAAAGCGCACGCATATGTATTAAATCGGAAAAAAAGCAAAAAGAACAAAGCGAATAGATAATAGTAGATAAAAAATACTGAACATGTTAAGATAATTGTTATGCATTTCAAGTGTACCGATTTCAGTACAAAACTGATGAATAGAACTGACAACGACTTAGAAATAATTGTTCAAACAGGACTAAGTATTCGTTCGAGTATGTCGAACACTATAGTGCTGGTATAGTGATAGTTTGGAAGTAAATGCATTACAATCAACTTGACATATTCGCTGCCTAGTTCTAATAAAAAGCAATACGGAGCATCAAAGATTCGACTAATATCGAAACTACTTATAAATGAATATTGGTAAAAGTTACATATGTCTGTAAATAATGATTTTTGAACTATCTTCATGGCCATGCCAATATTTGACCACCATTGCTCGTCTGTGTATGATTCAGTGGCCCTTGATAATATAATTTCGCACTATTCGAAACAAGTGCGTTGATGGCCGTCGTTGCACAAACATACACTACCGATGAAATATCAGCTACAACATTGGCAATTGTTGGACATGTGGATTTCGCCATAGTCACCGTAGAATTTACAACGTTGATTTCTATTTGACCGGTCGCGCAAAGATTGTTGACAGTCAATCCACTAGTACTCGTGATAGTGACAGATGCGGCACATTGGGTTGTACTAGCATTAACAATCGACTCAGAACCACTAATGATCAGTGAGGTATTTGCACAAATGCCTGTCATTGTACCATTTTGTGTAATGCTAAGAAAAGCTGACATTGGACATGGCCAAGACGTATTCATAGAATGCTCCCTAGTTCCCTGTGATGTCATATTGATGCTTTGACTCGCACAGAGATTGGTAAATCCACCTGCATACTGAGCATCGATCACAACCTGTTGTGGGCATACATTTGCTGAATTAATAGAAATTTGATCTGTGTAGCTGGCTGTAACACTCATTTGTTGACTCGCACAGAGATTCGTGAGTCCAGACATACTTTGGACGTTGACAACAGCCTGCTGTGGACATACAGTTGATGAATCGATAGAAATTGGATTCATGGAACTTGCTGTTATAGTCATTTGTTGACTTGCACAGAGATTCGTAATACCTTGCATATTGTGGACAGTAACAACAGCTAGTTGTGGACATGCAGTCACTGAATTGATAGAAATTGAGCCCATACTACTTGCTGTAATATTGATTTGTTGACTTGCACAGAGATTCGTGATTCCAGCCATATTTTGGACACTGACAACAGCCTGTTGTGGACACACATTTGCTGAATTGATAGAAATTGGACTCATGGAACTTGCTGTTATAGTCATTTGTTGACTTGCACAGAGATTCGTGATTCCTCCCATATTTTGAGCATTAACAACAGCCTGCACTGGACATTCATTCACGGAATTAACAGAAATTGAGCCCATGCTATTTGCTGTTATAGTCATTTGTTGACTTGCACAGAGATCCGTGATTCCTCCCATATTTTGGGTAGTAACAACAGCCTGCACTGGACATTCATTCACGGAATTAACAGAAATTGGGCTCATGCTATTTGCTGTTATAATCATTTGTTGACTTGCACAGAGATTCGTGATTCCTCCCATATTTTGGGTAGTAACAACAGCTAGTTGTGGACATGCAGTCACTGAATTTATAGAAATTGAGCCCATGCTACTTGCTGTAATGTTGATTTGTTGACTTGCACAGAGATTCGTAATACCCTGCATATTTTGGACACTAACAACAGCCTGTTCGGGGCATACATTTGCTGAATTGAGAGAAATGGGTCCCATGTTTTTTGATGTGATACTCAATTGTTGGCTTGAACAAAGATTTGTAACACTCGTCGTTCTTTCTGACGAAAGAGTAACCTGTTTCGGACATGCAGTTACTGAATCAATGGAGATACTATCAGTGTCAATCGATTTAATAGTCATTTGTTCACTGGCGCAAAGATTAGAGACGGGACCGATGAATGCCATATCAAAACTACTATTTTTCGCACAGGATGATGCTGAGTTAAATGTGATACCATCAGCTTGATGTACTACTACATTCATTTGGTTAATAGCACAAATGTTATCAATTTCAGACGCGTTATTAGCTGTAATAGTAATCACCTGAGGACATGTTGCTGTTTTACTAATGGATACGACCGATCCATCGTTTGCGTTTATATCCATAGAATTTATTGCGCATACCTCATTAACATTTGCTGTTCCTGCGGAATGGATATCGGTTACTTTTGGGCAGGATGATGATGTCGAAGTGACGCTTGCATTCCCATTGGCTTCGACATTCAAATGATTAAGTGCGCAAACATTATTAACTGTGGAATTATCCGTAGCTGTTAAATTGAATATCGTCACGAGGCAGGTGTAATTACTTTTTACATCCACTATATCAGTATGTGCCACTAAGAGAGTAACTGGCGGGATCGGCGCTAAAACACAATCAGAAGCGATCAAAAAGAATGTCCCAAACATTATTTAAACTCATTTGAGGATCATTAACATTTATCTACGAACGGTCTCAGTTTCCGGATCGTTCATATATTTAAACAAGTATTCCAACAATAAAGTCACTTTTCTACTTGACATGTTTCGTCCTTCTCTATCGCTCGAGGTTCTCATATGACGATGAATGCATTACAAACTATCTTAAGATATGGGCGAAACTCCAGCTGAGTATTAACTGTACTGTGACGTGCATTTGAGAATATTGAAAGAGTTTTGAATAGCAACGAAAAATAAAACACAAAAGCAACGCGCTGAAAATGGTGATGCCCTCCCCGTATACAGCTGTCAGAAACGCTACTTGACAAATTTTCCACAAACTACATTCTTAACTGAACACTTTCATCTTTCCTGTTCGTGCCGACTAGAATCTTTCTCTGTACCTGGACATGATTGATTGGATGCTATCGTCCCATCACTACAATTCATACATTTGAAATCTGCCGTTCCGCCACCACCCGCAACGCACAAGCCTTCACCTCCGGTCGAATTACAATTGACAGATGCACATGGTGTACCTAGACAAGAGAGACGTGAATCCAGTGATTTATTGAGTGATGCTTATCACTTACTTGGACAAGATCCATTCGTTACATCTCCACCATAGCTACAACCTGTACATTTATAATCTGCGCTTCCACCGCCAACTGCCTGACAAGCACCGCCACCAGCAGCTGAATTACAATTGACAGATGCACACGGTGTACCTAGAGAGGAGACACGTGAATCCAGTGATTTAATCAGCGGTGCGTATCACCTACCTGGACAAGATCCGGTCGTTACATCTCCACCATAGCTACAACCTGTGCATTTGTAATCTGCGCTTCCACCGCCAACTGCCTGACAAGCGCCTCCACCAGCAGCTGAATTACAATTGACAGATGCACACGGTGTCCCTAGAGAAGAGACGTGAGATTCTAGTGATTTATTCAGCGGTGCGTATCACTCACCTGGACAAGATCCAGTCGTTACATCTCCACCATAGCTACAACCTGTGCATTTGTAATCTGCGCTTCCACCGCCAACTGCCTGACAAACACCGCCACCAGCAGCTGAATTACAATTGACAGATGCACACGGTGTACCTAGAGAGGAGACATGAGAATCCCCTGTTTTATTCGGCGGTGCGTATCACTTACCTGGACAGGGTCCGTTCGTTACATCTCCACCGTAGTTACAGCCTGTGCATTTGTAATCTGCGCTTCCACCGCCAACTGCCTGACAAGCGCCGCCACCAGCAGCTGAATTACAATTGACAGATGCACATGGTATACCTAGAGAGGAAACATGAGAATCCACTGTTTTATTCGGCGGTGCGTATCACTTACTTGGACAGGGTCCGTTCGTTACATCTCCACCGTAGTTGCAACCTGTACATTTATAATTTACACTTCCGCCGCCAATTGCCTGACAAGCGCCGCCACCAGCAGCTGCATTACAGTTGACAGATGCACATGGTTTACCTAGAGAAGAGACACGTGAATCCAGTGATTTATTCAGCGGTGCGTATCACCTACCAGGACAAGATCCATTCGTTACATCTCCACCATAGCTACAGCCTGTGCATTTGTAATTTGCACTTCCACCGCCAATTGCCTGACAAGCGCCGCCACCAGCAGCTGCATTACAGTTGACAGATGCACACGGTGTACCTAGAGAGGAGACATGAGAATCCACTGTTTTATTCGGCGGTGCGTATCACTTACTTGGACAGGGTGCGTTCATTACATTACCGCCATAATTACACCCTGTACATTTATAATTTGTGACATCGCCACCATTTGCTTCACACGTGCCTCCGCCGCCAGTCGAGTTGCAAACTGTCAGGATGGAGCAGAAAGAAACTAAAGAACGAGACAGTTTTCTTAAACAGAAAGTAAAGTAATTTGGGAAAGAACTGCGTGTGTTTAACTACTCCGAATAGTGCACTCTATTTGCATAAAGTAGGTCTTTCATCCGATCGGGAGGCGTTTTAAATGTCCTGCAATCAGCAGATAGATTGTGAATATTAATATCGTGAAAATAGTTCTTTGTGTGCCCTTAAACAATCTGACCTCGTTAGAAGGCATCTACACTGCTTAGTTGTGAGGTAGTATTGTAGATATTATGTGGCTGCCTTTCTGAGGTGTCCACAGGCCAGTTCTTTCTCCTACTATGCGCTGAACTCTTCTGGAAAAAAGGCAGGACTGAATTTGACAACACGCTCTGCTTTTTTGGACGCCTGTTCTGTATATATACCGACCTTGAGAAGTGATTTGTGTTAATGAACAAAAATGTAGCGATGTATTGATGGTAGTGCCGTTCGCCAATGTCATTGGAATAGTAATTGCTGGAGAGTTTCGGATTTGCAACTGAACTTTATTGATAAGGTCTTGATGACATTTTGACGTCTTGCATACTTTTGAAAAGTCCAGCGAAAACTGAATCATGACAAAATCTCCAATTACGTTCGTATTTTGTTCGCATTGTTGAGCTCTAGAATGGAATAATTCGAAATAGAGGTGCCCACATGGCAGGGCAGGGTAGCTGTGCTAGTTATTCATGCCTATCATAAACTCCTAAAAATCGTTGTTTTGCCTAAAAAAATATGCAAGACTACTCAGTGAACGTGATTGTGTTTGCGAATAACGTCGAACACTATTTTATATGATTAGTAAACGCTTTCCCAACTGTATCAAGTAATAGTTGACCTAGGTAATCTTTTATAACCAGGAACATTTCAGATGAAATAACAGCAATCTTTAGAAAAAGAAATTAATAAAATTCTGATGAGATCAAAGAGTAAACAACTACAAAATATAAGGACTCGTTGTGATAGGAACATGTCAACTGGTTCATACGTCTTATTAATTGAACTTTGTGCTTTTTGATTACTTTAAAAATAGATCGCTGTTCAAGGAAGAAGCTTATTATTCATTTGACTCGAAACTATTTCGTGAGAAAATCAAAACGATGATATTCATCTGCAATCAACCGTCTTTTTCATCGAATCTGCATCCCATGGATAGTTGGATGAACAACTCTGCTACCTAAAATTGAGTATTGCATAATCGAACTGAAAGTATAACCGTGGTCGAGTAATGCAGAGAAACTGTCAGAAAATGTCATTTAAAACATGTTTCATTTTTCAGGAAACATTGCGAGTAGTGCTGCTGTTTCTTAGTCTATGTACCTTAAGATAAATATCGAATGACTGCTAGATTTAATTACTGGGCGAACTACATACGTATTTCACGGTTTGCATGTCTGAAGACGATACTTTCATTTCCCGTTCCTAAGAATAAAGAATGCTATTCACGTTCCGCGTTCTGAACCGGAACAATATCTACGTTTCCATTCTCCAGAACAGGCAAAGTGACACCCCTAACATAAAGTTTTATATTGAATTTTCTCTCGAATTAAACCGTAATATAAAGGAGGACCAACCGAAAAATAAATAATACCACTAAATTTAATTCGGTCTTTCGCGAGGAAAATTTAATAAATCCGGTAATATTCTTCCGCTAAATGTATTTCTAAGCATATTTATTGAATGCTATTCTGTTTGTGGGCTGCACATGTATTGAATTGTACTGGTTATATTGTACAAAACGTTAACTATGTAAACATAGTTATATAATGCATTTGCCCTGCCCTGCCCTGCGAAGCAGAGCAAAAAAGTGTCCTGTTGATACCTTTGATTCGAAAGAAGTGAGAGTTGATCTGTTGAACTTACTGTCGTTTTTTCTTTTTTCCACTTGATGAAGAGTCATACTTCGCAACTACTACTTGAATCTCGCTGGTACCAAACGCTTTATTCAACTGAAAAGAAAGGCTTACACAACAATGATCTTGGAGTCATTCGAGAGTATTTACCTCTGTACTTAGTGCATTCAAGTCACGCACTTCGAAAGATGAAATGCCCATCGTTGATGTGCCATAAGTTAATGCGAATGCTGACGAGCCTAGCAAAAACAGGGTCGCTTGTTTGATATGAGCAAGATAAGTAATTATCATAAATACTTGTATCAGTTACAATATCGTTTCCTTTTTGTGATAGATAGATCGGAATAAGAGCCAAAACAATTACTGCTGCTACAGTCCCCAAACAGCATAAGCCACAGAATATGGTGAAGAACGTTGACCAAATTGCCCATAGCCGGTGGCGACTACTACTATGATCAATAATATTGTTCATAGTACAATCTAAAGCCAGTAAAATAATCACGATGAATAAGCAACATCCTTAGTGAGCTGCTAGTTTTCGCGACATTTTCTCTTACGCACCAATAGGTTTTACTCGAAATAATGAAAACTCATTTATATATCTGATTACAGATACACCGATTCCTACTTCGATTTTGGAATTCGAATCGAACGGAATCAAAATTGATGTATACCTACGCTGAAACATCGCATTCAGAGGATGTGAAACGAAAAGTAACAAGAAAGGTACAAATAGCTAATTTTCACGAGTGAAAAATTGCTTATATATTAGTGCAATAACAAAACAAAGTACGGGTATTTATTTACTTACCATAAATCAGTATGACTGAAAAGTGCTGTAATCATCCGACGACAGATAATTACAGCGTGACGAATAATAAATTTGCTTTTTGTTCTCCCTTATTACGTTATCTTTCGAGAAGCATCTATATTTTTCTAATTCGGCGTGTAGCGACAGAGCAAAAACAATCTACGGTAATACGGTTAGTCAATCGATGTCCTTTTTCTTACATATAATGAAACGAACGACGTACATTGACCTGAAAGCATAATATTTACGATGACTGTTTTCATCATCCTACGAAGATTCGTTTCGTACGAGTGTATTACTGTATATTTCACCTTGACTAACTGCGTAGCTTCATTCGCTAAACTAAATACAACATTAAATGAAAAAAAAAAGAAAACCGAGTAAACGTAATAAGAAGATCTTGTTTATTTCACTTTCAGTGGAATATCCGTTGAAAAAAGTAATTCTTCATCCATTTCAGATATTCGTCAATTCTTTTTGTCGAACGATGGGATAAATCAAATAAAGAATGCATAGTTTGAAAACAACACTCAAGGCACTATCCAATTAATATGAAGTCAAAGACTGTCGGCGTTATATCGAAATCTGTACAAAGTCGCTGCAACTGATAAAAAGTGTTTGTAGATTTCTAGTCGAAAATCGACATTTTGTACTTTAAAATTTAACAATTGTTCATGTAAGTCTGAGCCAGTGGGAGAACCTGAATTATTCATTTATGTTTTTTTGTCATATCAAAACAAAATACGGATTCGTATTTACTTACCATAGACCAGTATGACATAAAGGTACTACAATCGTTGGACGATAGATAATTGCAGCGTAACGAATAAAAAATTTGCTATTCGTTCTCCGTATATTTTACCTTTTGAAAAATATTCTTTTCATAATTAACAGTATAAGAACAGAATACGAGTAAACTATGTATATTAATAGAACGAACTAATCAACGGTCTTTTTCTTACGTATACTGGAAAGAAAAGCATGATATCCAGAATAGCTACGGTCCCATAGGCGCTTACGCTGGTCGGATTTTTCTGTCCTATCTTATCCTGCAAGTATAGGTATCACCTATACGTAGAAAAATTACGTCGTTTCTCAATGTTTCATGAAAATTGATATATTATGTGATAGAAAGTGCTACCAATTAGAAAATAAGCCAGTTTCACAAGCACTTTTTAAAATAAAATATGACGATATATAATAAGGCAAAAAGAAGAGGAGTGGTAGAATACTAATTTTGTTCATCTATCATATTGTTTTGATAAAAGAGTCAACTCTGTATCAAGATTCAATATTTCCGAAGTAGAAGCGTGAGTTTTGTTATTGGATTTCTTTCAGGGTGTGGAATCAACGGCAAATCAAATTCTCATTCAGTTCGTTAGAGCTACGTCTGACTCTCACTCCAGTGGTATTTATTTCAACAGAGTTCTAAACGACATTAGGAAGATCCTGATGTTCGACTAATTTTGAAATCGTTTACTATGAAATATGTCTCCAGGCTGATAGTGGAACTCATAGTGGTTCGACGAAGGTTTTTATTCTCTGTACACTATATATATCTTAAATGATCAAGCAAGCATAGGCACAGATTATTACTTTGAAAAATCATTAATTTCAGTGCTAGATTTTAGAAGAAAATCAACAAAGTAATCAAATCTGTACGTCATCGTATGTTATATGTAGGAATATTTATTTAATTTCTGATGAATGAAATGCTGTGAATTGTACTTGTACGATTATATTAGATTATTTTTAAATTTCGCTTCAACATATTTACGGATTGATTAAGAATTTTTGTATCGAAGATTCGACATAGTCTTTACTCAAAAATAAACTGGAAAAGTTCGATATTCTACCACACCTTGCTCGACTTTCCTTGTCAGAACAAAACAAAAAGAACAGCGTGTTGTGTTACCTATACTTTACCTTTTTCCTGCTAGAGTACGACACAAAAAAACTGCCTTGTAACTATCCCCGCTACGTATATCGTCCGACGAGGATTCGCTTCGCACGAATAAATTTCGCACGTGCTTCATCTTAAACATTCTCCTAACTTAAGTGACTATATTAAATACAAAAATAAATGAAAAGGGATTCTTGCTGATTTAACTTTCATTGCCAAGAATTCTATGTATCGACAATCCGTAAATGATTCGAATGACTAGAACGCATTTGTCGATTGCGCCTACTTTTACAGTACATTTTCGATGGAAATAAGATTAGTGGAGTACGCAGGGTGGAAACTGAGCAAGATCTTAAATTAAAACATTCAGATAGACCTAAAAGAAAAGGATAGCAGGAATGTACGTCTTTCTTTTTTCATAAACAAATAATGCTCAAAGTTCAGAAGAACAGTTTCTATAGGAAAAGATCAATGAATTCTTCGAGAAGCATCATTGATTCCCATGAAATGGTTTGATGTTTTAATTTATAAGAGAACCAAGCCGCCAAACACTCAATAGTGTGAGCATCTTGAAGGCTATGCCTGTACAGTATCTGAATGATTACTTTTGTATTTTAGATAACAGTGAAGCTAATAGTAGGAAAAATATTAACCCTGATCGAATCCTGTTTTCTTTCGAAATAATATCTAAATAAAAAATTTGATCAACGGTCATCAGGTCTCAGTCTATGTTTTTGACTGTTTATGATCATGCTTTCACTCGCACACGAATTCATGAACTTTATGCTTGTCGTTCTGTTTAAGTCAATAAACTATTTCGTTTTTTACCTTGCCACAACATACTGTCTATTTGCTTTTTCTCTCTCGTTTGATAGGACGCGAAGATAAAACTTATTGTTCGTTGTGTGTTGGTAATCGAAATGGATCGATTGAATTACTTTGGTTATGCTAGTAATTTGAAAGAAAGTTTATTGAAAGAAAGAATAGGTGGTGATCATCCATTGAGCGTTGATGTTGGTCGACTGCTTGATTATGAATTACGATTCAATCATCAACAACCAAATGGTGAAGGAAGAGCAAATATTGTACCAAAGAAAGGCTCTTATATCTATGGTTTAGTGTATGGTATTAACAATGAACACCGAGATCTCCTTTTTAAAACAGAACCTGGATATCGAATGATTGAAGTCGATATTGAATTGCAATCAGATCAGTCAACGATTCGAGCTATCACATTTATTGATGAAACATCTCCGTCCGAAAACTACCGTCCGTCGAATGAATATCTTCGAACGATTATTGATGGCGCATGTGAACATGACTTTCCTCAAGATTATATCGATTCAATTATTTCAATAATAAAATCGACCAACTAGATGCGTTTCTTACAACTATCTGTAATATAAATTTTCATTGGCTTAGGTTTACCCTCAAGCGTCGTATTGTTGAGAGATGTGAAATGTTTCCTTAAGAGATAATATGATGAAGATGCAACAAATTCAATTAGCCACACTAAATATTTGCAAACGAGCAAAAACTCCTTTCTATTTATTTTCTGTATCGGTTAAGATAAGAAACTCTCCTTTGCTTATCTCTGATGGTGAAATAATCAGTTAAATCTATCGATGTTTGAATATATGATGGAGATTCTTTGTGGTCACATACATCTACAATTTTTAATTTGACGAAGAAAAATTGCTATTATTCAAGACAACTGTTTATGGGTCGTTGATTTGCATAGATATTTAACTACCAAGTATAATTTCCATAAGTTTGATGATTTATAATTTGAATTGATAATTTTGCATTGTTAATGTATGTTGAAGCATCTGAGGGCAGTAGCAGGCGTTGATTGACAAGAATAGTGGTAGCTACAGTTACAGCTGCTACATATGCATTATGATCGCCATAACGTTCTGCTAATGATAAGCGAGTGTCGCCTTTCGCCATTCGCGTAGTTAAATCAGGAGCAAAAGGAATGACTGCACCAATCGCTTCACAGCCATCATTACCTCCATAGTCGTTTCGACGGTGATTCCATCCCGTATAAGTAGCAACGGGCACAGAGATAGACGGAAGTCGTATGCCGGCAAGTTCATTGCCATCTTCATCAACTTTCGATACGAAAGAGGAATAGTATTTGCCTGTTGACTGAACTGGATTAATACTAAGAAAACCTTGGCTATAATTTGATCCGAAATTGAACAAATTTCGAATGGTAATCAAGCCAGTGTAAAGAACATTAGGGATCGTTGGCCACCGCAATGATCGTTGTGAGACACGACCAATGCCAAGAGACGAATGATGGGTGATATCAGAGAACGTTGCAGTTCCATCCGAACGACTTGGAGTTAAGCTTGGGGGTGGTCTTGTACCATCCAGCCATTGGTCTAATGTAACGAAGAGCGCACGTAGAATAGGAGTAGAATCTAGAGTGTTGCCAAACTGCTGACAGATTCCATATGAGCCAGGCGGTGATGGATCAGCATGTTGAGTGCCAGATATCAAATAGAAACGTACATTCAATGGGTCGGGTAGATCATTACCTTCAAGGTCAGAATGCAACAATGAAGCGGCCTTCGCCCAGTATTCGTTAGCAGAATTCACGTTCATAATCTTGGGACACGTACGAGTTCGCATACATCGAGCGTTACGACCATCAATTTTTCCAGTAAGTGGATCACGAAGAATAGTATAAGTAAATGGGAACACTGCTTCGGGAAAGAAATGGTCCTGTCGATTGCGTTCCGTACGCTGCGGTTGTGCGAAACGATAATTAAGACCAACGCCATTTCCAGCTCCCATCCAGTTGAACATACCATCAAAGATTTGTTTTCCCTGGCAATCTTGGTTGAAACCCAACGAAAGAAAATCGTTCATGTAACGTGCTGCTTGAGAAACACCCCAAGATATGACTCGACTGATGTCACCAGCTAATGGATTGTCAGATCTTTTACTGCGTAGAAATGAAACGAAATCTCGAGTAGCAGCGAATCCAATGCCAGCAACGTATGGATCTTTGGCTGTATAGGTCAATTCATAAATTGCACTTTGTTGAAATGGCGTGTTCAAAGGTAAAAGAGCTATCGTATTACTACTCGTCCACGTCCAATTCATCGACGGAATTACTATCGGAGTGTCCGTTAAATGATGTTTAACCGTTAATGTTGCTGTGCTCGTGTCTGCACTACTCGTATGATACGAAGTCATGTATGATGTACTTGTCGGATTATCGAACACAATATATTCATAAACAGGACCTGTTACTGATGTGCCATCTGGATTTCTTGCGATTGGTACGTAAATACGCAGCAAATTCGAATCACCAGTCGACGGAACACTTGGATCCCAACCACTCCATACAATCGTATATCCTTGTTTCAGAAGGAAACTTCGCTCAACATCACTGACCATCGAAGGATTGTTTCCACCTGATATCTGAGCAAATTTACCGAACAATTTCCGACCACGATTATTAACTTCGAAGAATATTTTATGATTACCACCGAATAACTTGACTGGTTTAAGAATATAGAAATCCATGGAATAGTTCACCAAACCGGCTTTATTACGCGGGGCAACCTGCAAATCGGTAATGATACTGTTGCACGCACTCGTTGGATCTAATTGACCATATGCTACACCTCGAAGTCTTTCATAAGCACCCACACGGTCTAGTGAATTGACAACAATCTTTGTAATGCCCGTCTTTTTCTCACCTAAATGGCAATGCAATAAGTTTTATGAATGTACTATAGAAGAATATCTATCAACCTGTAGAATTGATGTAAAACGAACAGAAGTTCAACAGAATATTTCGCATGTCACCATCGGCGACTTTTTCCGATAAAACCATCGTATGATACTGATTAGCGATTTCATATTGAAGTTTTGTGATCAATCCATCTTTACAGCTGAATGTCTGACATTCAAATGGATATTCCAGAGAAAATATTATTTGAAAAGAATCTCCGATTATCGCAACACCATTTTCACATTGAATTTTGTCATCTTCTTTAGATAAATATCGAAATTCAGCAGAATGAATACGAATTCCGTGCAAATGAAAAGCTTTCATAAACTGTAAGAACGAAAAGCAAACGAATGAGTGCGTAAAATAACTAGAGAAACGTACATCAGTCGCCAATGAATCTGTAACTGCAATTTTTACTGATTTCGTATTTGTTCGATTACTTCGGTATGTGACAATTACAAGCGATGTTATCGCTAGAAGTAAAATATATTCATCCATCAAGAAAACAATTATCAACTCACATGGATCGACGTCACGGTGATTCATTGCCTTTTCTACATACATTAAAGCTATAATCAAACCAAGGATTACTAATCCTATTAACATCAAACCGACGGGGAACCGATATTTTCTTCTTCAAAAGAAACAGCTCGTCCATCATATTCAAATTATTCATAAAAATGAATTTACCTTGATGCTTTCGATTCAAACGATTTCTTCATATTAAAAGTTTACTCTCTATGATTCAATACACAGCTGCTCAAAGCAACAAAAAAAAATCACTATCTAATGAATGAATGAATAAAGTATGAAATATAAATAGATATGCTCGATTATTCATTCACGTGGATAGAGATATCAATCAGTAGAAAGATGTGAAAGCGAGCAGACATATATAAAGCAAAGAAACAACGACAAGCATGGTGAAAGTAATTATAACAACATATGTTATATATGAATAGAAGCTTACCTATTCGTAAGTATAATACTTTTAAATAATAGAATCATATGTAATTCAACAAAGAAAAACAAGTATGAATAGAAGAAGAATAAACAATCATGTGTTTGTCTTTTATTGAAAGCGTTTAATTCATACAAGTCGAAAAAGTATTTTTGTTTATGTTTATTCTGATATTGTCTTCGCCTGACTTGCATGGAGTAGTGACGGTTGGCCTTGTGGCTGGTGATGAGCATTATTCGATCCTCCCTTGTTGACATTCGCTGCAAGTTGTAAAGTTGGCTCATCGAAGACTTGACCAAATGTTCTTATGTGTGATTGATCAAGAATTTCAGCTAGCTCTGTTTCCGATGGATATTTACCTTTCAATGCTTTCAAGTGTAGAACTGTTCGGCAAAGTGTTTCGGCTTGTTGTTTCTTAGTTTCGAAATTCTTCGAATCGAATTCAGTGTTGTTAATCAGATTAAACTCTAATTTTGTCCCCGGTTGGAATCTTCCTTTGTAAAAGTCTACCTGATCTTGATTTGCGAGCAGACGTACATTCGTTGGTGTATCGAGATTGCTGTATCTACTGTATTCGATGGTCATTGTAACAACACGCCGTGCTTGCTGTTCAGCTTCCGTACAGGTTTTTCTTGTGAGCCTGACTAAAATCTGTTTGCGACAACACCAGCAACGAAAACGGTCTTTGAATCTAGTGCAACAGCTTCTTTTCTCTTCGGGAAGTGGTAGATCTTCTTCTTCGTAGTTTGAACCTCGTTCTTGGCCTAGGTTCATTGTAACTGTTGTTGCTGATGTATCAGGAGCAACCTGAGAATTCGGTTTACATAAAACACAGCAGCATTTCGTTATTGAAGCGCAGCAACGGTCACAACAGTTTTCACTTAGCTCATGTGTTGGTTCAATCGTTGTTTGAATATCAGCGTTAACATTTTTTGTGTAATCCGATTTGAAACGTATATCGATAATGTCTTCTAATGGAATCATCACAACTTCTTCTTCACCTTTACTTTCCTCCGATTGTTTGGCTCGTTGTTCATTTTTTGTGATTTGTTGCCGATTTTGACCACCCGTAGCAATTTTCCTCTCAGCCTGAGCGATCTTAGCATGAAATAGTTCGTGCCGATAAAGATGGACTGAAAGCATTGGCGTAGTATATGTATTGTTCGATTGGCGAACGCCTATATGAAAAAGAACAGATGAGATCAGCTAAATATTATTCAGGGTGCAACAGTATTGTTACCTGGAAAAAAATTAATATAACCGTACGGTGCAACTGTTTTAATGATAGCTCGTTCTACATGAACTGCAGTTTCACTTTGCTTGTGTTCTTGAACGGGCGGCTTGCAAAATCCGCAACAACCACCAGGAAAACAGTTTCGACAAGTGCGTCGTGGGCAAGATTCCTTCTTGGAATTGGCTACCATTGAAGTACTTTTTGAAATGAATGGCGAAAGCAACTCAACATTGAATATATATACAGTTGCAAAGTGCACTGCTATTTGTGTTTTGACTAATCCTCTTTCTATGAAAAACAAGCGAAACATTGTTCTTGGAATTTTACAAGAGAACGTAAAAAGCAAGTAGTCTCTCGTTGTTCGGTTGTACTCTTGGCGACTATTGCTGTTTCTACACAACATTCGAACTATGCATTGGAATAATCCATTAATAACATATTTTTTTTCATGATTTTTTGTTTATTAGAGACGGTGTCATAACTTCGCTTCGTAGTTTCTTCTGAGAGTGTACATATTGATTCAATAACAACTCAGATGCAGTACAGTTCGTCACGAGTGTTGTTGGCAGAAATTTCTTTCCTTTGCTTTTCAAAAATGTTTATAAAGTGTGTTTGCTCTCTGTTAAGTTGGAAAAAATTTTATTATATCAAAGCAAAGTATGTGATGACTATATGAGTCAAACAAAACAAATGCGTAATTGCATCGTATGTTGCACTGGGTCTTCGTCTACACTGTAATTTAAATCTATTGGAATTCAGAGCGTTCTTATTTATGCTGTGAAAGTTATAGAACTGGTTCAGCGAAGACTTGACCAAATGTTTTCAGGTGTGATTGATTGAGAATTTCGACTAGATCTGTCTCCGATGGATACTTACTTCTCATTCCTTTCAGTTGCTTTATCATTCGACACAGAGCTTCTGCTTGTTCTTTCTTCACATCAAAGTTCGTCGGATCGAATTCATTGTTGTTAACTAAATAGAATTTCAGTTCCTTCTCGATGTGAAACCTATCTTTGTAAAAGTTTGCTTGTTCTTGTCCAGTGAGTAGACGCACATGAGAAGGTGTGTCAATATTGCTGTATTTGACATACTCGACAGTCATTGTGATGACTCGTTCAGCTTTTCGTTCCGATTTGCTGTGTATCTTCTTTGTGAGTTTGACCAAGATATTTCTTCGACAGCACCAACACCGACATTTGTTCGTACAATGAGTACAACAACCTTCTCTGACTTCAGGTAAGGGTAAATCTTCTTCTCGATAAGTTGTATTGGGCTGTCCGTTGATGAAAAATATCGTATTTTCAACTCGAGGAGCAATCTTCATCTGTCCGTGAGATATACAACAGCAAATATCTCGAGTCTTACGACAACAACTGATGATTGGAGCAGCACAACGATCACAGCAGTTCTCACTTCGTTCGTATGTTGGTTCAATTGTTGTTTTAACATCGGCATCGATATTTTTTGTAAATTCAGCTTTGAAACTAACGTTGATAATGTCCTCTAATGGTACCATCATAACATCCTCTTCACCTTGGTTTTGCTCGGACTGACTTGCTTGCTGTTCATCCTGACGCATGGATACTTGATTATTATTGTCCAAAAACATCGTGCGGTTGTCTTGTGCTCGCCTGGCACGATGTTGCGCATGACGATAAAGATGGAACGACAGCATTGGGCACGTATAAGTGTTTTCCACCGTACGAACACCTAGTGACGATTATAGTGATAGAGAAAACATCTAAACATTAAAATTCTTACCAGAATAAAATTTAATGAAGCCGTAAGGTATATCAGTAGGCACCACAGCTTTGTCCACATGCAAAATGTCATCAACTTGTTTTTGTTCTTGAGTAGGCGGTTTGCAGTATCCGCAACAACCATTTGGACAACAATTTCTAAAGCACGATCTTTTTTGTACTTTGTTCTCCATGAAGATACGAACTGTAGATAAAGTCTAAAACATAAACGCAATTACATTACATCTTTTCTTCCTTACATGGTTTGTGAAACTGGAAATAAAGTAACATACTCTCATGAAGACAACAGCACAATTTATTGAGTATTTGGTTGGAAATATCCTTTTTCACTCTTCATAATGAATTTTCAATTACTAGAAAGTATACATTTCGGAGTTCTATTTTTGTTTTCTTTTAATTTAGCGACGAAGAAAAGTGTATCGGCAAAGGTTATAATCAACGTTATTATAGGATTGTTACGTCTAGAACTGAAAATGCAAATGTTCTTGAAACAATTGAGTAAAAGAAGTAATTGCCATGAAAAGAAAGAAATATGATCACAGTAGAAATCTATGACGTGATTCTTTGTAAACAAGAAAGACATATTGAAATGAATAGATTTTATTTTTATAAATCGATACAAAAAATTAAATTTGAGCTGTACCTCCATCGACAAAAAGTTCGATGCCTGTGACGTAACTACTATCATCTGAAGCGAGAAAAACTACTACTTTCGCGATCTCATCAGGTGTGCCAAGACGGTTCAAAACTGCTTGCGATGCGAATGTATCAGCCATTGCTTTGGTTTCCTCTGCATCTTTTCCCAAAGCGGCTAATCCAGGTGTATCGATTGGTCCTGGACTTACCACATTCACTCGAATCTTACGTTCTTTCAAATCAACAATCCAGCACCGTGCAAAAGATCGAAGAGCTGCCTTTGTAGCACAGTAAACACTGAACGCCGGTATTCCTTTCACGGAAACAATAGAACCATTCAATATAATCGATGCTCCATCCTTCAGAATTGGCAACGCCTTTTGAACAGTAAACAATACTCCTTTTACGTTGCTGTTAAATGTGTCATCAAAATATTTCTCAGTAATTGAACCAAGTGGCGCAAACGCACCTCCACCTGCATTGGCGAAGATGATATCTAAATGACCTTTTTCCTTCTTGATGATGCTATACAATCGATCAAGATCATCCAAATTGGAGGTATCACCTTGTACTGCTGTAACATGTTTACTATTCAGTTTTTTTACGGCTTCATCCAGAGCTTGTTGACGTCGTCCTGTAATGAAGACATGTTCCGCGCCTTCAGCAAGAAATCGCTCTGCAGTGGAAAAGCCAATACCAGTAGAACCACCAGTAATAAGTGCAATCTTTCCGTCGAGTTTACCCATGCCGTTTTATTGTAAGAATAGCTTGTTCGAAATCGTACGCAAGTTTCATAAAGGTAATGCGCTGAAAAAACACCCTTGTATAAATACACCGAAGAAATATTTGCTTCGTCATGCATACTCAACGTTTGTTTAATCATCTGGCGTAATGCTTCAGTGCATCACGCTGGCCCCTGTCGTTTTTTCATCTATGCTTCTTTTTTTCTCGACGAAAATTCGTTTATTGAAAAGTAATAAAAGAAAATAGGCCTCTCATTGAACGTCAGCGATTTTCAAAATTAGTTTTCCTTGAGCTTTGCCACTTTTTGATTTTTCATACAATTTGTACAAAGCTTCAACACCCTCCGTTCGCCAATCGAAAACTGTATCGATCAGTGATTTGACTTTGCCCGTTTCGATAAATTCACTGCGTATAAGGTCAAGTTCAGAAGAAACTGGACTAAGCAAATGAAATATATAACCATGATGCGAGGATCCAAAAACAGAACCCAATTTTCTCGATAAAAGACGAGGTCCAATCGTTACTGCAGACTTCAGAGACACCGATGCTTCTGGATCGTCACCAGCTATAGTTACAAACTGACCACCTTGTCTAAGGATCTGTTTTGCCGCTATCCATTGTTGTTCGCCACCGACACAATCGTAGACAAGGTCATAGTTTTGATCTAAATCAAACGAGTTTGTTGTTATGCACTCAATATTTTGATAAAATACCTTTTAATATATCTCCAAAATTTTTACTGTTGTAATCGATGACCAACAATTGTTGTGGATCATCATTAACTTCATTAACGTCTTGTACAATTTTATATCCTACCGATGCATAATAAATTTACTTGTCTAAAAAATAGAATCGACTTACCGACTTTTTCCATCACATTAAAATTTCGTTGTGAACACGTGGTAGCCACATGAGCTCCAACTGCTTTCGCCATCTGTATCGCGTATAATCCTGTTGCTGTAGCGCCACCACAGATAAATACTTTAGTTTGTGCTCCGACAGGTGGTGATGTTTTAACGAACAACGCTTGATAGCTCGTTTCACATGCTAGAGGCACAGCAGCCGCCTCAATCATTGATAAATTCTTTGGTTTCAAAGCAAAATTTCCTTCATTTCCTCGAACGTATTCGGCATAACTACCGTCATCCATATGAAGATTTCCGTAAACTTCATCACCGATTTGAAAACGTTTCACAGATGCACCAATATCCACAACAACTCCTGCAACATCTTTTCCAGGTATATGTGGAAATGAAGGTCGAATAATCAGTGACATATTGCCATTGAGTAGTTTCCAATCAACTGGATTGATTGATGCAGCGTAAACTTTAACGAGAATTTGATTTGACGATAATTGTCGAGGAACGGGTACTTCGTTCCCAAGAGTAATTACATTACGTACTTCACCATAGCCAGTCTGCTGTGCAGCGAGCATTTTCGTTGGAAAGGAGTCGTCCATTTTGTTAGTGGTTGATTCAGTCATGTTTGTCCTTGAATGCAAGATGAAACTTTGAAAAAAAGAAAGAACGAGTATATTATCGTTTACATATATATTTTGTCGCCCTTGGCGCACATTGGTGAAGAACGAGTTAAACACGTGGGTTTGTATACAGATAGAGAATACAAAAACAAATTCTATAACCCTAGAAGTTTATTGTTGACGTAAGAATGGCAAAGTTCCTACGACGCGTGGAGTTAGAACTGAATTGTATGTTTGCTGATATGGCGTTTTTTGTTGATAGTATTGTCGTGGATTCTGTGGTACGAAATGAAATTGTTGATACTGAGGATCAGTCGTTCCGGGTAAGACCAGTCCTGTCGAAACTTGTAAAGTTAGTTCGTTGTAAACGTAACCGAATGTGCCTAGACGATTGAGTGTAAGAAGCGTTTGCAATTCACTATCCGACGGGTAATTGTGTTTCATACCTTTTATATGCATTACTGTTCAACACAAAGTTTCGGCGTATCTTTTTGTCAAATCGAATTGTTTCGGATCAACTTTCGTATCTTTTATTAGGTAAAATCTCAGTTCAGCTATGGAGCAGCATTTTCTCCCATTACTGAGATATTGTGTATTCGTAAGTGTGCCAATATAATTGTGTTTATTATATTCGATGACCATGATGATTGTTCGTTCAATTTGGTGATCGGTAATTTTCGTTTGTTTTCGAACCCGATTCGGTTTCTTCTTCTTGCGACAAAAAATGCCATCGACTCGATTCTCAGATACAAGGATTTCATCTGGTGAACGAGTTACATTTCGATTCGAAAGCATGGAATCTGTTCCTTCTTCTACGTAAGGCACCATTGCTGTTTTACGAGTTGACTTCCAGTAACTGTTACTGGAATCAGGTATTATTTCGATATCCTCCTAGACTTCTACTTGAATCTTTTTTTAAATATTCGATGCATAAGTGATATTCATCACATCATCAAGCAGAATCATAGTTACTTCCTCTACAGCATGAGCTTCAGCTTCTTCTTTCAGTCGGCGATTACCTATAAATATCGCTTCTTCGTTCTTCTTATCCGTCAGAATTTCTCGATCAATCAACGTGCGACCATTGTTGAACTGTTTCTGGATGTGGAGATGAATCGCAAGCATTGGACAAGTGTAAGAATTATTCGCCATACGAACCCCTACAAAGTCAAATGGTGGTTAGCGAGGAAGATATCGTCGAAAAGTTCTTGCCTGGATAGAAATTAATCGAACCAAATGGTATTTCTATAGCATTGATATTTTCTTTTGTAGTATCGATCGTAGCAATCTGCTCTCGCTGTTTATCTACTTGAGGGAACAGTTTCCAGCTGCTACTCTTCTTCTTCGTCGCGTTGTTTGACATTGTGAAAATTCGATTCATGTTTCATGTGATGCATTGACAGATGATGTTATTATATGGACATAAATGTGCAGAAAGATTTTTCTCGGATTTTCCAAAAGAACACTCAATAACATAAGCGATATTTAATTGACGTACAGGTAAACAAGCTGTTGTGTTTTTCGTCACAACGATAGATTTATTTTTAGCTCAATGTTACATCAAAATAGAAACAGACATCGCGGATATTCTTTTTCTAATGACAATCCTTTTCGGCGAGAAGAATTTCGATCGCCATTATGCGCACGAACAAAATTCTTTACACGCGAATGTTTGTCGATTGATGATTGTTGTAGTGGTTATAGAGAATGTCCCGGTCAAGAATCCATGAATATTTTCCTGCCGATGATCGTTTGCTGAATGGATTGATTTCAATGATGATCACCTGGTGATTCTGTACGTTAACTGCACAATCGATTACCGCATGAGAATATGGAATACATCGAATGATATCGTGAAAATACGATGAGTTGAAAAATTCTTGATATTCATGTTCATTATGTTGATGAGATCCTTGTGATGAAACGGCATTTAGTTGTCCGTGACAAACGAAACATCGGAATTCAGGAGGAAGAGCATCGATCCACTTGCGTAAAACAAGTTTTTCATTTAGAGAATCATCGTTGAAATCTTCGCGAAGACGAGAACTGTTCTTGAAGAGCAATTTCAATTGATCACAATTTTGAATTTTCATGAAATGAATCTGAGGATCTTCGTCCGAGTTGAGCTTCCAGATCTGAATCCATTCATTATCGATTTCTTTACATAGACCTAACCGTTAACAGCTGTTCGAAGCAATATCGAGATCAAAGAAAAGTATGTATTACTTTGATAAGCATCTTTCGGACTTCGATGCATTTTGAAAAACACGAGTCCGCCTAGTTCAGTAATTGCATCACTGATTTTTTCTTCGAGATCGCTTCGAATCGCTTTTCCATCAATTAATTGTCGAACATCTTCTTTCGTCAGATCAATTATTCGAGATTCAATTGTGAAATTTTTGATTTGCTCATAATAAACATGAAAATCGTATAAACATTCATAGCACATACGATCCAATTTTCTTAACGTTTCTTTACTTTGCGGATGAGGATCATTGATTAACAAAGCTACAATTTGAAAGCAATTGTATCTTAATTTATCATCGTATGAAACACCCAATGTTAGTAGAAAATCTTCGCAATGGAAAGCTAAATTAGACCAAATAAAGTTCTTATCGACAGGGTGAGGAGTGTGCATCTTACACAAATGCTGCTTCACTGACAGAAACTTGGACGTTAATTGATAAAATTCCTGGAAAAATGTTTCACAATCGTATGATGTTGGGTTCAATGCTAAGAACATCCAGAGTTCATGTAAATTCCTGATTTTTGAGAATAATCGAAGTTGTTCTGGCTGATTCAAGCCATTAAATTCTTGCAGAAAATCACACGAAATCGCACACGATGACTCATCCGATGATACCACCAACGGTTCGTATATTGATTGAATTATTTGAATTAAAAATTCAAAGTTCGGGTTTACTCGCTTTGGATCGTATTGGTGAGAAAAAAAGTCGGCATTGCATGTTAGAGACATTAGATTGTGGAAGCCGTTGAAAAAGAACAATAGCATCGACCATGTGCAGAATGGAGAAAAACAAACTTTTGAGGTCTCGCGACCGTATATAAAGAGAGAAAAATGTGTTTTTTCTCAATGGCCTCAAATAACAATCGAACAACTAGCTACTCGGATAGCGGTTTCAGCGAACGTACTGCTGCTGGTTCTGTTAATCCGCGTTATGCGTGCTATTGGTTAGAAAGCTGTCAAGGACAACATGAATTCGATGATTGCTCGCATCGATCCAATGAACTGAACGGTAAATTAGGAATCTATTACAGTCCAAATGCCGAATATCGTTTATTCGATCGCGACGAAATCAATGAGAAAAACTTAAGAGAAAATCCGACAGGTTGCACAATGGTTCAGCTATTGATTTATAAGATCGAGAAGGGTACAACATGGCTATTGTTTGTGTCCAAACGTCTCAAAGAAAAAAGATTTCGACAAGAATCAATACGAGAACAGCTATTAGCGTTTCCATCTGCGAATCCGTGCAGAAAATTCGAAGATCGAGCTGAAGTGGCACTACAAGCGTTACAAACGATTACAGATCAACAGGAAATTCTGCAAGACTATCAGTTGCGTCTAAAACGGTTTTTATTCGTTGATGCTATCAGTGCCTACCCATTTCAAATAACCCCCAGCGAAGTTAAGCTGTTGATGAAAGGCTATTCTTCAAATGACGAAGTTCATTCACTTCATTGGTTTCCTTTAACCGAAATTCTTAACCAGCTACCCGAATGGCCAAATTACTTGGCTAAAGAGCAAACTGAACACAGATTAGCACAAATCAAACGTGATCGACATCCTACCATACAAGTCAGACGATATGAGGATGGGAGAGTGTTTACACTATGGTCAGTGACAGTCAATCTTTTGCTGTGTATTAGAAATCACGTCGGTTTTCAGGAATTTTTTTCATAGTTGTGGCCATTGTTTACCAAAGAATTTTATATAAATGCAACACTCATTATCTTCTGAAATAATAAAAACCAAGATTCTTCGTTTTCATCTTTTCAATTTGCTCAATAGGCTTATGATAAGATTATCTATAATGCCGAAGTCAATTTTGTAGTAGAACGAGATATTCTCATTTTTCAAACATTCGAGCATGTCGTCTATGGTTGCTTGGATTGACGACATCAAAAGCAAATTTACCATATCGGAGGGTTACAATTCGACTGTTGGATGGGTTTCGAGTTGCACCTACGTTTCATTTACCAGTTGTCTGTAAACTGCACCTTTATCTATATTATTCGTCATATTGTTTGTCGAGTTGGTTTATGGTTGCCTGTTGTATTGATCGGTTCTTGTCATCGTCAGCTGACGTCCGCATTCAAAAGTATAGCAATAGACAAACGATAACACGCGGTGGTTCTGCCATTACTGTTGTCATGCTACTTGTTTTTTCTCCTATTCTCTATTGTTTCGAAGCTCAGCAGTTTGACAAATCTTCACCTTGTTATTCGCGGGATGGTAGATGTGAAATGCTTGAAGTTGAAATTTACTTTATTTTTCAAGGTATTGAGCCGCCTGTACTAATGTTCTTTCTTGGTATTGGCACAATAAAACACATCCTTCGTGTACTACAAGATCATCACATCTCATCATCCGAAACACGACGAACATGTGCAATGGCGGAAAGAAAGAGAAAAATCAGTCTGGAAGTATTGCGTATGATTTCTTGTCAAAAATCCCGTGTGACTTTCTTTCGAAAGTCTTGTTGGCAGTATTTGTCTCCTGATTGCATGTGTAGATAAAGTTTTTTCATTCTATATTTATACATTAGCAAGTAAATATTATCGGAAACAGTTGCTCTAATTGCTTATTCGTTAATGGCATCGACAACAGATAAGACCGCAGAATTAATCTGATTATCTTTTCCGTCGATTAAATTCTACATAAAACTCTTCTAATCAGAATAAAAAAATATAGATACTGAATTTTTTTTGTCTATGAACAGCAGAACATAAATCATCGAGAGTATAAGGGTGAAAGTATTGTTCTTTTACCTCATGGCACGATGGCATCCAAGTGAACAATGACTACAGTTGAAATTAGCTGCAACTCTCTTATGCTTGCCGGAAAGAGTGTCGTACTAATCATTACGAATAAACCATAAAAGCTTTGCTAGTTGAAGGTACATGTGTAAAAGAGCTAGAAACAAATGTCATGCGAATGAGATACCGTTATCTTTCTATTTCATTTACACTCAAGCTAGCGCACCAGTTAAAAGAAACCATGCCGGTAAAATCGTGTAAAGCAAATAGAATAATCAACTTTATTTCTGAAAAATTGACGAAACTATTCAAAAATGTTTATGAAATGGTGCAATCTGCTGCTTCAATTGCTCGCATGAGTTGTCGCTGCGGATTGAATCGATCAGCTAATCGACTCATCGGACCGTAATAATTGTTCACCATCCAGTGTTGTTTGTATGTCATGATGTTGGTTACTCTTCGTGTTCGTCCAGCGACCATCAGCGATCGAACAACAAAGAGACGATTTTGTACTTGTCCGATTTTGTAAAATTCATTGCCTGAATTTCCACACATGGCGTCATTTTGAAAAAATATTTTATCTTCGAACTCATCCGGACTGAGTGTTACACATAGTCGAAAGACGATTTGATGTTCAGCAGGCGATAGTTTCCAATAATTTTCATAATCAGTATATCGCTCTATTTGACCTTCGTTGCATTCAACTGTGTTACATACACACGATAGATAATACATACACCTTGCGATGTCATTGTTGGGAACTTGAACAACGCGTCCAGTTTGTTCTATATCGAAGCTATTCATACCAAACATGGTTATCTTTTCGAAGTTTGATTGTTGCTGTGTACTGTGATCTCTCCTCTTGTTTTATATAGTATAGTGAATAGCAGCATTTTCTTGCGACAATATGTTGAAATTCGGAAGTGACCAACATTGTTTGTTGTATTTCCTCCTCGGTAGTTGATCTTTCCAACGTATTTCATCAGAAATACCAGCACTTTTTCAAATAAACGTCATCAAGCAGCAGCTTGGAAAGAGTTTACTTCCGAACGCAAAGGGAATGTTGTTTTAAAATGATTGTTTTCGCTCTGTCAATAACTTGATTCAGAGGCACACAAACACGTACGCGTACTGTTATTTTGCAGAACTGAAAAAAATTCTCTCGTACGTTGTGCTTCAATCTCATCGAAAATTCGAGAAATATTGATCCAGTGCGAAATAACATTATTCGTCAAAGGTGGACACAATAGAAAGACATAGTTCTCAATAATAGATCGTGTGTATCGAGCACCGTATGCTTGCAATAGATCATCAAAAGGAGCATTCAGAGTAGAACTCATATTGTAGTACAATGAAGATATTTCAGATGAATCAAGGCCAGATTCATTTACATATAATTGTCTGCCGTTGGCCATCGCGGATCTTCTTCGACTAATTCCTTTAGATACATATCTGCTAACACACCCAAGCGGCTCTTAAGAGTAACTATGATAGTTTGCTGATCGAATGGGAAATCAACAACAGTACTTAGCAGGATGTAGACAACACGGACCGAATGATACTGCATGAAAGGAATCATTTACAAACACGTCTGAAGAAAGGTCGACTGGCAGTCGCCATCGAATTACTTTTACGTATTGTATGTTAAACAGAACATAAGGAACGAGTTAATACATAAGATAGATGAATAGATATCCGAGATATTTCATTCAGTTTGTCGACCATAAATAGTTCCTTGTTGAGTACGAAGTCCAGTATCAGAAGTGACAGCATCGATCGCTATTATAAACAACAGAATGTGACTTACGTATATGTTTCATATTTTTCCTTCACAGAGATGTACCACTGATATAAACTACATCCTGCACCGTTTTTTAAAAAGTTATATTATCTTAGGTTGAGTATAATTGCATCCACCATCTTTCTCAGCACGGCACATAAAAGGAACAAATTGATTATTGAAATATTCAATATGGATTTTGGCGTTTATTCATTTGAACTTCATGATTCGTTAAAATTTTTCACGATCTTATTTTTCACATCAGTAAGCATTGATCGATGCGTTTTGTTTCACAACTATAATTGAAACTATCCCATAGAACAGTAAAAAAAGAGTTGAAGATAAGATTTATGCAGAATTCCAATGGCTTGTTTACTTTATCGAGCCTCATTTTCTTCTTCATCTTACCTTTTTGCAGAGCGAGAATCGAACTTGATCGATTGACAATTGAAACAATCCTGAGAATCTTCTTGTTGGAATGTCAATCGATTTCACAGACAATATTTCTAAATAGACTCAACCAAAATTTTGCATGTTACCAGCGATCTAAGACATTCTTTCTTAAATATGACGGAAACTCACATTCATATCACCACTGATAACAGTCGACAATAAAAAACGCTGATTAATAAACAATGCTTGGATATGAAATTCGTAACAAATTGTTTCAGGTTATACGGTTGAAACACACCCGACATGATGTGTACAACGAGACACGGGTTCATTTTTTTCTTTGACAATTTCATTCGATGTTCTCCGTATGATTGTTTGCATTAAATACCGCTGAGAAATATAACGTTGTGTCTTCATCAGTATCCCGATGAACAAACATCTGTATCGGATCATTTTAATATATATTCTATTAATTGTAAATGACTTTGTATTCCTGGAATATGTAATCATATAACATTTTCTTCAGTCTTCTCAGACATCGATCCCATGTTCGATTATAGTTTAAACGTCCAATGCTTACAGGTGTCTATAACGAACTTATTGCAAGTTTTAATGAGGATTCATGTTCAGTATAACAATCGTTAATAATATACATCATTGATTATTTTCATAATCGCACAGGTGCCATCACAACGAATGACTTTTCCGTAATGTGAGATCTCCTAGAGAAGCTTACATCGTACCATTGGCAGAGAAACGATTTTATCTGTGAAAATAGGATCTTCTGTATACAAGTTGTGAACTATTCACTCGGAAATATGACGAAATTTTTTATTCATATAAAGTATGAAGAGTCTAATATAAAGATAATGGATATGAATTCTTCGAACTAGTGTCGAAAGATCGGAGAAAATAATGAAATTTGATAGTGTAAATCTCCCATACCCAATTTATTATGTTAGTAGATCAGTTTAATAGCTAAGAACTGAGTTTTCAATGATTATTAGGTTCATTTTGTTAATAATTCTGTGTAAATCTAACGTCGACTGATGACGAACAGAAGAGTTATGCCAAGTATTACGAGCAGAATCGCAAAACCAATTTGCCAAAGCATCGTCTCTATTTAAGAAATACAATGACAATAACAGATTCTCAAGAGAAATATTATCAATCAATACTTACTTTCCACGCTTAGTCGAAGCTTCGATTCGAGTTCGCTAATCTGAAATCTTTGACATCTCCCGCCTTGTTCCAATGTTGAGATAGTTGTTTCTTTTGTCGAAAGTTTCGCTGCTAGTTGTTTCATTCGATCTTCGATCTCCTGTATTTTGCTTTCCTTCGTGCGATTTTCTTTTCCCTGTTGTTCCAATCTCAGTAGTAGACTATTTATTTCATAAGATTTCTCAGCCAGCTGGCCAGTTTGTTTCTCAATAATTTCTTCATTTGTTGTGATTTTCATCTCTCGTTGTTTCAACGAATTTTTCATCAGTCGAATTCCACTTTCATTTTCATCGATCTGATTTTTCTGTTTTTTTGTTTGTTCTCTTAACTGTTGTATATCTCGCTCAGCCGTATGCAGTTTATATTCTCGAAGTTCCAACTGTTCTTTCAATTGATGTAACTCCATGTCATTGGAAGTTATTCGATTTTCTCGTTGTTTCAACTGCTCTCGAAGCTGTTGCAGTTGAGATTCAGCTGCCGCGTTAGCTTTCGTGCTTTGTTTTTGTATTTGTTCTTGTAAACTTTGAATCTTTTTCTCGCGAGCTCTTACTTCGTTCTTTTGGTATTCTAGTTGTCCTTTCAGTTTCTGAATTTCACTTTTACACGTACTTATCTCAGCTACATTCGCTTCTAGTTGCTTTCTCATATGTTCGAGATCTTTGTCTTTTGTTTCAACCTGAATCTGTTGCTGTTTTGTTTGTCCTTCCAGTTGATCTACTTTCCTCTCGCCTGCCTTCACTTCATTTTTGCACTGTTCCAAATTTCTTACTAGCTGCTGAATGTCGATGTGATGTGCCGATGCTTGCGCCTTTACTTGTTCCAGTTGATCTTTCAGATGTCGATTCGTAGCATTGTTTCGTTTGGCTTCAGCTTCTTCCTGTTTTAACCTATCTCTCAATTGTTGAATAACACCTTCGCTAATATTCACTCGAATTTCTTCTCGTTTCAATTGATCTTTAAGTTGCTGAATTTCTACATTACGAGTATTGATCTACATGACTTGTTGTTTGATTTCATTTTGCAATTGCTCTATGTTCTTCTTGCCTAGATCAACCTCATTTGTTCGCTGCTGTAGATTTTCTTGTAGTTGTTCAATTTGGTACTCGTCTCCATCGATTCTTACTCCTTGTTGTTTGATTCGCTCGCTTAGTTGCTCAATTATAGCATGAAGCCTTTCAATCTTCGATCGACGAGGGATGAATGTACACACGAGGATATGATTCCTTATCTCATCGAATGAACCTTTCCATTGACAGTTAATATCTTCCGATGGACATGGTACATCAGCCTACAGTATACAAATTTTTTCAGGTATTATCATCTCTCGTTAATTTATTTCATAATTACCTTCTGGTCATGGGTATTCTGACTATCGACATAGATGAGTAAGCTCCAATCTAGCTGTTCACTCTTCTCCTTATTGATCGCGATTCGAGAAGAGTTAGTGAGTTGTTGGAAATTGTTCTCTAACTCACAAATAATAGCACCGAGTTGCGTAAGATCATCTTCAACGAAATTATCCGCCTCATGCATTTCGCGAAGTCGTTCAGTTACACTACGTAAACTATCGTCGATATTTTTTATATCGTTGTTCAACATTTTCGAATATTGACAGCGCGCTTTCTCAGCTGCGCATTGTATTTTGTTAGAAGTATCACTTTCCCATTGACCAACTTCAGAATGAAGGGCATCTCGAAAATCTTCCAGTTTTCTCTTGTCGTTGAATGTCTCTTGAAAATGATTACGGGACTCAATGAGTTTTTCAAACTCTCCGGAGAGCCATTGGCGATGATTTAAGAAATCTTTTGTACAAAAGAATGCATTGCATCCAGCACAATTGCATATTCCTGTTTCTTTTTGACATACAGAACATAATGTTCTTGACTTGAGCATCTAAAAAATAATTACTATTTATTTCCAGTTTTTACCTTACAGTTGACGATATAAATTTCGCTTTTTCACAAATACACGTGTCCCTATGCAAAAGCTTTTTTCTATTCTTTTACGACTTTATGATGAATGTGTTTTTGCCTCAATGCGTCTCGTTGACGACTACACGCACAAACGGTTACGTTCCAGTTAGAAACAATTCGAAAAGAGAAAATTTTGAAAGGCCTAAGAAAGAAATACGAAATGAATTATCTCAATTTCAATTTTTCCTCAGAGAAAAATATGCGTCATATGGCTATTGTAATTATGGTTCCACTAACGGAATAATGCACTGTCACTTTAAATTGTATCATCATCGACATCGAGAAAGTATCATTTCGAAATGACGAGACAAAGATTTTGCGGAGTCAGTATTATCTTTTTTCTTTTTGCTATCGGTATCAAACTTGCAGTAAGGTACACAACAATCGAGGTATGGTATATACCCTAATGATAAGGTTCATAGACGGAAGATGGCCATTCGTCGTTTCAAAGCTAGTATGCTTTAGATTTATTTCTAGTTTTACATTTCAATCATTGATTTCAAAGTAATTTGATATTCCAAAGGAATAATTTTAAACAAATGCAATAAAATAATGATGAATTACTTTCAGCCATGTATTTTACTTATCTTGATCTTTGCAAACATTGCGAGATTTTTCCAAACAATCAACAGAGAGTCTATTTGCTCCGCATATTCAGGCAGACCATCAATCATTCAGGCTTGGTTCCTTTATAATCTACTGTAGAATAACCTTTTCTTCATCAGTATTCTCTTCATATGTGTAGATGCGAACGATCCCAAGTTAATGGAGAATAAGAAAAAGAATGAACAAGAGAAGCCATCGTATGAAATTTATAAATTACATTGAATAGCATAACTAAAAATTTCCTTTTCATTAGACATCGCCAGCTACAAAAACGAAAGATATTGTACGCGATAGTATCCATTGTGATTGCTTCGATAGTCATCGTTGGTATTTTGATTCCAACCGTGGTTATAAAAAAGAATGGAACTCAGCCATCACCTACAACAACATCATCATCAACTATGACGACAACATCAAACATGACGATGACAACAACAGAAATAGATATGTGTCCCAGCAGAAGAAGAGTCTCATTATTGTCAGATCTTTTTTGTAGGTATGATACTCTTGACTGCTGTTCAAAGAAAAGTCTATGGCGTACACAATACATTTGTCGGTGGCGATAGCACACGAGCTACACCCGGTAGCAAGCGTGGTCAATATTCACCAGAGGATTCTCCAGACAAAGCATGCGATGGCAATGTGTCAACAAAATATATTAACTATGGATCATGCGAAAAAATGATTTTTTCTGATAGCTGTGGTTTGAATACTGGTTTTTATCTCGAACTAGCACGTGGTTCAACATTAATCAATGGATTGAAAATTTGTTTGACTGGTCTGAGTTGCCCGTGTGGTCCGACTGTTGTGTCATTGGAAGGAAGTAACATGACGGGAACTGATCTTACTCTGGGCAGTAGTTGGACTCTGCTTTACCATGGCACCAGTGGACTCAGTGATGACCCTGCCCGACAGAAATGTGGTTCATTACAGCATTTCAACAATACTATAGCGTACACTAGTTATCGCTTTCTAGTTTTAGCTAAAAATGCTGCTGAAGCCCTTGTTGAGTACTCTGAAGTACAATTGTACAGCTTCTGATGATATTCTTGTTCTACTCGTACAGTGTGAAAGATCGGTGGTCCAAAACGATGAACTCATATTTTTATCAATTTAAATAAAGAAAAACTTCTATTCTACCACCTTGAGGATAATGGTATGACTAAATCAGCGAACTTTGGAAGTAGAAGGAGAAACTTTCAGGATGAAACTAGTTCCTCGAATGTGTAAGAGTACGGAAGAGGATGCATTCTCTCTTATCAGAACGTTCTGTATTTCAGTCTAATTTAAATGAATATTATGCGGATGTGTTTGTAGCTAAAACAACATGAGAGGACATCGACCATCATTGAAAATCTGTTAAATGACATCAATGACGAGTAGAATTGTTGGATCCTCTTACATTCAATGATTACGAAATCTTACCAACCAGTTACACTACTCAAATGATAAATCAGCAATACATCTGATTGGATGATACATGTCGCTGTAAAAATTGGGCAGTGTAATCGTGGTGAGATATCTATTCACTATGAATAAGTACACAAATGTTTCTACTTGATGCATGATAAAATATTTTCAAGGTTCTGATTTATCAAGTCATTCCGTATGACGTCAAGTTTATAGATAAACAGTTTTAGAAAACTCATATCACAAGTAGCGTTCGTCGTGCCGACTCACTTCACTCTCGACTGTGGAAGACAGATATACTGTCTGCGTGTGCTATTAATGAGGCGAATCGATCTAGCAACTTCACGTATGATGAAACGGTAAACCTTTTTCTGTTCGACTATTTATTAACTCTCGCAAACAAAATAGCTTATTGCCTTTGTAAAACAAATGTGAGGATATAAAAGATCTTTTTTATTGTGAATTTATCACCAGTAACGCTGGTCGGGTACTCTCGCTGAACGCTTGGCTGATTTTCTTCCCATTGTACTCTTGTCATTAGAACTATACAAAAGATGTTCAATGCATTATTCATGTATCCTACATATCGAATTTCACAGCCTTACCTCGCGTGATAGCTATCGATCCATTTTATGATTCGCGGCAATTATCAATCAGCCTCATCTATCCCCACGCGCTATTCGCGACGTTTCTGACACGTTTTGCCTTCAATCATGACACAGATAGATACCATTCAAACTACTTTTCCTCAAGAGACCATGTAGCGAGTCTTCGTCCATGTTCCCAATACAGTATTCGCTTAGCCAAATTATCGAGTTAGTAAATTCATAGTTGAGGCCTCAAGCCATATCTCGACGCTATAAATATTCTCTTCCGTCGACCATTGGTTCGATCGGAAAAGACTACTCTTCAAATAGTAAATATTTCGAGAAAAATGATTTTTAATCTTTCACTCTTGGCCCTTGACCCTCACCCACAGCCGTGGCTATGAGGGATCACACCGTGCCAATCATGATCAGCAATTACTTGCAGACGTATTATTTCTTCGTCTTTCCACAATTCTCATAGGTTCGATAGGTTTCCCTCAAGGGATCCAGACTACATTTGCCACCCGTCAGTTTAACTGACTTGTCTTTCGATATCTCTATTTTTCGCTTTCACCACATTCACCTGCGGTAATACACACGTTTCCTTGTAGCTCTACAAATACTCCTGAAATTAGATACAGTAGAATAAAAGCTGGAACATCGCAACCACTCAGACAGCATTACAACAAACCTTCTCGCCATTCGAACACCACATCAACTCCATCTTTCAATACATACAAATCAACACGAACCAAACGCCAAATCATACCAAAATCCACAATGCAAGGGCCAGAGCTTCCGGTTCGCGATTCCAATCAGCCACCTCCACAGACACGTCCATCGAATCGTCGACGACCTCCATCCACGCTTCCACACCCACCAATAATGACTTCCACAACACTCCGCACACACTCATAAACTAACTCATCGTTTCACCCAACAACTTCACCCACGCTCATATACGCACCCATGGTTTCACCCAACATCCCCACCCACGATCATATACCCACCCTCAGAAAAATGTGTTTTTTTATTTGACCTTTGATCCTGACAAAAACAAACAGACAAACTATTTTTTTTCATATGACCCTCTGTAACGATAATGATATCGTTCATCTCTTTCTGTTCTTTATTCTCTCACCTCTTTATCATACTATCTCCGGGTCATATATCTCTCTTTCCTCTTCTCTATATAAGCACGTGTCTTATTGTGGAAGAGATACATTCTGGTCATGTAGAGTAGTCAATAAACATCTATACCGTGAGAAGCGGTCAGCTACTCAACCAGTTTGTCATTACACCCTCCTTACAGTTCAGGGAACAATAAACATAATTTTGGTCGTGATTCTTGATATCTTACATATAGAAAATATTCCATAGCTCGAAATGAACCAAGTAATGAAAATTTGCTGTAAATGAGCATATGATGATGATGATGATGATGATGAATAAATTGATGATTTTAAATTTTCTCATCGAGAAATAGTTCAAAAATAAAAACTAAGATGTGAAATCGATAGAGCTCACCGAGCTCGATCTGGAACCAGTATTGGTTCCCTTGGAATCATGATTAATGAGAATCGATCCGAAAAAAACCTAGTTTTTTGGGTGTTTAGATTGTTTTTTTGGTAGTTGAGGGGGCAGGGGGGGGGGGTCTGTTTGGGAAGCTTTGTGTGCCAAGCGANAATACTGGTTTTTATTTCGAACTAGCACGTGGTCCAACATTAATTAATGGATTGAAAATTTGTTTGACTGATCTGAGTTGCCCGTGTGGTCCGACTGTTGTGTCATTGGAAGGAAGTAACATGACGGGAACTGATCTTACTCTGGGCAGTAGTTGGACTCTGCTTTACCATGGCACCAGTGGACTCAGTGATGACCCTGGCCGACAGAAATGTGGTTCATTACAGCATTTCAACAATACTATAGCGTACACTAGTTATCGCTTTCTAGTTTTAGCTAAAAATGCTGGTGAAGTCCTTGTTGAGTACTCTGAAGTACAATTGTACAGCTTCTGATGATATTCTTGTTCTACTCGTACAGCGTGAAAGATCGGTGGTCCAAAACGATGAACTCATATTTTTACCAATTTAAATACATAAAAAACATCTATTCTACCACCTTGAGGATAATGGTATGACTAAATCAGCGAACTTCGGAAGCAGAAGGAGAAACTGTCAGGATGAAACTAGTTCCTCGAATGTGTAAGAGTACGGAACAGGATGCGTTCTCTTTTATCAGAACGTTCTGTATTTCAGTCTAATTTAAATGAATATTATGCGGGTGTGTTTGTAGCTAAAACAACATGAGAGGACATCGAAAGTCATTGAAAATCTGTTAAATGGCACCAATGACGAGCAGAATTGTTCGATCCTCTAACATTCAATGATTATGAAATCTTACCTGCCAGATACACTACTCACACGATAGATCAGCAATGCATCTGGTTGTATGATACATGTCGCTGTAAGAATTGGACAGTGTATGAAGTAATTCCGTATGACGTCAATTTTATAGATAAACAGTCTTATAAAATTCATGTCATAAGTTGAATAGCTTTAGCTCAAACTACTTTGTTTATCAGCAACAAGAAAATGATAACTTTCTTCTAATGGAACAGCATAGCTCGATTTCGTGCCAGTTCGAGATAGAAGTTTGTATTCAAGCTAGCAGTGACACAGTTCCAAACTGAATCGGGAGATTCATACGGTGAATGTTCATCTTTACCTGCAGATGTGTCATGCATAACATACACGTTTTCACTCTCAACTTTCAACAGTACTGCATACAAAAAGGCTACATCTGAAGTTGTGCTCGACTTTTTTTTATGTAATCTTGGTACACCTGTTTCTGTTATTACATCCGCCTTTTTCAGTAATTATTGTTAGAGTTGCTATACCTACGTGACGACCAAAATATTGAGATTCATAATTGTGATTTATCTCATATTCTTACATCCACACCCTCAGAATCTTTAGAAAAATGAACATGTATTTTAATGAGATTCGCCCATCTTCATTGAAATCGTGATATTCATTTAAAGTCACGCATTATGCGCATAAACATTGATTTAAAGACTCATTTATTTTCCTAACATTACTCTACTCGTGCGGTGCTTAACCCATTTACGCAAATGGAATCTAGTCCGAGCACGTCATTTCTTGCGCCACATGCACAAACGCGATTACCTTTTTTCTTCGACAGTATAGTTTTTCTTAAACTTAGACAACGTGTTCTATTCTTCAGTATTCGTGTGTATTATATTACAGCTTCTATGCGTTCCCACTGAACTTCTCTACACTAGCGCATTTAAACACAGTGTGAATATTTTCAAATACCTCTGAATCCATTATAAAATAAGTTAGACAGGTCATCAACATCATTTTCTCAGCTCGTTATAGTTTTTCCTTCAGACTCATCATAATGTGTCCGTTGAATTACTGACTAGAATATCAAATATCTATGTTACTGGAATGCTTAACAACTAATGGCATGCGTATAGAGCGAATAGATGCGAAAACACAATGCCAACGGCCGTATAAATAACAAACTAGGAATGAATATTCACTAAAGTTTATGTTGCACTTCGATCGAATCGCCATCTTCATCAATGATAGCCGATAAAGTTCGTCAAGTTTTCTTTCTCTCGCTACGAAGAACGTGTCTGTAATTTCACAAAAATAAAAAAATTACGAAATGCGCTGCTGACACATCGGTGCGTGTTAGCTTCTGTTTGCATAGGTTACTGAAACAGTAATAAACTTTCATTGCATCATATTATTAAAGGAAGAAAAACCGGAGGCAGAAAAAGGGACACCCGGACTTGAACCGGGAACCTCTCGATTTGCAATCGGTTGCTCTACCATTAAGCTATGTCCCCCTGGTATTATCGCTCACTCTGCAGTATCCAACTACGGTTCGTTTTTACCGAAAAACTGCATCCTTACGTTAAAAGCTAAGACGAGTACTTTCAATAAGAATAGCAATTCACGACTGAATCTAATTTTTTGCAATAAAAAAATACTCCTCGCAAAATGTCCAAATAATTCCAGGCTGTTATTCTTAACAATCCGGTCAACTTCGTTCGATATGAGATTATTACTGATCTATAGTTCGTCTGAAGATCCTTCGAAACACGGCATAGCATTACAATCATAATTGACGAAACTTTGCCAAAAAAAGTCGGATATTTGCAAAACTTTCCTCAAAATTCCTACCTTAATGACGATGTCAATACGAAAAACGCTATTCTACAAAGTCTCCCGATGATTCATTTTCGCTCTTCGCACCGACTAATGCCATTAGTTTCAATCGAATTTTACGACGCCAAAAGAGATGTCACATAGATTGTATATGATGGTTTCCATCGAAGGACGATATTTTTAGCTGCTCTTCACTCTGTGTTTCTCGTGAACTGACGTGTATATGAAAATCGATATCAGATCCACTCTGATATTATTATAATGATATGTTTATTTATTTTCAGTCAGATGCTTAGTCTCATTGGCTGTCGCGTACGACATGTAGTTGACGAGAAAAGTCTCCTATTTTCTGTTCACGCAAGTGTTGAATTATTCATGTCGAACGCCGAGAGCCTAATATTAATCATTTTGATTAGACCCTCAAGACAACAATTTGAAAAAATGCGCTTAAACGCTTTTTTTCAAACTCCCGACACCGATGTCCGGAACGACGTATAACCGGTAGATCGTAACTATAACATTCAGTATCAATCAATAAGGATCGGAATGGAACTATCGGAAGTCCGTAATGATCAGCAATGAACAAACGAGATGAAGGCGACACTGTATCCGTATTGAAATGAAAATGTGTTCATAACAAAATAAAACGTGTAATAATGCCTTATTTTTGTAGTTATTCTTGTAAATATTGAAAACAAAAGAAAAGTGATTATGCTCGTAACGATCTACTACCTTCAAAGCATAGTAGAATTTAAAAAAAGAATTAGTAGCAACTGAAAACAACTCTTAAAAGTACATTCATTTATTAGAACGTTTAATGCGAGTGTATGTGTTTTATTTTTAATAAAAGAAAATGAAAAATATAAGTTTCTGTGCTGACGTCAATAGAAACCATAGAGGAATATCGTGAAAAATGACGATATTTAATTTAACGCCCAAAAGAGATGCACAGACTGGCAAGTATCAACTGAGTTCCATTCTGCGTTTGATTAGTAGTCATTGATCCATTTTTTATGTTAAATATCAATGTATCCACATTTGTGCAAAAAGTACAATATACTAGTGATCTGTATGTACGTCCTGCTTTATAAGTGGCAGTTGTCGTTACTTGACCAGCACGGCTGGTCCAAAAGCCAAAAGTGAGAACATCGTACCAAGCGCTGTTATAAATAAAAGAATCAAAAGAGAACCGAGTTCCATTTGCTGATGAAATTGTGAAGTTAAATCCATTTGCATTATACATGAGAAAAGTTTGATTGCCAAGAGCAGTGCGATATCCACTTCCAATTGGAGTTGTTGATGCATTTATATAATTAACGTTCGTCCAATTCAGATTCTTATAGCCATTAGGAATGATACCTGATGTACTTGATTGACCGGGAATGTCATTAAATGTAATCAGAGTTGTACATGCTAAAAGAGGAATTTTCTTTCATAAGATATCGATGTCAAAGTCGGATTAGCATACTAGCAACGAGTGTAGTTGTTGAAGTTGCCGTTGTCGTGGCTGGAATGACTATTGAAAAAAATTTCTATCAAACAGTTTTCGATGAAAGACATGCTTTACCTAGACACGTTGATGATACGCAACTGATATTCAAATCATTTCGACACCAGTCGTTCGCTTGACAAGTATCACCAGTAAATCCTTGATTTAAACAGAATGTTCCATTCCAAAATGTACGAGCAGGACATTTGCATCGGCCCGACGCGATATCAACTGACAGATATCGACTATTTTGACATTGATCTGCTGACGCATTGTATGAACTGAACATTGCTGAATTGAATTCCATCCAACCGGCTATGCTCGATGCATTGGCGGATATAGAATTGTCTGCAGTAAACCATCCTTCGTATAATTCGCATTGACGTGTAGTAGAATCAAAGTTAAAAGTGCGACAGAATGTATTTTCTAAGCAATATATGGCGCATGATGCAGTAACGTCGACATTTGAGATAGTCGACAAGAGTTGAGCATTATCATCTGGTTGAAATCGATTACCTTGACCACTCAGAGTAAAGTAGTCACCTTGATAACTAGCCGTAGTTAGAAGACAACACAAAAGAATAATCGTCTTCATTATAAAAGAAAAGTGAACAATATGAATGTTGTTGAGCTACAGATAGATGCCTTTCTCTTGCATTGGAAAGTAATAAGGTAGTGGAAAAAAGAACGCGCCAATATGTCTGATTACATGAATATCACCCATTACTGCTCAGCTTGTGAATAGAAAAGTTTATTTTCAGTTTTTTACGAAAAACGCACAAGAAACATAATGGAGCACATGAGCAGCCAAATGGAACGCAGAAAAGAACACAATATGAGAAAGAAAAAGTGCGTTCGAAAGGACAAAATATATGACAGAAATACGACAAACGCTTAGCATGATCTTTGTAAAACTGAGAAACGGAGCGTCGTGACGTGAGTATCAATTATAAGAGCAACTTTTGCTGATGAAGTAGTTTATTTCTATATAATCATTTCAAACAATATAGGAATCTAATTCTAATTTGCCTGAGAGTTATTTTCGTTCTCAGCATAAAGCGTAATTTTCAACATCATTACAGAATGAGGATCGATATTCGAAGATGTATAGTTATAACGATAAGGTCCGAGATTCTTCTGTGCCCAAACATCTCGAACGAGAGCCGAATCACGAACAGGAAACCCAATGTCACTCCATTGAACAGTAATTGGTTCACTGACGCTATTTCCTCGATTAAACAAAAGTACGGCCACGGAGCCATCGTCAAGATCACCTGCCCATACTTCTAATTCTGGTACTTGTGTTAAACATTTGTGATTCAAATCATTCTCAATAGTGTTATCTACAGAATTCCATGTCCACTTTTGGCCATTGTCTTTATTACATGTTGAGACATCGACGGCTGATCCTGCTGCGCGAAATGTTTGTAAACTAGACAAATCGATGCTTATTTTTACATATGATTTACAAAGACAAATTTACCATTTACTATTCATCTGAGAAATAATTGTCTGGTCGACTGTATTAACGGTCCATTGTTGATTTTTTCCTTGACATTTTGCTTGTGGATCGTTAATTTGACAATCAATTGCGACGATGTTTGCCCCACTAGAAGTATCACAATTTTCAATGGACAAACATTTTCCATCGGAGTTCGATCGAATTGAACCATCTGTAGAATTATACACCCATGTAATACGCTTCGGTTGCGCATTTGACGAAGACGTTGAACAATTAGTGAGACCAATGCCAGTCGATGAATTAGACGTCTTTGACCAAGAAAACGCTATTTTCTTGCCTTGAGCACCTAATGGATCCTGATTGATAGCAATGACGCCAGGATGTGTGAGAGTTGCTAAAGTAGCTGAACTCATTTTACTTATATCACATCCAATAATCAGTGGTGCTTTGCTAATAGCCCACAAAGAGAAATGTGTGACATATTCCGCATCGGTCATACCACCATTACCGATCTCCAACACTACACAAACAGAAAATGGCTTAGACCAGCGAAAATATATCAGCATATTTTCACTCACTATCAGGATCATTCCAACCGCCCGGTCCAGCTTTATCAGCATATTCGTTATTCTAAATATCGGCAAATGTGCATATATAATAATAGTTTTACCAAAACCACGCATCTTCCTACGATATCGATATTATTGAGCATTGATTTCCAGTTATCTTGAATATCATTTGTAGTTCTCCAGCTGTTTCCGACTTCTGGTGCCCAAAGAGCAGGTTGGTCCACTCCCCATTCTAAACATCGTATAGTAAGTAAAGTAAATTGGTGAGTCTCTTATGCGAACATACCACACATCGAGTAGAAAATAGGTCTACCAGTAGTATTCAACGCGTCTCTCATAATCGGATATCGTACTTCGGGCGCAGTTCCATCATTATAACAATTATCATATTTCAAATAATCTACTTTCCATGATGCGTATGTATTCGCGTCCTTCGTCTCATAATGTAATGATGCAGGTCGACCACCACACGTTTTAAATCCAGCATCTTAA